GGAATCAAAAAGACTTTAGATCGGGTTATGTCTCAGTTTTATTGGCCAGGAATAATGGGTGATGTTAGAAGACATGTGCTGTCCTGTGATATTTGTCAACGCACAACCCCCAAGGGCAAGGTAAGAAGAATACCACTAGGACAAATGCCATTAATCGAAGTACCATTTGAGAGAATAGCCGTTGACTTGATAGGCCCGTTGTATCCTGTCACTGACAAAGGTAATAGGTATCTTTTGACGGTAGTTGACTATGCAACCAGATACCCAGAGGCAGTACCTTTGCCAAGGATTGAAACTGAGTATGTTGCTGAAGCTCTTTTTGAAATATTCAGTAGAGTAGGTATCCCCAAGGAGATCTTGACGGACATGGGAGCCCAGTTCACTTCAGGTGTAATGAAGGAGGTAAGTAGATTATTATCCTTGCATCAGCTAACTACTACCCCATATCATCCTATGTGTAATGGCCTTGTGGAAAAATTCAACGGTACTCTGAAGACAATGTTGAAACGAATGTGTGCAGAACGGCCATATGACTGGGACAGGTATGTAGCTGCTTTGTTATTTGCATACCGAGAAGTACCTCAAGAGAGTTTGGGATTTGCTCCCTTTGAACTACTGTACGGGCGTACAGTGAGAGGGCCAGTGCAGATTCTCAGAGAAATCTGGACTAAAGACATACAAAATCCTGAGGTAAGAACTACTTATGAGTATGTGTTAGATCTGCAAAACCGACTGGAAGACACTATTCATATAGCACAACAAGAACTAAAAAAGAAATCAGGTAAGTACAAAAAGTTCTTTGATGCAAAATCACAAGCACGAAAAATGAAAGTAGGTGACAAAGTGTTACTTCTGTTACCTACTGATTCCAATAAACTCCTACTCCAGTGGAAAGGTCCATATGAAATCTTGGAGGCCTTTGGTATTGGCAATTACAGGATACAGGTAGGTAATAAGACTAAAACCTATCATGCAAACCTACTGAAAAAGTACATTGACCGAGAGGAGATCAAGGACACAACTGTATGTGACGTCAGCATAGCTCACCTGATGTATGCTAGTGCCGGGCTAGTAGATGTCAAAGCGGAAGAGGTAAGTATGTTAGACATAGTTTCACCTGCGCTAGTTTCTAAAGAAACATATCAGGATGTAGACATTTCCAAGGACCTGACAGAAGAACAACAAATTGAGGTGAGAGAGCTCGTAAGTGAATTCAGGGATGTGCTGAGTGATTTACCAGGGAAGGTAGACTGTATGCAGTATAAGATCAAGTTGACATGCAATGAGCCTATAAGATCCAAACCATATCCGCTTCCACATCACATGAGGGACGTTGTGGCCAAAGAGATACAATCAATGTTAGATATGGGGGTGATAGAACCCTCTCACTCACCATATGCTTCCCCCATTGTACTTGTGAAGAAGGCTGATGAGACTTACAGATTTTGTACCGATTTTCGCAAGTTAAATCAGGTAACGGTCTTTGATGCAGAACCAATTCCATTAGCCGATTCCGTATTTGCAAGGCTTCGACACTGTAAGTACCTAACCAAAATCGATGTGAGCAAGGCATATTGGCAGATCCCAATGGAAGAGAGTAGCAAAGAACTGACGGCCTTTATAACCCCTGATGGGTTATACCAATGGAAGGTGATGCCATTTGGAGTTGTCAACGCACCAGCAGTATTTTCCCGACTCATGAGGCAAGTATTACATAGCATACCTAACACTGACAATTACATAGACGACATCATAGAAGGAACAGAGGAATGGTCACCTCATGTGGTAAGTCTGAGAGACATATTCACAAGGTTAAGACAATTTCATCTTACAGCCCGACCATCAAAGGTAAAAATAGGATACAAACAGTTGGAGTTTTGGGGGCACAGGGTTGGGAGTGGCCTAATTCAGCCGGAGGGTAAGAATGTGGAGAAAATCCTACATGTTGAACGACCACAAACTAAGAAACAGGTCAGAGCCTTGCTAGGATTATCGGGGTACTACCGGAAATTCATCCCAAATTATGCAGCCATACCAGTGCCTCTGACTGATCTTACCAAGAAGGGCAAATCAAACAAGGTAGTATGGACAGAGAGTCAAGAGTTAGCTTTCACGACGTTGAAAACACACATGTCAAGTTTTCCAATTTTGAAACTGCCAGACTTGGAGAAAACATTCCTAGTAAGAAGTGATGCTTCTGACGTCGGAATCGGAGCTGTTCTTTTACAAGAACAGGAAGGTGAGCGGTTTCCAATACTGTATGTGAGTCGAAAGTTGGCAGAACGTGAGAGGGCGTACTCTACCATAGAAAAGGAGTGTTTGGCAATAGTATGGGCAATACAGAAGTTAGAAAGATATCTGTTTGGGCGGGAGTTCATTCTTGAAACGGACCATCAGCCCTTAGTATGGATGACCAAAGCCAAGTTGACCAATGGACGAGTAATGAGGTGGGCTCTAACTTTACAACCTTACAGGTTTCTGATCCGTGCAATCAAGGGGATTGAGAATGTGGGAGCTGACCTCTTGAGCCGGTGTTCGCCCTAGTCACACTGTGTGCATAGCAGTATGTAAATAATGCATTTTTCAGCATCATAGTGAAGATATGACAGTCATTACTTTTTGTGTATTATTGTTGTCATTGTGTATATATATGGTTTTGTATTAGTTAATGACTTTAAAAGACGTTAGGACAAAGTTACATGTGATCTTGTTTGTTATATAATTGTGCTCAGGTACAATTAACTTAAGTGGGGAGGTGATGTCAAGATCACAGATAATCTTGTATATTTTAATTATATGTTAGTACTTCAGATAGATGTATTACGGTATGGTTACATTAGTATATTAAGCTTAGCGGGTTGTTTTTAGATATTGTCAGGTAATACTATGGGAACAGGTTAGGTTCAGGGAAGCGTGACTGGGTACGGCTGATAGCTGGGGAGTTAATTGGTGTAACAATAGGGAGGTCAGGGGTAGCTTGGGCTTTGGGGTCAGTTTAAATAGCGGGGCAGGGTAATAATTTGTACAGTCAGCCAGAATCAGCATGGTCATGTAAGGCATGGACTAATATTGTGGGAGACTTCTACTCTGGTTGGCGTAAGTTTTTACATTTATTGTTTCATGTAGAATTGTATTTTAGAGGATAGAATTTTGAGTTATGTATTGTTTTCAAATGTAATTATATACACATATTGATGGTAATAGCGTAAAGCCACTGTAACAATAACCACAACATGATCAAAGTATAAACAGTTCAACTCAGTAATATGTAAATCGGAGTATTGGTGCATGGCTGTATGTATTGTGAGGTAGTGACACATACCTCAGTGACTGTAATTGCTTATATTATATTGTAGTGTCCCGGAACTGGCCGGTTAACCTTAGAGTGCGTAGGAGGGAAGAACCTCCGATATTACGTAGGAGGAAGTAACAACCTCCAACATCACGTAAGGAGAGAAGTTCTCCGACCCTACGTGAGGAGAGAAGTATCTCCGTTTTCCGTGTACACATCGTAGGATGAACACAGCCGTGGCATCCATGTAAACAGGCACCCTTAACTCCGTGGGGATAACATCGCCTGGGTGGAAAGATCACCATTCGTTATTACGAGGAAGAATTCTCGTGTGAACTGCTCAATAACATCAGAGATTCCAAAGTTCTGTATAGAACTGTTGTGACAGTGACAGTGGAGTGGCTTTGTATTGTTTGTGGGGTTGTTTTTTTGTGGTTGTGTGTTGTTGTTGTACATATGTACACACACAAAGTTTTATTGTGTATTAGTTGTGTTATTCTTAGAACATCTGTATTAGTGTTAGTATTGGTAGAAGTAGACTATTAGTATTAGGATAGTGTATCGTGATAGTTGTATTGTTAGTAGTAGAGAGTTGTATTATTAGTAGTAAACATTTGTACTGTTAGTATTCAGATATTAGTATTAGTAGTAGATGGTAGTATTGTTAGTTGTAGTAGAAGCTAGATTAGTTAGTTGTGTTAGTTAATTTGGTATTAGTTTGAATTTAAATATTGTTATTGGGATTTAAAATTACTTTAAGGGAGGGAATAAATCTTTATTACAACTTCATTTGTGTTTGTGATTGATTCAATACGTGACACTGGGGTCCCCCTTTATGTGGTGATTACTACCACTAAGCTGCAGCTGTGAGTCCCGGATTGCTTTCAAATATTTTTTTCCTCTATGGATATATGACTTTCAAAAAATCATACTGAGATTTTGCCACCCCAGGTGGTACCAATATCTGGTCTGGCTCATGGACTATATGTAGCGAACATAACATTTCCGAGTTCCGTAATGGGATTCGAACCACTGATCGCCAGACGCCTTGTCCAAAATTGACAAAAACTCAGTCAACATGATGTAATACGTCAGATGACACCAATGCCTGCTAACCTTGTGTGACTTGAATAATGCTAGTGATGGTTACAATGTTTGACCTGGTTATTTGTGTGTCATCGAACTCGGCCGGCTTGTGTCGGTTCTCATGCAATCGACCATTGGTTTGGAGGAATGATGTGTATGTGAACACATTTCAAAAGCAACGATGAACAATTTGTTTTCATTTTGAGACAAGCAAACCATATTGCCTTTGCTACTTTTGTTTTAGAACCATTGGAACTAACAAAAGACCAGTGGAGCTTGAAAAGGAGTATTAACCACTTCGGCGCATGCGTAGATTAATTCACTTACTACGCATGCGCACAATTTATCGAAAAGGGCGACAAATGTCTCGTTGTCGCATTGTAACCTGCAAGAAGACTCGTCCCCCTATCAATGAATGTTATGCAACGAGTTGACAATTCTTTTAACTATGCCCGTTTGCGCTTAGACGCAACCAAGTCGCAAAAATGGGCACGAGAGGGGCACGAGTCGCTATTCGGAGTTGGTCACGAATGGTAGAGAGACGTGGCATCAGTCCTGCTCAGTGATGACATTCTTATAACGAAGAAAAATTAAAAAGTTATCAGTAAATGTATGTACTTACTAGATATGGAGCCAGCGTAAAAATAAACATCATCATAGCATGAAGTATAGAGATCTTCCAAAGACCCTTGAGTTCATTCTCTCGAACATCGGTGATTTTCCCCTGGAAGGATGGTTCCCAGGCATATAGTTTGAGAATCTGCAAGCAGTGATCGTTATTCATTAACTGAAGATTACGTTTGTTAACTGTTCAAAAGGTAGTGACAAACATGCATTGATTGAAAGACTCAACAAAGAGCCTGACATTATCACCCGGTCAGTAGATCAGTGTTCGTCTTAATGAGTGAGTGAGTTTGGTTTCACGCCGCTTTTAACATTATTCCAGTTATATCACGGCGTGTCAGCTTAATGTGGGAGGAAAGCCCGAAGTGATGCAGGTCTGATACGTTTATCACTTCGGTGAAACCCACGAGCACGGGTATGGCGCTGACAAACCTAGAAACATAATCGGGGCGAACCGGGATTCGAACCCACAATCATAGGTTTCTGGCGTGCCCAAGGGACGCAACTCTGCACAGCGAATCGCGGCGCCTCAGACGACTGGGCCACCCGTGCCCCCTCCGTCTTAATGATGATTATGTTTCAATGTTAGTCAGCACAATACCCGTGCTCGCGGTAAAAATGAATGTCTAAGATCTTGATCACTTCGGGTTTTACCCCACATCAAGCGGAAGAGCCGTACTTTGACTGGAAGTTCGAGTGAGTGAGTGAGTGTAAGGAAGGGAGGAAATGAGTTTGGTTCAATCCCGCTATGAAATAAATTTTAGATATATCACGGCAAGTCAACTTTCAATGTTGAAGGAACGACAAAATGAGGTAGGTGGTAGATGTTCATCCCTACCACGACACCAACGACGACATGAATGGTTTTGACAAACCAGCGATCATAATCCGGGCGAATCAGGGATATCATATTGACGATACCGGAAGGAATCATGCCCCATGCCCCATGCCCCATGCCCCATGCCCTGTCCATACAATCCGCCCGGAGAGCGAAAGGTCCGGGGTTCGATCCCCGGCCGCGTCATACCAAAAGACGTTAAAAGATGGTACTTGTTGTTACCCTGTCTGGCGCTCGGCATTAAGGGGCTAAAACAAGGACTGGTCGGCTCGGAGTCAGTATACTGTGTCTGAGTGGGATATTCATGTTAAACTGCGGCATGGTATCTCAGTGAGCTAGCACTATAAATCGGCATCTGTCCGGACTAGTACAAGCAGCCACACAAACACACACACGTACATGCACGTCGCTATATAAGTGCAATAATCTTGGACGCGACGTTAAACCCCATTTCACCTCACCTCACCTGTCCATACAAGTGTTTAGTTACGGACCTTAATACCATTCAAGACTTCATTAATAATCTTCATCCTGTTGTCCTTGAACTTCATCACGCTGCTCTGAAACTTATCCCAGAAGGTCATATTGACGTAGTTCAAAGGCATGATGACGACCATCAGCCCCAGACCCGCCAACATGGCCAGCCCAAGAGTGTTAAACAGCAGGTACAGGGCAAGGACCATCTGGAGAACGCTTGACCAACTGCCCCAGAACCACTGGATCATGAGTCGGATATGCTCAGTGTCCACCGACATCAAATTTACGATCTCTCCAACAGTGGACTCACGCCGAGATTGGATATTCATAGTAAGGGCCTGAAAAGATTTAAGACATATCACACTCGCGGTTATCATGGACATGAGTATTAACATTAAGAATTATAACGCAAAACTTGAAGATTCGATATATCATAAGCAAGATTTTTTATAAATTTGCCAAGAGACATATCCGATGCAATTCCCTATTTTGACTTGTACCACATGTTCCTGTGTTTTTTTTAGGTGATCACTAGCCTTTGCGTGTGTTTTTGACGGGTGACTTTTCGCGAAAACCTGGTATGATCACCCTTTGAGTATGATTCATAAACACATGCTCATGACACAGTCGGAATCGTACAATCAACTCTGCTTTTGGATTTCTTACGAATATGGAAAGGGCATGTCACTTTTATTTATGAATCACTATTAAGTAGCGATGACGCAAAGTATTCGAAAAAATGTGAGTGAAAGTATGGACATGGTGTATCCATCATTGCGAAACCCTATGTAAGAATTGTAAGTATTGGAATGATACAGTTGCTGTTATTATACATGAGTCCTGGAATATGACAATAGTTCATCAAATGTATAGATGACCAGGGCCCCATTGCACAAAGCGATCTTAGCGCTACGATTAAAGTAAGTCTATGTTAAAGTATGGGAGTTAGGATATCTAAGCGCTAAGATTGCTTTGTGGAACAGGCTCCAGAAAAGTCGTCACAAGTGAAATTTGCCCACTTGTATTACCAAATTGATAATTATATGAAGCTTCATCGGTGTCTGGGGCGGTCGGGTAGCCTAGTGGTTAAAGCGTTTGCTCGTCACGCCGAAGACCCGGGTTCGATTCCCGACATGGGTACATTGTGTGAAGCTCATTTCTTGTGTCCCCCGCCGTGATATTACTGGAATATTGCTAAAGGCGGCGTAAAACCATACGCACTCACTCACTCACTCACTCGGTGTCTGTGGGGTAGATTATTGATTTTGACGTCATTTAAAAGAATATGCAATACCCGAATGTGATATAAAATTGAGAAAACCAACATTTCGTCATGATTATATAATTAAATTGTAATCAAGTATTGATATCAATGTGTCACGGCAAGGAGTGACACTGGTTTACTTGAAGAACAAATTCTACGAAGAGAATTTGTTTGCAATAACAGTTTGTGGATATTATTGTGTAATCTTTGTAATATTATGATAATATTTAATATTTATAATTATATAACCGATTCGCTTATAATAAACATGATCAAGATGCTTCACAATAAAATCCCAGGAAAACGAATTTGGGTGCATTTTCCTGGGGATAATGTTGAGTTTGATTTAACGTCGCTTTTAGCAATATTCCAGCAATATCACGGCGGGGGACACCAGAAATGGGCACCACACATTGTACCCATGTCGGGAATCGAACCCGAGTCTTCGGCGTGACGAGCGAACGCTTTAACCAAAAGGCTACCCGACCACCCTTATGCTCTCTGTAACCCATGTTGGATGTATACATGTTGATCATAACAGAACTGGCATAAAACCAACTGACCGACACAAAATTTGTTTAGTAGTATGCTACAGGTCTGCAATACATAAATATAGCATGATAGACCACGCATGCTTGCGTCAAGTATAAAGCATTTCATTTATGAGAAAATGGGTGATGAGATGTTTCCTTATTTGTAGGCTTTTGCATGTTCATATGAAGGACGCTTTTATCATCTATTTACATTAGCCGTGTGAATTTCATCAGTGATGAAGATTCAGTGTATATTCCTTACCTTTCTATATAGTGCTGAGATAACTATAGCTCTGAATCTCAGAGACATCGAGTAAGACTGGTGCCAGGTAGCTTGGAAGCTGAGAGACTGGATGAGGATGGAACAGGATAGGATCACCCCAAGAGCGTAACCCTTCCATGAAGGCGCTGCCTTGTCCTCTGTGAAGTTTATCAACTCTCTGAGGGTTTAAAGATATCATGGTGATACGTAGCTGGGTTTTTTCTCAAAGACACCATCGAGAAGGATGGTTTGGAATGAGGAGCAGGGAATGCTTTTTTTCAGACGGATTAGACTGATTGCTAACACAACGGGTTGTAAAAAATCGAGTCTTGGTCCTGCAAATCAGTGATTGATAGCGTGAGCACCATGTCACAATGTGTCATTCAGGTGAGACATTGTAACCGTTTTATCATCACCTCAGTCCGCCTTTGCGACGTGTATGGAGTATTGAGGATCTATTCAGAATCAACTGGGGAAGACGTTTCAAGAATTTAAATTAAGACATATCAGGGTGGGGAAAGGATGGGTGATGAGGAGGAGGAGAGGTAGGCAGGATGTAGGAGTAGGTAGCGAGAAAGGAGAATTGGAGACATTGCTTGAAAGCTTAAAATGACCGGGAATTACACAACAGAAAATAAGCACTATTTACCCTAAAAGCAGCGGGTTTGTGATATACAGCAAATCGTAGAACAGCTTCCAAATCTGAGACTGCAGGAATTCGAATCCTAAGGCTTTCCACAATACTTTCATCAAAGAAATCTTCCCTCTCAACTTTTTGTCGTAGCTGGGTGGATCTTTGATATCCTTGTTACTGGTCGATCTGGAGATCAGCGGTGTCCTTTCATTGCAGTCTTCAACACTAACTCCATTGCTCTTGGAATAAGCAACATCGTGCTCTACATGCGCAAGACTGGGACTAAAATATAACAGAAGTTATACATTAATCAAAAGGACACAAAAAAAACATGTCATTGTTGGTGTTCAACTTACTACCGGTGAGCGTACATAATTAAAACATATACTAGGATCACATTATTTACATAAGTAAACTTTAGATGCCTGCACGTGAGAGGATAAGTATCCATCAACAATGGATTGAAAAATTATTAACTTTGAAGATTAACTTTATCGACGCATCACCTATTAACTTCTATGTACATTACAAGTAAAGTTTGTAAATATCATGCAACTATGTTTTACCTTTATACAATCATGATATGCCTCTCGTTATTATGATGCAACATCCTCTTCTCATTATAATGATCCAACAACGCATCCCTCATTACTGTGAGGCAACCACGCATCCCTCATTACTGTGATCTAACCACGCATCCCTCATTACTGTGATGCAAATACTCATCCCTAATTACTGTGATCCAACCACGCATCTCTCGTTACCATGATCCATCCACGCATCCCTCATTACCATGATCCATCCATGCGTCTCTCATTACCATGATCCATCAACGCATCCCTCATTACTGTGATCCAACCACGCATCTCTCATTACTGTGATCCAACCACGCATCCCTCATTACTGTGATCCAACCAAGCATCCCTTATAACTGTGATCCAACCACGCATCTCTCATTACTGTGATCCAACCATGCATCCCTCATTACTGTGATCCAACCAAGCATCCCTCATAACTGTGATCCAACCACGCATCCCTCATTACTGTGATCCAACCACGCATCTCTCATTATCATGATCCAACCACGCATCCCTAATTACTGTGATCTAACCACGCATCCCTCATTACTGTGATGCAAATACTCATCCCTAATTACTGTGATCCAACCACGCATCTCTCGTTACCATGATCCATCCACGCATCCCTCATTACCATGATCCATCCATGCGTCTCTCATTACCATGATCCATCAACGCATCCCTCATTACTGTGATCCAACCACGCATCTCTCATTACTGTGATCCAACCACGCATCCCTCATTACTGTGATCCAACCACGCGTCCCTCATAACTGTGATCCAACCACGCATCTCTCATTACTGTGATCCAACCATGCATCCCTCATTACTGTGATCCAACCAAGCATCCCTCATAACTGTGATCCAACCACGCATCTCTCATTACTGTGATCCAACCATGCATCCCTCATTACTGTGATCCAACCAAGCATCCCTTATAACTGTGATCCAACCACGCATCCCTCATTACTGTGATCCAACCATGCATCCCTCATTACTGTGATCCAACCAAGCATCCCTCATAACTGTGATCCAACCACGCATCCCTCATTACTGTGATCCAACCACGCATCTCTCATTACTGTGATCCAACCATGCATCCCTCATTACTGTGATCCAACCATGCATCCCCCATTACTGTGATCCAACCACGCATCTCTCATTATCATGATCCAACCACGCATCCCTCATAACTGTGATCCAACCACGCATCCCTCATTACTGTGATCAAACCACGCATCTCTCATTACTGTGATCCAACCACGCATCTCTCTTTATCATGATCCATCCACGCATCCCTCATAACTGTGATCCATCCACGCATCCCTCATTACTGTGATCCAACCACGCATCTCTCATTACTGTGATCCATCCACGCATCTCTCATTATCATGATCCATCCACGCATCTCTTATTATCATGATCCATCCACGCATCCCTCATTATCATGATCCATCCACGCATCTCTCATTATCATGATCCATCCACGCATCCCTCATTACTGTGATCCAACCACGCATCTCTCAGTACTGTGATCCAACCACGCATCCCTCATTACTGTGATCCAACCACGCATCCCTCATAACTGTGATCCAACCACGCATCTCTCATTACTGTGATCCAACCATGCATCCCTCATTACTGTGATCCAACCAAGCATCCCTCATAACTGTGATCCAACCACGCATCTCTCATTACTGTGATCCAACCATGCATCCCTCATTACTGTGATCCAACCAAGCATCCCTTATAACTGTGATCCAACCACGCATCCCTCATTACTGTGATCCAACCATGCATCCCTCATTACTGTGATCCAACCAAGCATCCCTCATAACTGTGATCCAACCACGCATCCCTCATTACTGTGATCCAACCACGCATCTCTCATTACTGTGATCCAACCATGCATCCCTCATTACTGTGATCCAACCATGCATCCCCCATTACTGTGATCCAACCACGCATCTCTCATTATCATGATCCAACCACGCATCCCTCATAACTGTGATCCAACCACGCATCCCTCATTACTGTGATCAAACCACGCATCTCTCATTACTGTGATCCAACCACGCATCTCTCTTTATCATGATCCATCCACGCATCCCTCATAACTGTGATCCATCCACGCATCCCTCATTACTGTGATCCAACCACGCATCTCTCATTACTGTGATCCATCCACGCATCTCTCATTATCATGATCCATCCACGCATCTCTTATTATCATGATCCATCCACGCATCCCTCATTATCATGATCCATCCACGCATCTCTCATTATCATGATCCATCCACGCATCTCTCATTATCATGATCCATCCACGCATCTCTCATTATCATGATCCATCCACGCATCTCTCATTACTGTGATCCATCCACGCATCTCTCATTATCATGATCCATCCACGCATCTCTTATTATCATGATCCATCCACGCATCCCTCATTATCATGATCCATCCACGCATCTCTCATTATCATGATCCATCCACGCATCTCTCATTATCATGATCCATCCACGCATCTCTCATTATCATGATCCATCCACGAATCTCTCATTATCATGATCCATCCACGCATCCCTCATAACTGTGATCCAACCACGCATCCCTCATTACTGTGATCCAACCACGCATCTCTCATTACTGTGATCCATCCACGCATCCCTCATAACTGTGATCCAACCACGCATCTCTCATTATCATGAACCATCCACGCATCCCTCATAACTGTGATCCATCCACGCATCTCTCATTACCATGATCCATCCATGCATCTCTCATTACCATGCTCCAACCACGCATCCCTTATTACTGTGATCCAACCACGCTTATCTTAATACTTTTAATGCAACCTCATGTCCATCATTAATTGCCATCACGCAGATATCACTCATGTCAAGCATACGAACATGTTTTACCTGATATGGTCCCTAGATACTTCCTTTTCCCAGGCAGATAGAAACCGGGGCACGTTGTTGGCGGACAAGTCCCGGGGGTGAAGGTCGTCCACATCATTCTCAGTCAACACTTTTTTGTATCCTCTCAGTATGAGGCTAAATTTGAAGAAACCCAACAAAACAATGACCACAAATATTGAATTCACAAAGATGTGTGTTTGTCAAGTTATATGTAATAATAATAAGTTGCTGCCTATGATAACGCTTCCGTTAGTGATTGTATTACAGATATATAGTTGTGGTGATTAATTAAAATGGTTCCTTATCCTGCAAAGTTAAAGTAGTGCTGCAAAAGCTGAGTAGCTTGACGTCTTGAACAAAAGATAAATATGAATTAAATCATTGTTTGTAATTAATAAGTGCGTTGATCATTTTGCATTATTCCTTGTGTCATAACACAAGTTAGAGCAGATGGCTACAAGGAATGACGGTGTTTTAAGATATCCACAAGTAACTTACCTGTTTGCCCACCAGAAGGTGATTCTGGACAAGAACGAAGCCGACACTTCAGGTGAAGCTCTCTGGCGAAAAGGTACAAAACAAATTCCAGTCAGTTTACATTTCATGTTGTCCTTCACTAAATAGTAACCTGTGACTAACAATTAACACTGCTTTCAAGTCCAGATTATCCCCTGAAACAGATTAAACTTTGACGTAAGCATCAAAATAACTGAATATATGGACCACTGAATATCAGTGATGACACCATGGGCCAGGTGTTCGCGAAAACGATAAGCATGCCATACCCTACCGGTAACATCCGCCATTGACACAATCTACATATAAAAGTTAGTATTTATTGCCTGACGCCACCGGCGGCCTGTAACCAAAGAAGACAACTAAGTGATCGCTGAACAAGAAAATCCAGTTACACGATAGTGCACTTACTGATTTTTGTTTGGAACTAATAAAAATGATATGTTTATTTTGAATAACGTCTGCTGTGTACAGAGTACAGAGAATCTGCTGCTAAAAAATAAAGAAAAACGCTTAAGGAATATATCTGTTTTGCAACACAGTGGGGGCGAGTTTAAATGTCTCGGCCCAAACATTTGACAATGGAATGGAACAGACAAGTAAATTATTATAATAATGTAAACGTTTTCATAATTAGATTCTCTCGAGATATGTAAATACTTACAAGGCAGTTAATAGATATCGTGATACTATCACCTTGGTTCATGTACATAGTCCTTATTGTCACTGATTTAAGCCATAAATAGGTGTTTGGCATGTCATAAGAGTAACGTACTTTAGGAGAAAGACAAAAAGTGTTATGCAAACAATTTTTCTCCTAACAATATTTTACAGTTTTCCCAAACCTTGAATCATCATACATGTACGTCTTGCTTTAATTATTAAGTAACAATTTGATCCCACATGTTGTAAATAAAGTATTAATAAAGTGTATTATAACAGCATGTTGGATATACCTTGTCCTGAAGTGATGACTCCGCAAAGCAACTTAGTATCAGGCCCACGATGACCAGAGCAAAGTAAACGTAGAACATGCAGAACTTAAACATGTCTACGTCGTATTCCTGAAAGTAGAGGCGACTTCTTCTGTTTGTTTGCGCAGAGCATCATCAACGAGAAACAACGAATCATATTTACATGACCTTAATTTGATCAATACTTAATTGAACCATATATATAACTATGTCATATAAACATATGAACACTTTGCAAATGTCTATGAGCTTCATACTGGGGTCGGACTCGGATGGTCCAGTTGTCATTAGTCCATATACTTGCTATGCTGGGTTGCATCCCTTGCTCCGAATCGGGATATGATACAAGAGCCAATGGGTTCGAATCCTAGATTAGCCCCGATTGTGAATTTTGGTTTGGTAGAACCAAACCCATGCTCGTTTGTAAATGTCTACGAGCTGTCCCACCTTGGACGTCCCTCACAACTCTCAAGGACGGGTGTTAAACGAAATCTTGTTCTTATCCAACTCGCTCACTTTACAATCCGCTAGGTGAACACTCTACCTCTTGTATAATGTTGGTGTAGAACGGCACTACTGCAGCCACAGTCAGAATGACGCAGAATATGAAGAACACTCCAGATGTGGTGAGACCCTTCCTCCTTTCCAGGAACAGCAACACCATGGCGTAGACCTGAGGAATCACTTGTCATATGTATGTCAACCAAATTATTAAAGACGTCATTGTTCACATATGATAGCATAGATATCGGGGGTGGGGAGGGGTGTGGTGGGGTGAGCGGTATTGATGAAGGTGAAAGACCATAGAAGGTTCACTATTCACATATGCCGAAAAAGTTAAAAAATATAGTTTATTTTACTAAGTAATGGTTAAATATGCTATTTGCAAATCATTTAGCACCTTTAATATAAGAGGCACCAGCTAAAGTTATTCTGCAAACTTTCATCTTCCTAGGACGTAAGGTGTTCGAAGGGATGAAGAAATTGTGTATGACAACATGATGGCCGGATAGAAAGGCTTGGAATTATTTCTATGCGTTTCCGTAGCAGTAACGTACCACCAGTATAACATTTCACGTAGGACATACCTGTGTCGAATTAATTAAACGGGAATTGGTGAGAGACTTATTTCACGTCGTTAAATGTGAATTACTACATACACGATTCTATTTTACAATTCTGCAAGGAAAATATATGTTGCATTAAACCATACATACAAACGTGATGGTCTTTAATATGGGTGCAATATAGTTTGCTGAAAAATTCCCAGCATGCTCTTCAGATGACGCCCGAATTATCTCCACAGCTGACACAAGCACCAGCAGTCCACACACCATCTAGAAATTGATAAATGAATACAAAATGTAAAGCAAGTCGGACATACTCTTGGAATTCAAAGACTACAAATACTTGGAGTCTTTCAGGAGTAAGATCGCCCTACTGATCATGACCACTTCTTTAGAGGCAAGGGGGATTGTGGACGAGGTACTACGTGGTCTAGTCGAATAACCTTACCGGAATATGGCCAGCATTGTCAGAGAGTTATACACATGTGAACCAGCGAGAGCTGGGGATTTGAAGTTGGGAGTTGCAGAAAAGACAGATTTGTGTTTTTGTTTTTTGTTTCTTGTTTAACGCCGCACTCAGCAATATTCCAACTATATGACGGCGGTTTGTGAATTATCGAGTCTGGACCAGGCAATCCAGTGATTAATATCATGAGCATCGATCCACGCAATTGGGATCGATGACATGTATCAAGCTGGTCAGCGAGCCTGACCACACGCTCCCGTTTGTCGCCTCTTACGACAAGCATAGTCGCAAACATGGGTTGCTGAAGACCTATTCTACCCCGGATCTTCACGGAGAAGATTTGTGTTGTCGATCTAGAAGTATCCTGTATACTATGAAAGTCTAATAGGGATACATCATCGATGAATTGAAGGTACACAACGGCGTGATCAACGGTCTGGTGGCCATTTCCATTGAGGGTCTAGATATACGTTGTAACCCATGTGAAAAACTCAGACATTGCTATTTTAAGTTACTTAATTATTGATAGATGTATATGCCACTGAATGGCATTGAAACAAGTCTAGTCTCTCTTTATGAAGGTTCTTTGAGACTGATCACCACAATTACCAATGAACGGTTGAAACGTATAATTAATCGATGTGTTGTGGCCTAATAAACCTTTAGCACAGATACCATTTCAGTATTGTTCAAACAGTCCTCCCAAGATATATGTAACGACAAATGAAAGGTTTTGTACACACCACTATAATATGGTGCCCAAGCACATAACGTCACAGTCCGCAATAGAGTAGCGATAAAGAATCAAGGGTTAAATACACTGTATATTCGAAGCATATATTTCCTGTCGAATTCGTGAATAAATATTTTCTTTCGCGGCGATGCGGGCATCAACATGACCTAAGGGACCGACCATTTAATATTTGGGAGAGCGCCAGGGATTTTATCGAAAAATTTGTATCCGAATTTTTTTGAAAAACATTAATATGCTTTATAGTGTTGAAACAAGAAATTGTCTGCCACAAAAGTTTCATTCTTGCAATGTGCTTTTCAGGGGGAAATATTTTGGTTCATAGTTTTAATTAAAAATCCATCTGGTATTGCAGCTGTTGACCCTTGTGCTCAAAGTTGTTTTGAACAGTGAATCAAACGGTTACTTAACCATTTTCATGTAGTATTTCCAATATGAAGAAAGAGACGTCGGTGTGACGTTCAGGAGGTAGTAGAGATAGAACGGCGACGTCAGCCACAACCACCCACATGGCACCCACACCAACACCGTGGACTGGAAGCAGTCTGTGAACTGAGGCCATGTGTTGTACCAGGTCAGGTTTGTGTCCTGGAGAAGATAGAAGAATCCTGATTACACATTACCCCAGAACCAAGAAGCTGAGGTGTTCCTTGTATTAAAGTTGATTTACGTATGCATTCTGAGCGGAATGTCAATAATTATAGTTGTTCATACATGTATGGTAGTAGTAGTAGTAGCAGTAGTAGTAGTTCTGTCCCACCGCCCGTAGTAGTAGTGGTTAGTTTGTTTGTTGTTTAACGCCGCAATATTATCAATATCCGAGCTGTGTGACGGCCCAACCAGAGAATCCATTAATTGAGATCATGAACATCCATATTCGCAAATGGGATATACGCATCAACCAAGGCACCAAATCTGACCACCAATTAGTCGCTCCTTCGACAAGCATAGTCGCCTGTTAAGGCAAGCATGGGTTGCTGAAGACCTATTCTACCCCGGATAGTAGAAACAGTAGTGGTGGTGGGGACAGCAGCAGCAGCAGCAGCAGCAGCAGCAGCAGCAGTAGTAGTAGTAGTAGTAGTAGTAGTAGTAGTAGTAGTAGTAGTAGTATGAAGTTTCCAGATCTGATCCTGTTGAGTATTTATTGCGAGGCACTGAGAATGTCGATTTATGGCGAACATAAGGTGACACGAGAGATGTGACTGGTTATCTCCCTTTGTTCAGGCTGACGTGACTCATTCAAGTGGGTATTGCAACGAATGGTGCAATCGATGGCTTATCTTTAACTAATACTAACAAAGACAATTGACTAATGATTGCAAGTATGCTATAATTTAAGTATATTATTATATGTATCCCTAAATCAGTGTGACAATACATTGCCTATAACGACTGTCTGAAACACACATCAGAGTATCATACAAACTGTAATTTAGTTTTCTCGGGTCAACCTTAATTGACAATGGTCATGCTGTGAGTTTGAAGTTTAATCCATTTTATTGTTGTATCCTATTATGGTAGAGATTATTACAGTGATGCCGGTAGTCAGTTCCTAAACAATGGCGGATTAACGAAGCATGGTTATGTTGTACCCAGAATGGCTCCATTACATATTCTAAAAGTTATGCCCAGAAGGCCGGGTTTCCGGATTAACGGAGGTTCAATGTACAAAAAATAAAACATATCAAACACAACATGTATAAAAAGTTGCACTTAAAAACTTAACATTTTTAAATCTGTACATATACATTCTACGTGTATATGAAATGACATTTCAGTGTGTAAATGTACATTCAACAGTGCATACAAATATACATACATCTTATAAGATAGTGAACGATGAATTTCAATTAAAACAGGAGCACACTCAAAAAGATATATCTGTCACTTACCCATACCGGCGTCCCGTTACACAGCGAGGCCATTGTGTCTGAGTGTTTTATGGTAAGAACCTCATTGAAGATAAAGCTGTCGCATGAGAGTACATGTGCTTATCTGCGTGTGACCTGACATGACCTGATTTCTCTTCTCTCGGGTCTCTTTCATCATGTGACCTGCTGTTGCCCAGCCTTGAGTAACCCCCCACCGCTAGTATGCCACAAACACAATACACCTGTGTACGCCAGGGTGCCGTTGTCCAAAGCGGTCTTAGCGTTATGGTGATCGTTACTCCCATACCTCAACATCTAGACAGTCGTAGCGCTGAGGTTGTTTTGTACAACGGCACCCAGGCCTGGTATTGTCATGTTAGGCGATATGGTGTAGTTTAAATTGCCACAAGTTGAAATGGTCACTTGAAAATGTCAAAACGGCCACACTATAACTTTCAATGGCCACATGAAAAAAGTGTATATAGTGTAAGTTTATACTTATTTGTTCTATTTATCTCATTAATCTAAATAATTACAATACACTTTGGTCGTTCGTAAAACCTGTGTTTGTTGTCTTTACGAAGATTTTGTAATACATACTTTGATACTGTGAGTGACAACACTTATTGGATTGACGTTTTTTTGTTTAACGCCGCCGCACTCCGCAATATTCCAGCTATATGACGGCGGTCTCGAAAATCCAGTGATTGATATCATGAGCGTCGATCTACGCAATTGGGATACGATGACATGCATCTACCAAGTCAGCGAGCCTGACCACCCGATCCCTCTTACGACAAGCATATATAGGCGGCTCTTACAGCAAGAATGGGCTGCTGAAGATCTATGCTCTACCTGGATCTTCACGGGTCGGTGTAAGCATGGAGTGAAGCAGATCCCCCGCATTACTTGTCACCAAATAAGTGCCTGCTAAGTGTGTAAAGTGTAGAAAACTGTCCTTAAGATGCAACATACTTTTGAGTGTGACTCCTGCAAGCAGCGCATCCATCGAACATGCGGCCAGGATGTTACTGATTTATGTCTTTAGGTGCTAATCAGTTAGAGTGTTTACAAATGTGCTTTGGCACGAAAATTTGTGTAGTAACATCTAACTGAATGCTTTCCAATTGTTAAAAGGTTATTTATTATCATTACAAAAGAAAGCAGCCCTGATCAAGCTTCAGGCCGGGTCACTGCAGAGAATTTTACAGAGGAAACCGTTGGAGACAACCCTGCACAAGTCTTCACAATCATGAAAATGAAAGGGTTGCCAACCGTTGTCGTGAAAAGATCTGACCCGCGATGACTGTGCCCGTCAACAATCACGTTGGAGATTCGCAATGTTTGCTATTTATATTCACATATTATAATTGATAAAACTCAAAGTCTAAAACAAGATGTTGTTCTTGTTCTTATTAATTGTTTGCTTGTTTGTTTGTTGCACGCCGCACTCAGCAATATTCCAGCAAAATGGCGGTGGTCTTTAAATTTAAAAAATCTTGAACAGACAATCCAGGGATGGATATGAGCATCGATCCACGAAATTGGGATACGATGACATGCATTAACCAAATCAGCAAGTCTGACCACCCGATCCCGTTAGTCGCCTCTTACGCCCAGCATAGTCGCCTTTTTACTGCAAGCACGGGTTGTTGAAGACGTATTCTACCCTGGATCATCACAGGTCTGTTCTTGTTAATAATATTATAGGTTGGAACAGGCGAAGCATTAGTGATGAACACTAAACAATCAAGCACTTGGTGATTTTCAAGGTACAACGTACACACAGTATTAGTATTCTGTTTATTTCGTAGTGGAAATAATCATTATACAGTATATGCAACTCAGCTATTCGTACTATGAGGTCAACCCTGCAGCTTTGGCCATGTTGTAGAAGATGCTGTCAGGCTGTTGCAACAGGGAGGAGGGTGTGTCAAACTCACACACACAACCGTTGTCCAGGACCAGGATCCTGAAAGATGCATGTTAAGTGTAATCAATATACAATATATAAAGCCCAATGGTTTTGTTCTAGGAGATCAACCCTGCAGATTTAGCCATGCTGTAAAAAATGCTGTCAGGCTGTTGCAGCAGGGAGGAGGGTCTGTCAAACTCACACACACACCCGTTGTCCAAGACAAGGCTCCTGAAAGATAGATGGTTAAGCCGAAAAGCGTTCTTGGCTTTTGTTTTTGCTGTTTACAATTTATTAATGTATGTAAGTGAGGATTTGTCATTTGGTTATCAGTTGATTTTGCCTAGTTATCGATGAATGAATTATTGTGTGGTGAATCGTATTGCTCGTTTCTAGTTTGACTGACGAAGTTGGAAGATCATGTGAATGAATGCCTGGAGGCGATATCGATATTGCATATGCTTATTCGAAACTGTTGGCTCGATAAGCCTGAGAGTTTTCAGGTCCTTGGTCCTGCCCAAAACTGAAACACATGCTGCATGTAGTGTCACCCTGGACAAATAACTTCGTTCGAAATATGCCTCTGTTCACCCAGCAGTAAAAAGGGTACCTGGTAGAATGCGATGGTGATGTCCCTGTAGCTCATATGGTGATCATATGGAAAGTGAAAGTAGCTTTGTTCGAAATATGTTTTTGCTCACCAGGAGTAAAATTGTTAAGATGAGATGACATGTGACTTTTACCCTTCTAGGGCTTGACATGGCAGTGTGGGCTGTATACTCCCCAGGGAGCCGAGAATTGAAATCGAGTGCACACTATTTAATTGATAGGGGTGTTACTGCAACCGTGCACTTTGTATTTAGTGGCATGAATCGATCCTCGGGAAGAGTTATCCCCCTTGGAAGGGTTAGTTTGTATTGGTAGCCATGCACATGGAATGAGGTGAGAAGAACACTTAAATATAGCGACATGCATGTACGTGTGTGTGTATGTCCTTTGTATTTCTCCGGAAAAATGCCAATTTTATAGTATTACTAGACCACCAATCGAGATACCATGCCGCAGTTTAACATGAATACTCCACTCAGACACAGTAAACCAGTCTTTGTTTTAGCCCCTTAATGCCGAGTGCCATGCAGGGTAACAACAAGTGCCATATTTGGGTATCACGCGGCCTGGGATCGAACTCCTGACCTTCCGCTCACTGCGCGGACGCTCTATCTACTAGACCACGGAGGCAGTCGTGTTTCTTGGAGCTTTACGATACAAGAATAAAGCTTCTGTATGAACACTACGGTGCTGTTATCTTGGATGGAAATGGCTCACTGGCTGCGACTGTCGTTATAGAGAAACACTCCGCTGACACTCCGTCGAAACTTTGTGCTCAGGTTATTTCGGATATTCGGTAATCATCTTCCCGAGGTAAGTGAGTTAACTGACTATAAAAGTCAAGTTTTCACCCTTGCCGTACTAGGCTGGTATTATGGAGTTACATTTTTGCTGGACTAACGAGTCTATGCATAGTCCAATCAAAATCGTGCACCGAAATCGAAATCCGGTTCGTAGAGTGTCATGCAGATTTCGGTCGACTGCAGGATTTGCAAAGCTTGTGCACCGCTAACTCGTTGTCAACAGATATTTTCTAAATCTTTTCATGTTTTTAATCAAGGTGTTCACGTGATTTGATGCACTTCGCGATGTAAGACTCGTTTTATGACAAAATAGATCTTGATTATCGATCAGATCGTCTTGACTGGGCGCCACCGTTTTGTTTGAAACAAATGCAAGTGATACGAAAGGTTGAATCTGATTGGTCAATAGGAGAGGCATGGAAAGGACATAACTCGTAAAAGACACTGGTGGTGCTACGATCGAGCCCAGGAATTCCAGCCTAGTTCGGCAAGGGTGGAAACTGGACTTCTAAAGACTACGAGATGTTCGATAATGGGATATTCTTGGACTGAACTGTGATTACCGTGCATTAAAGATGATTTGTGTTCTTGTTCAGTGAATAAACATTAACCATCAGCTTGACCTAATTCTGTGAGAACACTGTCGGCAAGAGCCGGTCAGTATTTAGATTTGATGAAATTTCACAGCTATTCAGCGCTCACGTGGAGAATGTGGGGTCCTGCCTGCAAGCATGGATCTATTTTAGCAGTGGTGTAACCTTGGTGTTCCTGTTCATGGGGAAACTGTGGACTATGTGCAAGGATATCTGGGACTCAATAACGTTATGTTTGGAGCAATTTTCGAATATTTTTATGTGTCATATAATATTGAACTTCGTGACTGCTTATTGTGAAATGAAGTGATGGAAACGTAGGAAATGTCCTTGCGTTTTTTGTATGTTGAAGAATGATAATTTGACATCTATTTGTTGTGCTCTTGAAACAAAATAATATGTGAGATGTTGTTACTTCTTGTGTAGATTAGTTATGATAATAGCTTCTAATGGCTTATAATGAAGAATATCATAGATGTGATAGAGTAGGTAATGATAATGACAGGGAAAAGACTATCCCGTTGTTTCAGAGAAGATCCTGGATAGCATTGCTCTTCAGCAAACCATACTGGCCGTAAGAGGCTACGTACTATGCGTGTCGTAAGAGGCAACTAACGAGACCGGATGGTCGGGATCGCTGACTTGGTTGATGCATGTCATCGTATGACGCGCGTGATGTCAGTCACTGGTTGGCTGGTGCAGACTCGATATATAACAGATCATTAAAACTAATAATTTGTAATACTACATTGCAAAATTCAGAAATGGAGACAAAAACTAGCAGGCTTATAAGAAAGATACCTGTCGTAATCCATGACGGTGTTGAGTCTGTGGGCGATGGTCAGCACCGTGCAGTCCTTGAACTCTGACCTGATGGTCTGCTGGATCAGGTCATCTGTTTCCATGTCAACGGCTGACGTAGCCTCGTCAAGTACCAGGATCCTGGTCTTCTTCAGAACAGCTCTGGCCAGACACATCAATTGCCGCTGACCAATACTACAAAATAAATGTTTGTATAATTGTTAATATAATTGTTTCGGTATAACAAAACGAATGATTACTCCTTGCGAGGTCAATATGCGAAATCAGCCTCATCTCCCCTTGTAAACTCACGACATGCACAAGTCACTATAACATAAGAATGTGTTTATTACAAGCATGGGTTAAATATTCTGCCACAGAAGCCCAATTATGAAGCCTAAATACTGTACCTCATATTTCCTCCTCCCTCGCTACACTCGTGTTCCAGTCCATTAGGAAGCGACTCCACAAACGTCTTGAGATGAGCCTGTTCTAGTGCCCGCCAGATCTGATTGTCTGAATACTGGTTGAAGGGGTCAACATTACCTCGCAGACTTCCGGCAAACAATACAGGATCCTGCAAGAGCATTTCAAAGCATTTCGTCATATTAATCGTTCAAGAGTTCAAACTGGTTATTAATATGAACAATATCATATGAAATGTCCACACGTATGACGCCAATATTGATGACAAGGAAACGCTTACCTGAGGCAGGATGGTGAGTTTGCTCCTGAGATCATGCAGCCCGAGTGCACTGACGTCAACGCCATCTATGTTGATCTCTCCTACTGCAGCCTCTATCAACCGGAACAGGGACAGAGTCAGAGAGGACTTCCCCGCTCCCGTCCTGCCAACGATGCCCACCTGAAAACCGATTTTTAAGAGTGCCTAAAACCTTTTGTTTACCCATGTCTTCATCAATGCTGATCACCGTCCCTGTTCAACACACATATCAAAACCACAATTTGTGGAGCAAGCGTGAACTATATAATATGTGTATATTGTTTCCCATTTGATGATATTAATTAATGTCCCTATATTACCTTTTCCCTGGGATGAATAGTACATGTGATGCCCTTGAGTACAAGATCAAGGCCTTCTCTGTACCGTGTTGAGTAGTCGAGGAACTTCACCATCCCTGAGTCTGGCCAGTCGTGATTTGGACGTCTCTCGGGTATGTCCCATGCTGGCTAAAATATACATACCATTTATTTTGACGGTCTAATCTTCATGACATTCAAAAATATTTTTCTTTTTGAGAAAACGTCAGTGTATTTGAGTACATGATTTAATTTTAAATCAAGTTTTTGTTCCTCCCTAACCCCAAAATGAATATAGTCTATAACCATATTACGTTTATTTTCAATTTTTGTTATTATCAAGCACTACTGCAAGGTTTGGTTCCAGGTAATTCGAAAACAAATCCTAAAAATACCTCCATGTGGTTTAATCTAATGTATCTATATGTTAATTTAGGCTGTTAGTATTGAAGTCAAGCACATCTTTGTATTTACCTCCGACTTGATTTCGAAATATTGGATTGTCTAATTCAACCAGTTAAAAAGTGTACTTTTCTCCTCACCTCCGATGTGATTTCTGTATACTGTTTGACCCTCTCCACAGACACAACCTGTGTCTGAACTTCAGATATCAGTTGAACCAACCAGTTTAAGTTGGCCGTTATCTGAAAGTCATGTATACATTGATTTCGAAGACCAAACACAACATTTACTCGCTTATATACTTCCCAACGACAGATGTGAGTTTCAAAAACGACTCCTCCTTTCATAAACTTAATACAGCCTTTAAACTTTACCGTCACGTTCTCACGTTTCAAGTGACATGGATGGCCTATAATACATTTTCAATGTGTAGATCAAGGTCATAATAGGTTCAATGTCAACGACAGGTCACTCATAAATTGCAAATACCCAAGATGTTTAGGCTGTGTCAAAATAAGCATTATTCAAGACGAACGACATACCTCAATAGCATATGAAACCGACAAGCCAACAAGCCCTCCTGACAGTGTGTCTCGGGAGATCACAGCAAACAAGGAGGCAGCGAGAACGATGATGTTTCCGATAATCTCAAGGCGGACACCCTGCCATCTGAACAGAAAAAAACGTTATACCTGGATGTGATACAGACAAATATACAGACGCAGCCACATACGTATTCGCAGACACAGACGCAATGGCATAGAACAGGGCCCATTCACATACACTGTAACATAACAAAAACACAATCGAAGTGCCATAGATGCATCTTTAGACACCAGTACAAACAGTCAAAAGCCCAGAATCTCCACCGGTATGTTGCTAAGTCTAGGTGATATGAAGCAATGTATAATGAATGTTTGATCCAGTTCGAGTATCAAGGTAAAGACAAAAATGACATTTACCTGAGAGCACAAAATGCGTAAAAGGAGAACCTCTGGTTTGTGTCTACCCGGTCTTCTGATTCTTTGATGAACCTCGACTGAGCTTGGAACGATCTGATAACACTGGCTCCGGATAATGTCTCCCCAAAATGGCTGTATATCGGGGAGCGAGCTTTCGACTCTAATCGTTTTAGCTGCCGCGAGGTGGTGACGTAGTATCCCTGAAAGTACACGTATTGTTGAACTAAGGAGTCCATTTGCTGTAATATAAAAAGATATCGTTATATAATGTTCTTGTCCAGGATAATAAGGCATGGCTATGTCATGCTTTGTTAAAACATGTTTTATTTTCAAAATCTAAGTGTCTGTTATCCTTACATTACATAATCACAAACCTGTGTATTCGAAGAGAATGAACGTTCACCTGTACAAAATGGTAAAGAATGACCAAAGGAAAGACAACGGCGAGGAAGATGGGCGTTGTGTATGAGATGACAATGATGCTACTGAGGACTTGGAACATGGTGCTGATGGCTTGCTGTGCTAGAGTAGGCATCATGGTGTCAATTGAGTCAATGTCCTGAGAGAATCTGTTGACAATTCTTCCGGTGGGTGTGGTATCAAAGAAGGACATTGGTGCCTTCAGAACGCTTGCCAACATTCGGAAATGCAGTATTCCAGAAGCCTTCACTGTCCTGATATTCCACACAAAGGAAAATATGATGATGGTTCCAGCTGAAAAATATATGATCCAGTCAGATCCTTTCATATATGTTTCAAACAAATATACTCCTCTGCATTCAAATCTTACGTTCCATTGTCTGTCAGCACCATACCCAGTTCTTGAGTTTCACCAAAGATATCTGCACATCCCAACAGAGTACATCTTGAAGTTGTCATCCATACAAATTGCCAAGCGTTTACGACCAGAGTCACTTTACTCCTACATTTAGCTGAGACGCTTGGCTATACCTGAAATACTGTTTAAAGTAGCATTATACCTCACCTCACTAACTCAGATCTTACTTTGAGCTAGACCCAAGGCACCATAGATTCCCAAATAGTAGATGTTCCTCGTCATTCGCTCTGAACAGTTGGAAGGAAGGAATGTCACATTGTTGAGGAGGTCGTCATCAGTCCATCTGCTGAGCCATGTGTTTGCTATTACTGATGTTGCTTGAAACAGTGCATACATGACCAGAGCGAATGTCACAGACCACATACCTACAGCCCTTCCGTATGCTAAAAAGACATTGAGTGCAACCTGAAACGAGAAGATGGCCAGTGTATTGAATAGTTTTCATCATAGGAGAAAATATTTCACTAACAGTAAGAATTCCATTTCAACCAAATTGTTCAATTATGTTTCAGATCGCGGACACAAATTGCAGCTCATGAACTAAGTTCAAAGTCTTGTGGCTGCCAAGATTCATACCATTGTTACCAGGCTGGTGGACCTATAATCACTGGTGACTTCTCTATTGTTGACAATAACAGCCTACTACCAATTGCGATCACAAGGTCTGTAGCCTTTCCCACTGACACAGTCTCAAATAACATAACCATTATTTGTAAGAATCACCACATTAATTGTTTGCTAAAAAGGGCTAAGTGACTTTTCAAATAATGTGACACATACGAAGTGTACATATATCTAAACAGAGGAAGAAATATCAATATATATCTATATATATAATCGAGGAATTTTATAATCGAGGAACGTGTTTATTTATATTCACAGAAAGTATTTGGAACAGATGGAATTAAAACCATGTGAATTCTCCAAAAGGGTTTCTTGAAGTTTGGCAATCTCTGAGAAGAACCAAGTGCAATTACCTCAAAACAATATATTTTTCAACTTTGTAAAGCTTAATTCCTACATTTATGGGGTATAGTTATATCCCCATTTACAAATTTATCAAAAATGAAATGTAAATGTCATCTTAAGTTTACTGAGAAGACATATTGAGAATGTCTGAACTTCCTCATTGATAAGCTACACTGTATGCAAGTTGGGGACAGGCAATACGTACACAGAGGCATCCCCATGGGCACCAATTGTGTTCCTATCTGTGCTGATCGGTTTTTACATGCGTATGATACAACATTTTTGCTTTGACTGGCAAAAGTGTTTTTTTTTAAATTTGACCAAGAAGTTTAATTTCAGCTTCTTCATGTACATCGATAATCTGATAATGGTCAAAATAGTCAATAATGGTCAAAACGCCAATTCCCTTCCACTGATTTCACCCACGTGAACTAGAAGTAATTAACACCAGTGAAAGCACGTTATCTGTTTCATAAAGTTTCAGACAGAGTGACTTAAAATAACTACAACCTGTTGGGCATAGAATCGCAAATAATTTCTCTGTTGTTGATGCAACAATACCCTGCTAGCAATTGGAATCACAGCTTTAAAACCACGGGGTCATTATGTATTCTGTGGAAACAATGAGTCGACCGAGAAGATGGGCATGTTGAAAGTCTCCCAGAGTGGGTTACATATGTCAGTGTGTGATGACTGTCTGCTCTCATATGCAAAATTAATGCGAGGGATTTTGGCCAAGAGGTTGAATTTAAGCGTCAGGAATATTTATGATGTGATATCGTTCAATTATTGGTAATAAAAGAGACCAGCGAAACCGCTTCATCTGTTTCATATTTAGATCTCTGCATAAAAGTTCAGAGTGACAAAACACTGCCCTCAAGACTGCATGACAAGAGGTATGAAAACGTTCCCTTTCTGTCCAGCAATATTCTAGCAGCACCAGCCTTTCCTATCGATATTTCCCAGCTTTTGAGGTACAGTCATGCATGCTATTTCTACCAAGATTTCAAAGAGTGTCATTTTGCTCAAAAGTTGTTCGATCTAGGTTACAACATTAAAGGCCCAGTAAAGCTTTCAAAATATTTTATGGTAGACATGTGGAGGAAATTTCCAAATTTGACACAGCAATGACAAAAATTATGTCTGATGCAATGGCGCATTCATTGTGTTCCTGTGTTATTTCATGTGAATAACTGACTTGTCTTTGCGCGTGTTTGTGACGGAAAGCACACGCTGACCTTTTATCGAATACTATTTGATAGCGATTTATCAACACATGTTCATGGTATGGTCGGAATCAAACACTCGACTTTGCTTTCAGATGGAATCTTATAATTCATTTAGCATGTCTGGTGCATTTTCCTACCACGTATTCCCGTTTGTTTAGGTTAACCATTGATTTGCCTTTGCATGTGTGTGTGTGTGTGTGTGTGTGTGTGTGTGTGTGTGTGTGTGTGTGTGTGTGTGACGGCTGTGAGGCTGGATACGTTCATTTGTGTTTCCCTTTACAAAACTGGAAATGGAGCAACATGCACTCCATCAAAGACTTCGGAACTTGACATGGGAATATGACTAATAGAGTTAGATTAGACGGCGCTTTGCACAAAGTTCATTTGTATCACCCTAAGACACCGACATAGACTTGTAAATGCCAAATAATAAACATTTTTAAACTTAAGTAAAATCAATGGTATGGTGTCGTCAAACTCAGTATCATGCTCAGGGAGAGTATGTGATTCGACCCTGTCATCTGTGTGTCCCGTGACGCAAAAGGGACGCACCACTGCTCAGCGATAGGCAGCTCATTCGGGCACAGCGTCACCCCTCCTTGAACAGAATATATACATTGTAAACGTGGAGGATCAATAAGACATGTGACCATTACAAACCTTTCCTTTCTCCACAATCTCATCTTCTATCAGTTTACTCTTCTCATTTAACCGATCCACACTAACCACTTCCTTCTGGTCTGGGATGGGTTGGGTCATGTCTGCACTCTGGATCAGGGATGTGCTACAACACGTCATCAAATCATTTATGTCACCTATTAATAATTAGTACATAAACATTATTGGTTTTATAAATGTCAGTATTTGGAACCACCAGCTGCTTATGCAACCGGTTCCAAATGAAATTTCCTGGTATCCAATATTCAAAAGCATTCACAAATGAAAACACATCATCTTTATCAACATTGTAAAATACAAAGTTATCAGTTATCAACACGTCAGATTGAATGACCGTCTCCCAGTCATTTTACAATAACGAATAAAGGTGGCGTAACTTATTTCAAATTTGTTTTTAAATGTCAATACATAGAACAATATCATGTGTGTGTATCTGACACATGAAAATAAGCCAAATCCACCATTTGCACACGAGAGACATATCTAACTTACAGACTGCGATATGGAAATGTTTCATCATCAACTCTCGTATGTAGAAGCTGGTTATGCAATAGACTCTGTGAAACATATAAATCAATATGTGTTTCTTCAAAATTTATGCTGCCTTCTTAAATGAAACTTACATGAGTGCTGCACTCTCCTGGACCTCCTGTCCCGCTTCCTCACCCGATGTCATCACTTCCAGACTTTGAAGCAGTTGTTTCTTCAGTTCAGTCACTGTATAATGTCATATTTGATGGAATTATTTACACCACCGAAAGTATTAATTGTTGTGTTATGTCATTCCATTCACTAAATAACATAAAACGAATCGTAGCTTACCGTCAGCTTCATTTTCATCTCCATCAATGGTCTCGAGGATGTAGTTCTGGAGGAACTGGGCAAACGGACCGTTATGTTGCAGAAGATCCCTGTACGTCCCACTCTCTGATATCTGACCACTGGTCATCACGAGTATAGAGTCCATCGCTGGGAGCCAGTGGATGCCGTGAGTGACCAATATTCGCGTCTATGTAAAACAAACAAACTGTAATTTACTTAAACTTCCACCTTTGGTAGCCAGTGGATGCCGTGGGTTGCCAATACCCGCACCTATGTAGCAAATTCAACATAGTCACTGATATCATGATTGTTTCAATGTAAAGCATCATGTAGTTGTTAAATATCCAATACCAGAAGTAAATGTGTTCGTACTTTTCCTGCAAGGAGCCCTGTCCTACTGATGACTTTGTCAAAGATGTGTTTCCCCACATGACTGTCGACAGCACTGAGTGGATCATCCAGCAGATAGATGTCAGCATCGTTGTAGACAGCTCTGGCTAGAGACACTCTCTGCTTCTGTCCTCCACTCAAGTTGATACCCTGAAGACAAGATAGTAAGCACAAATAATACACAGGACAATGCCGTATATACATGTACAATGTAGCTGGATTGATACTCATACTGCTTTTGTCCTAATAATCCCCTGAATGAGAATATAAAGATTTCAACAAAGATCAACTTTTATTCAGAACTTGTGAGCCTCGGGCCTTTTCGTGGAAACATTTTTTTGGTGCAAACAGTATAGAATTAAACATATATTAAAACTGCTGTTGTGAAAACGTATGTGCACGTTATCAAAACTGGAATATTTGTGTTCAACCAGCATTTGCGTGAAACAATGCCAGAACTTTGCTGTATTGGTGGAAAGATGTCAAATTTGGGTTTTATATGACTTTGTCTAAACTGGATATAAGCTGGACCAATTAACATATTATAACAAATTCCGGCTTATTGATAAGAGACGGCCAAAATTTGAAACATTTCAAAATAGCAAGTAACTGAATAGAATATCTAAAAATATCAAATAGACATATCACCTTTTCCTAACATCCTATTATTTAAAGTTGATTATTTTTACAATCGTTCTCTACCACGGAACAATAATTCGATGGAGCCTATCATTCATGATGAAGAAGCATGTGAGACATTCACAAACCTGCATGATATGAACTGCCTGCAATAAATAGCAGTTCCTCTAAATATTGGTTGCATTATGGATGATACATTGACTGTGACTGTTGACACACACATGCAAACTATACAATACTGATTGCTCGCCTGTGTTCTAATACTCACTCTCTCTCCAATCTCTGTCATATCACCAGCTGGTAACATCTCCAGATCTGGAGTCAGAGCGCAGCACTCTACCACTTTGTTGTACCACTGTCTGTCCAAGGGCTTCCCGAACAGGATGTTGTTCTGCAGGTTGTCGTTCTGGATCCAGGCTTGTTGTGGTACATATGCTATGGGACTCTGACGTTAATATCAACACAAATAGATAGTTGAAAACAGGTGAAAAGTAAACTGTTTGACATTGGATGCGTATCTGATAAAATGTTAAGTAACAGGGTGATTTAAAAAATAGAAGAAGAATAGTAACCTTCAAGATGACTTGACCTTGAAGTTTGTCCATCTCCCCCAAGATTGCAGACACGAGTGACGATTTACCAGATCCGACCTGACCTACAATGGCAACAAGTTGACCCTCTTCAACAGTCAAGTTGATGCTGAAAATATAATTTTATCACCTATCCATTCAAAATTGTACTGTAGATATGAAACAGATTGTCTTTATATGTGAAACAAATAAATGGAAATTACATGGTTTAAGTAGACATTTGATATTATTTAAAGAAGAGGAAGTGTGTAATTTCCTACAAACATTACTTTATAAGATTCCAGCCCTGGTCTGAATTCCACTGAAAACTTCCATCTGTAATCTTTAATGCAGAACCTGCAAATAAGGCAACCTAATTAATTTTTTGCTGTCAAAAATGGACAAGGATAACCAGATATGATTCGTAATGACAGATCTATGATACTGCTAAAATGTTAAAATACCCATGCATAGTTCCTTGTCATATATACATGTAGTCATCAATATGGTTTAAATCCTGGAATTCTACCTGTATGTTCCTTAAATAGACATGTAAATATAAGAACGTTTTCATCAGATATAATGTTAATGCATCGACAGTTTGAAAAATCAAAACGTCAGCGCCAATCGGTCTCAATTGTATGCCGAAACAGATTCCATTGGGTATAAACAGGCCATATTGTGATGGAAATTATATGAAGTAAGTTTTTCATATTACGTGAATAGCAGAATCCTTCGGAGAAGAGATAGCATTTCAGAGTACTCATTGCACTCATTGCAGTCTCGTATCAATACTCACTTTGTGTCGAGTTCCAAGAGACATGGTCACCAGCTATCTCTTCAGTATTGAGGAACGTGTTGATTCTCTTTACTGATACTATTGTCTGAAACGGATTTGTTCATAAGTTTTCATGACCATGTTTATCCGTTTTGCATTTATGAAAATGTATTTCAGTTTGCAAGTTTTGATTATATCCTACACTATGTTGTATATCAAACACTTTTTAAAACGTCATTGCTTTGGTCGTATTCTTAATGTGTATATATTGTCCTTTAAAGTGGTACCATGTTTGTCCCGTGAATCTGTAAGATAATGATCCAGAAGTGTTTAACGCTAAACTGAACAATACTCAAGCATTATGGCGGCAGTCTGTAAGTAATCGAGTTTGGACCAGAGAATCCAGTGATTGACACCACTAGCATCGATCTTGGCAAGTGGGATAGGGTGACATGAATCAATCAAGTCAGCGAGTCTGGCCACCTGATCTCTTTGGTGGCCTCTTACGGCAAGCATGGGTTGCTGAAGATCACTTCTAACCCGGATCTACACGGGTTTGGTTTTATCATTCCGACCCAATCATGATGGGGACACCAACAGTGGATCGCACACAAAGTTCCATGTTGGGAATTGACAAGGCTACCTAACCCTACAGGTCATAATTACCACTCCTGTTGGTGTTGAGAAAATAATGAATAGAAAATCATGACAGCCTCAAGCCAAGGCGTGCCAGAGTAGCACCCCACATGGTCAAGCATGATAGCACATTTACCTGGTTACACAATGAATATAACAAACAGAATGGAAACTTGAAAGTATCCTCTACCTGGACCAAGCTTGAGCAAAGTGGTTGTAGACTCCCCACAGCGAGTCGGATGACACCTAATAGGGAGATGGAGGTGAAAACAACCTCAGGTCTGAGGTAGTGGTCTTCGGATGTGTAGATGTATGTCGTAAACATTGCCAGAGATATCTGCAACATCGACAGTGTGCCACAGCATGGGAAAAGTTGTATCATAAATCCCATCTCTAAATGTATGTACAAATAAGGGATACGTCGTTATTTCAATAAATCTAAATAAGAATTTACGTAGAACTTTTCTCTGTTCTAATGCGTTATTTTCACTTTTTGAGGCACTCTTTTAACAATCCCGATCTTATGGTTGAATGCATATACCAACAAATATGTTTTCAGCTCAGTTTTAAACATTTAGACATGTACTTTAATGTATCTGATGCTACACCAGCTTTTTAGTTACCAAATGTGCAAGTATATGTTGTTACAAAAGAAGACGCTGATCACTAGATTATTATTTTTGAGATGGATGTTTGTCTGAATCAGTTCATTTGTGTACTAATGGTTAACTCATTGTGTGGTTATAAAACCAGCGTGAGGATTTTAAACTGAACGGATGATATCGGCGACCACTGTAGCAGCATCCTTCTAGTAAGTAGTTCATGAACATACAAGGTAGGGAACGAGAGTCCACGTGAAGGTTGTGATACTTTTTAGGAAGGAGATCGTCCACAATGTATGCATCTCCTTCTTCCGAATCTCAAGGATCTTGTCTTGGAATGACGGCTCCCACGCATATAGTTTTAAAATCTGTCAAAGCCAAATGAAGATAAATTTTCTGAGAATAATTAAACAACTGCATGAGAAAACCTGTTTCATGTCTCGACAAAGCAATTGACGCAAATGGTAATAAGCTTATATCTTGTGGATGACATCATTCTACATGAACATATTTTTGGCTCATACTTAGTAAATAGAAAGAGGTAATGTATTTTATGAAAACACCTGATTACTTTCCGGAAAGTATACGATCTGTGTTATTTCATGTGCAAAACAATTACACACCTGCAAATGTTTGTTATGAAATTAAGAAGAAAATGAATAAACATATTAAATATTAGTTGTGACATGGCAAGTTTCACTGGCTTCATTCATTAGGTCATACAGTTCAGACACGAAGTAATATGATATAAATATATACGTAATACCATGATAGAATATGAAACAGAATACCCTGGTAGAATTGGGACGTTAGGCCCTTCCGAACATTAAGCACTGTTTTATAAGCTGATATTTCTAATATGAAGGCCAATGGTAAAAATTGGCGATTATTTGTGCTATTTAAGGAAGCCGTTTTAGCTGTGTTAATGGGAGACTTACTTTGATCAGTATACTAGCATACTGAGTAGTCTTTAAAGAAATCCGACCCAAACATACATGCATATGAATTAAAATTATTTACAAAAGCACACTGATATTTCGACAGAATGTTGCATCTTTTTCTCTTTTTTAAAGGCAGGGTTCATAAATATGATACGCAAACAAAAATGGTTTGATCAGATAAATAAGGTAATCAGTTATTTATTTTTTTCACCCAAACGGTTATTAGCAAATTCTTACGTGTACTCAGCTGACTACCTTGATTCCATTGAGGACCTCGTTCATCATCTTCATCCTCTTGTCCTTCTGTTGCATCAGATCAGTTTGATGCTTCTTCAGTCGGAACGTCACGTATGTATTTATTGGTATAAAAAACAACAGCACTGCCATACCAGAAAACATGGACGATCCCAGAGACTGGTACAGCAGATATAGACCAATGGCGATCTTCATCGGATTTCCCCATATTCCCCAGAGACCCATTGTGAACCCGCGGAGATGTTCCACATCCACAGACATCAGGTTCACAATCTCACCCACTGTCGACTCCTTCCTGGCCTTGTTGCTCATCCTCAAGGACTAGGGAAAACAAAGTACACTCATTAAACATGTACAATATTTGTGAAAAAATAATACCACAACAACAGAAATGAACAATAACTGAAAGTCTGAAATCATCATGTCCCGGTCGTTTTCATAAAATATATTTAATAATTTATCATGGACTGAATTTATATTATGATGTCTAATGAATTGATCAAGTTTTTCTTAATGCCACTTTAAAGTGTATTTCAGTTATAAGAAAGTGTATCTGATATGTAAATTACCACTTTGTTAAAACCCATGACGAGAGGTATGGTGCAGACAAACCCTGACACATGATCGGGGCGAATCAGGAATTCGAACCCACGATCATAGGTATCTGGATGAAAAACGACTATTCTCAAGTAATATACAGTAATATACCCCCCTCTCCAAACGTGTATTTGGAAAAATCTATGATATTAATGTAGCTTTGTAGACATTCCTTCTGGCAATTGTCTGTATTTATTTTACGTTTGCTGATTGATTAAGTTGATACTTTAGCGATTAACTCTTTCTGTAATCATTTCATACCTTTCTAAAGATAGCTGATATAATAGCACCTGCAATCCGCACTGCTACTTTCTCCCCTTGGTGCCAGTTTGCATGGGCAAAGACCGTTTGGGTCAAAGTTGAGAGACTTAAAAGCGCACACAACACATAGCCCTTCCACATCGGCATTGTCTTGACAGTTGTAAAGGCGATGAGCTCGCTGAAACAGACCAGTATATATGGAGCATGTTTATACAAAACGTAATCACTATGGCTTTCACATGTCCCTATACATGTTATGAACAAAGGAGTGATCATGAGGGAGTAGCCAAATGGTTAAAGCTATGATTTCCCTGATGAAAACCATGTGTGGCGACCATTGCTGGTGTAACCCCGCCACCGTAGGCTTGAATATTGCTAAAATCGCCATATGAATATATACTTCTTCCACTTTGTGTATGACCTATTATGTATACTACTCATTTGAATACACTCGCAAAAAGCATTGATTGTGTTTTTTGTTTCAGCTAAACAACCTGAAATATGCTTCTTTAAAGTAATTATGTTTAGGATTCGTGGAATAAAATAGTTGAAATTTCTGTAAATAATAATGTGCTTGAATACATTTTGGATCTAATTATATAACAGGAAAACACAAAGAACCACATCTGATGTGACATAGCAATGCCTACCGAAGCAGCAGTGGGCTAGCAAATCTTAGCAATTCGCTAACAACTTTCCATACTTGGAACTGTATTAAGTCAAACCAGAAGGCCTTCCACAATATCACAACCAAAGAAATTGTTTTTGTTGGGGCAGCTACCGCCTTCTTCTCTTGTGTCACTTTGGTGTTGCTGGTCAAGAGAGGTGACTTCTCATCACAAGCAACAGTTGGTAGAGATTCATTTGGTCCATTGGAAAACGATACATTGATGTATTCATTCTGCACTTTATGTCTGAAACGGTAACAACCAGTGTAATGATAGTTGAGGATAGTTTCAGTGAGAAATACAAAATGAATTGACAAACATGGTCCATCAGTATTTCAAAATTCCATACAACAACCTTAATTTCAGATTTTACCTCGTCAAAGAAGATTCCATACTCCTAAAGGAGCATTACTGTGTTAATTATGTCTCTCAAAATTGTTACTAAACGTAATTCGCCACGTCTTCGAGTGAGTGGTTGAGTGAGTGATTTAGGTTAAACGCCGCTTTTAACACAATATTCAAGTTATATCACGGCGCGTCAGCTGGATTGTGGAAGGAAAGCACGAAGTGATGCAGGTCTGATCATACGTTTACCACTTCGGTGAAATCCACGAGCACGGGTATGATGCTGACAACCCTAGTAATGTTATCGGAGCGAACCGGGATTCGAACCCACTTCATAGGTTTCTGGCGCACCTAAGGGACGCAACTCTGCAGAAATCGCGGCGCCTTAGACGAGTGGACCACCTGAGCCCCCGTGATGACAGGAACTGTCATCGATCGTTTATGAGAATAGGTTATTACCTTTCCCCAATGTTCTTTTCTTTCTGTTTATCCCACTGAGCAAAGAAACGGGACACGTTGTAAGCAGATGATTCATCGGGATGCAGATTGTTGACATCAGCCTCTGTTAAAGTCTTTCTGTGCCCTCTACGTATTAAACTGCAATAAGGTGCATGAGTAGTAGTGGAGTGAGTGAGTGAGTTGGGTTTAACGCCGCCTTTAACAGTATTAGTTATATCGCGGCGTGTAGGCTTTATGTGGGAGGAAATCCCGAAGTGATGCAGCTTTCGGACGTTTACCACTTCGGTGAAAACCAACAAGCACGGGTAAGGTGCTGACAAACCTAGAAACATAATTGGGGCGAACCGGGATTCGAACCCATAATCATAGGTTTCTGGTGTGCCCAAGGGACGCAACTCTGCACAGCGAATCGATAGGCCGTAGACGACTGGGCCACCCGTGTCCGGCTAGCACTGCTACCATGAGGATGTCAGAGTATGCTACTTATGTCACTCTTACAATATATAAAAATATTTGCAGGGCAAAAGAAAGCTTACACTTGAAATTGGGTCTGACCCAAAACTTAAAAACGTGATCAAAATGTTCCTAGCTTCACTTGTTGTGCTATACTCATTGATATGGTGCATGTAATGTCACTTGATACCTGTATGAAACACATCACCATCGAATAACCATCTTGTTTGTTTCATCTTTAGCCACCATCAAACATGGGTGTCCACTTTCTTTTGTTCGGGACTTTTCATGGAGTTACAAACATGAACATACGAATACAGAAAATCAATATTCCACCATTTGTAAATCATTGGATAGATTAGTGGTTTAAATGCTGGCTTGTCACTGACCGGAGTTCGATTCCTAAATCACCTGGTGTATCAGGTGTACCCCACGGTGATAGGATTGGAACAGTTCTATGTTTAACGTTACCTGAAACCAAACCTCAAATTACTGCCTGTGCTAGCTACCTGTTCATCCACCAAAAACTTATCCTTGACAGAAAGGAGGCTTGCGATTCAGGACATGATGACTGAAAGTATATAAGGAAGAAATAGTTGTATCTTTAGCCAGAACTCACATATACAGGTAGTTAACAATGACGGTAGGAGCATCGTCCTTAACAAAAAGAGTTGTCACGTTTTTCAGTGCATGTTTTAACTGTTAAGATATTATTTGGAATAGCAACCAGTGATTGATATTTGATTAAATTTCAAGAGTTTTTTTATCAAGACTTTTCAAGTGTGTTGTCTTTTCGATCAATCGATCTGGTTTTATTTATAAGGAATGCCATACTGTTTTATCTGTAGATCTTTTGTCGGATGATTCTGCAAAGCAGCCCAGGAAGAGCTCCAGTGCAACCAGGGCATAATAAATGTAGAATGTCACTGCTTGAAATGCATGATGCATGTCTTCCTGAAAGAAATAGAACTCTTATATATGTGCCAAATAGATATCATTGTGATATCACAATTTTGAAATAAAATCATTTGGGAAAATCTAATGATACCTCATCAATTGATGGTATATCTGCCTCACATTCCAATGTATTGGTCGTTTGACCATGATCACATCCTATAGTTCAAATAAGGTTTACCGTTGAAAATGTAACTGAGTGGAGAAACTTAATCCATTGCAAATACCACAATTGAATGATCTCAATGACTCCTACCATGATGATAAACTATCGCCCAATCTAAGGCTGATGATTTGTCACTGTCAATGCAGACAATCGTAACCCCCATACGTTAACATTGACCTACGACAGTCATTGTGCTAAGATCGCTTTGTGGAACTGGGCCAACTACAGCGTGTCTTCAGAGAGGGAGCTGCATTGTGGGTTAATATCAGAAATTAATAAAACGACATTTTATTATGCTTCGCGTATACCTCTTGTAGGATGATGGAGTAGAAGGGGACGATGCCAGTCAGTGTGAGCAGCAGCCAGAAGGTGAACATCACCCCGGAAGTGATGAGGCCTTTCTTCCTCTCCAGGAGCAGCAGCAACATAGCAAACAGCTGAAATAATAAACCAGTCAAAGATGCTTGAGGCCACTGAACTAACTATCCGCGGCAAAATGTGCTCAATGAAAGGAAACAATTTTTGGAATACGGGTCTAATTTGAAAACTAGTATTTATTAAATTTGACTATATATAGAAAGTAACAACAGATGGTGTAGACGAAACACTTACAAAGGTGACTGCCTGGATCGCGGGTGCGACGAATATGGCTCTGAAGTTGGCGCTTGTGCAACCATCTGCATCATCGATCAGCCGTATCACCGACAATAAGACAAGGAATAAACATGCTATCTGAAAGGCGAATTATGAGCTTCCTTCATTGCCTTTTCTGAGTGAATGATGTGCAATCAAAACTCCACTTTGAATTATGTTTCAGTTACATCGCGGAGAATCAGTTTGCACTGAAATTAAGCAAAGTTTGTTACGGACACTGGTAGGATGATCATGAATAACCGCGTTTGGCAGCTTGACCCTTGAGAGTTTCTAGGGCTTCACATGTGGTGTCTGTAGGTTGGCAAGTGACTTTGTTCAAAATATGTCCCCGTTCACCGAGCAGTGAAATGGGTACCTGGTAGGATGAATTAGAAATGTGACCACAGCACTTGTGGTGTCTTTTTCGGCAAGTGGCTTTGTGCGAAATATACCTGTCTATCAGACGATGAGATGGTAATGTGACTGTTACCCTTCTAGCACCCGACAAGGGTTGTACACTCCCCAAAGAGAGTGGAAATCGAGTGCAAACTGATCCGTTGACCGGAGTAATAATGTTAGCCCTTTATGCATGCAAGGGTGTATCGAGGCTGGCGCAACATAAGTACACACATTACTATCAGCATAACGTGGAGAAAGTGATGCAGTTGTTATATGTTGGAGAGGCAAACCAAGGATCACAATTACCGCGAAACTGGGATTTGGAATCACCGGATCCTGTCGCGGCTAAGGGAGACAACTCTGCACAACGACATTGAGACGCCTTTGTAGGATATTTACAATGGATAGATCGACGGTATTTGGAACACTTAATATAGACTTATATGCCATTATTAATGTTGGTTTAAAATAATGAAGTGGGATTTATTACTATCAGCTTCTGCATGACAATGTAAGGCTAACGCACGAACCACAGTGCAACTTCCCATTCCAAGTTCATTAATTATACAACGTGAATAACCTAGTATAGGTTTTCATCTTACGAGTTCAGCTTTAAATTTATATCTTGATGAAAGTGACATCGCTGTGACGTTCAGGAGGTAGTAGAGATAGAACGGCGACGTCAGCCACAGCCACCCACATGGCACCCACACCAACACCGTGGACTGGAAGCATTCTGTGAACTGAGGCCATGTGCTGTACCAGGTAAGGTTTGTGTCCTGGAGAAGAGAGTATGCGCATGAATCTTCCCCAATAACGTACGTTAAGCACATATATACAAATGGTTTAGTGCTATGAGGCCACAGAACGTTTCAGGTTTAAAGATTATTATAAACATTGTTTTAAGAGTCGGTTTCCTTTGTATCCCTTAGCAACGAGTCGGTTGGAAATATTATTTGCAATTGAATTATATTTTAAATTTTGTCTTGACTTTTGTTATGATGTTTTGGTGTGTGTTATAGTACGATTTCATGCCGTATTTTCAATTAGTCCATATTTGTTTCAATCATGACATATATACATTATTTTCATAAATTTGTCATTTAAGCGCTTTGATTGTAGGATCGTAGTCATGACAGCAGTAGCGACAGCTTTAGAGCACGAGACCAATGACCAAAATGAGCTAATGTGCCCAATACACTTCACACACAAACCCTTAATATTGTTACTGCTGTAAGATGTTCGTATTGAACAACCTGTATCTTGATTGGTGGTACAGACAGAAAAGGATCTACTTCATACAAAATACCATTACAAATGACGGCATTCACACAACTCACCCACAATGCAGTGCCATTGCACATCGAGGACATGTTTAGGGTTAAGTAACACTCTACAACCAATGACTCAGTTATCTCCTGACCTGACCTAGGTCGATCAGCACGCTTTTTCACACGTATGGCCCGTGGGGGTTTCAACAGCTGGGCCTCTGTCTATCTCTGTATTCCTTCGATTTATGCCATAATCCTTGATGGAAGCACGTAGCGTTTCCGCAACACTTTGAGGGCTACAGTTACAATGGTCAGCACCGTTGCGAATATGACCTTCACAAGTGTGAGTGAGGTGAAATGGGGTTTAACGTCGCGTCCAAGATTATTGCACATATAAAGCGACGTGCATGTGTGTGTGTGTGGCTGCTTGTACTTGTCCGGACTGATGCCGATTTATAGTACTAGCTCACTGAGATACCATGCCGCAGTTTAACATGAATACCCCTCTCAGACACTGTATACTGACTCCGAGCCAACCGGTCGTTGCTAACACACACACACACACGCACGCACGCACGCTCGCACGCACGCACACACACACACGCACACACGCACGAACGCACACGCACACACACGCACGCTCGCACACACACACACGCACGCACGCACGAACACACATACGCACACACAAACGCACACACACACACGCACACACACGCACGCTCGCACGCACACACACACACACGCACACACACGCACGCTCGCACACACACACACACACGCACGCACGCACACACACACACACACACACACACGCACACACACACACCATATCCAACAAAGATTCAAGAGGGGATATACCTCTAATTTTGTCGACAAGATTAACACAACTTAAAGATACACATTCGCTTTGTTTATCTACTAATGTAAACAGTGTGGTACGCGGGACGCGAATACAATCGCATTTGGTACGTAGACTTTTTAAAACAAAATAATGGTGTCCTTTATTTATTTTATTTTTTCAGTAACTTAACTTCTAATCGCACTCTTTTATGGCCTAGAAACGTTTTCTGAAGCATTTCATTCTGCCTTTGTAGAGTGAAATCTGACATGTGCTTTGGGTGGGTGAAATGAAATGAGGTTTAACGCCGCGTCCAAAATTATTGCACTTATATAGCGACGTGCATGTACGTGTGTGTGTTTGTGTGGCTACTTGTACTAGTCAGGACTGGTGCCGAGATACTATGCCGCAGTTTAACATGAAGACCCAACTCAGACACAGTATACTGACTCCGAGCCGATCAGTCCTAAAATATAAAGTATACATATAGGATACAGGGTAACAACAAGTACATCTTTTAACGTATTTTGGTATGACGCGGCCGGGAATCGAACCCCGGACCTTCCGCTCTCCGGGCGGACGCTTTACCACTAGACCACGGAGGCGGTCTGTGCTCTTGGGATTTGTGTTAAGTAGCATTCGGGATTTAGGGCCGGATGAGCAAATGAGACTTAGAGTGGAAAATTAGATTGTATTCAGAATTCAGGAAACGGGGTGGCACCCTTATAGCTGCAATATTTCTAACAGCAATGGTCTGGTCCAGGCGGCGTTAGACAATAAACAAACAAACAAACAAAACAATTCCATCTTGTTATGAGCAAAACATGCCCTACGACTCTTGCTCAAAAGTTATTTGATCAGAGATCACAGCATTTAGGGCCTTTTAAAGGTTTGGAAAAGTTATAAAGTGGACACATGGAGATCATTGTTACGCATTTAAAGTTGTACCTTATATTCATGTTTGTTCAGTTGACTTGCCTATGCATGCCTATGCACCTTTTCGCGAACACCTGCTATCATCGCTGTTCGATAGTGGTTTATAAGACGCTATTATGATATAGTCGGAATCGTACAATCTATCAATATGTTTAAACATTTAGGCCTGACAACATTGGTTATTTTGTGATGAACGCGAATCGATAACGCTCTTTGTTGACCTTCGATGCTTTGCATGGTACAACATACACACAGTATTATTATAGTGTTTATTGAGAAGGTGAAATATTCAATAGACAATATATTACACCCAAGAGTCTTGCATTATGCCGTTAACCCTGCAGCTTTAGCCATGTTGTAGAAGATGCTGTCAGGCTGTTGTAGCAGGGAGGAGGGTGTGTCAAACTCACATACACAGCCGTTGTCCAGGACCAGGATCCTGAAACGAAAGAACGTCGAATTGAAAATTAAGATACATAACTATTTAAAAGTATTCATGGGCTCTCACTATCACTTTTCTGAAAAAATACGTTTAGTCTAGTGACGACGTCACCGAAACCTGTAGCTGGCACACATTCTTCTACGTATACTATATTACATCATTGAATACAAAAACAGAAGTCTACCTGTCGTAGTCCATGACGGTGTTGAGTCTGTGGGCGATGGTCAGCACCGTGCAGTCCTTGAACTCTGACCTGATGGTCTCCTGGATCAGGTCATCTGTTTGCATGTCAACGGCTGCTGTAGCCTCGTCCAGTACCAGGATCCTGGTCTTCTTCAGAAGAGCTCTGGCCAGACACAAGAGCTGCCGCTGACCGACACTGGAATAACAACAATATGCTTGTGGAATATTTTATTCATGAGGAGAACTACGTGAAAGTAGTGCAAAGGTCTATTAATTATTGGACATCAGGATACAAAGTCGGCAGTGTGGGAAAAGCAGGTTAACAAATATAAGAATGACAAAACAAAATTACAATGTATTGATTGTATTAACACCGTTCTGCGTGAAATGTGTTGTAACGTTGATGATAAATCAACAAAAACAAACAAACAGACAACTGGTAACATGACACAATGTTAAGTCTGGTACCTCATATTTTCCCCTCCTTCGCTACACTCGTGTTCCAGTCCATCAGGTAGCGTCTCCACAAACGTCTTGAGATGAGCCTGTTCTAGTGCCCGCCAGATCTGATTGTCTGAATACTGGTTGAAGGGGTCAACATTACCTCGCAGACTCCCGGCAAACAGTACAGGATCCTGCAAGTAGCGTTCAAACTCCTTTCAAGAATCTTTATATTCATCATTCAACAGTTCAACGTAGTTTCGTATTAATATATACGATTAATATGAAACGACAACGCCTATGGCGCAATTGTTAATGACGAGAAACGTTTACCTGAGGTAGTATGGTGAGTTTGCTCCTGAGATCATGCAGCCCGAGTGTACTGACGTCAACGCCATCTATGTTGATCTCCCCTCCTGCAGCTTCTATCAGCCGGAACAGGGACAGAGTCAGAGAGGACTTCCCCGCTCCCGTCCTGCCAACGATGCCAACCTGGAAGTTACATAAGCGTTTCATTATGAACTATTCGTGCTTGCATGAGCAACATGAATCTGAACAATCATTTATTGACGGAATGTTCCTACATGTATTTGGCACTTGTTTGAATGTGTTCCTCGCGGTGTTCATCGGTTGATAGATATATAAACTGTCGAGACTCAATACTATAATAGTTGACGTGGCTGGTGAAATGACAGTGAGAGGCTTTTGGAAACGTTCATGTTTTAGAACACTCAATAAGCTGTCATACTCGACGTTTTACAAAAGTAGAACGCTTATTGTAACCGTGTCCTTCATTCACGACGAGTTCTATCTTGAATTGCTCGCCCATTATAAGAACACCCCTTGGAATGATTAGTAGGTAACACACGGATTGCCAACCTTGAATATAAGAGATCTGTGTAGCGTAATGGCGTGTCAGAAACAGGGTTGGGGAATTTACTATCGCTGTCAACTTTTAAAATTGAGTTAAGTTTTAAGGCATTCCAGTATAATGCCTATGTGGAAAGTTAAAAGTGACGCAGTTTGCAGATACTATGTTTGAGAAAAAGAGGAGTACAGGTATATATATATATGTGTAATCATAATATAGGTTTCGAGCTTTCGGAACTGCCATGCATTAATAATCAGAAATATTGACATATACACGTGGGCCTTAGGAAGGGTAACAGTGACATTTCACCGCTGAGCTATTGGTTTCTCTATTAGCCTGACAGTGTCAACATTAGAGCCTTATGAAACAGCAGATTACCAATACTGTTACCTTTTCTTTAACCCGTGAAGATCCAAGGTAGAATAGGTCTTCAGCAAGCCTTGCTTGCCGTAAAAGGCGACTGTGCTTGTGGTAAGAGGCGACTAACGGGATCGGGTAGTCAAGCTCGCTGACTTGGTTGATGCATGTCACCTTATCCCAATTGCGTGGATCGATGTCAATCACTGGATTGTGTGGTCCAGACTCGATTATTTACAGACCGCCGTCATAAAGCTGGGATATTGCTGAGTGCGGCGTTAAACAACTAACAAATAAACAAACCTTTTCTTTAGCATTAACAGTGCATGTAATCCCCCAGAGAACAAGCTCAAGCCCTTCTCTGTACCGAGTTGAGTAGTCGAGGAACTTCACCACCCCTGTGTCTGGCCAATCGTGATTAGTACGTCTCTGAGGTATGTCCCATGCCGGCTGAAGAAATCAAGATGAACAAGTTCATTGTCAAAGTCAAAATCTCGCTAAGCATCAGCATCCTCACAGGGGACACCTGTGACTTATTAACATACTGACATATAAATTTAAAGGTTCCATTGAAATGTATTTGATTTTTACCTCTGAATCTATTTCCGTATACTCTTTGACTCTCTCCACGGAAACGATCTGTGCCTCTACTTCTGAAACCATCTGCACCATCCAGTTCAGGTTGGCTGTTATCTGAAGTCAATGTACAAACGTGCACCCATACTTAAACAACGCAGGTGTGGATACATGGGTTGGGCGTTAGATGGAAGATACAAGGCAACATCATCATGTCATGCTATCCTTCATAATGTCCACACAACTGTCGCATAAAAGGACTGATTTAATATGCCGACTGTTCATCGTGTCATTAGCCACGAACAACAGCAAGCTTGATGCTGCGACGTTAAGCAATAATCACTCACTCATATCATTTATTGGAACACAAATTACGTTCATAATTCCATACCTAGCGTTGCACCAGCATGGTCATAGGAACACTCACTGTATATTGTTTACTATGAGTGAGTTAGTGAGTTGGGTTTAACGCCGCTTTTAACAGTATTCCAGTTATATCACGGTGTGTCAGCTTAATGTGGAAGGAAAGCCCGAAGTGATGACGTTTACCACTTCGGTGAAACCCACGAGCACGGGTATGGTGCTGACAAACCTAGAAACATAATCGGGGCGAACCGGGATTCGAACCCACAATCATAGGTTTCTGGAGTGCCTAAGGGGCGCAACTCTGCACAGCGAATCGCGACGCCTTAGACGACTGGGACACCCGTGCCCCCCTGTTTTACTATGTATATGATCAATCTCTCGTAACTCCACAAAAATGGATTATGTACATTAAATTTTACATAAATGTATAACATTGTATATACTATTGTTGTACATAAGAATAGCTATATGTCTGTCTGTCTGTCTTGTTGACTGGCTCTAGATCTGAGCTGTCTTCATTGCAAGAATGCTAAAGGATGATTAGTACACTATCAAAATAAAAACTATTCATTGTCACTTTTATGGTCACAATCATTTTTAAAAAAAATAACATGCAATGTTTTAACCTTTTAGGAAACGAATACTACCTCAATAGCATATAAGATCGACAAGCCCACAAGACCTCCTGACAGGGTGTCACGTGACATGACGACAAAAAGGGAAGCAGCCAGGACGATGATATTTCCGATGATCTCCAGACGGACACCTTGCCAACTGTCACAATACAAAGGTGATATCAACACGAAAGTAGACCTGATGGCACTTCCTGTAGAAATCTATATGGCGACAAAACGGAACTCCTCACTATTGATGCTTTGGTTAGCGTAAGTAGCTTCTTTTAAAGTTACTTGTCATAACTGATATCTCAGAAATTGAATTACATGTCGAAGTGAATATTTCAAGTTTATACTGTGTAAATGTATATGACGACATGTTTTACAAATTCAAAATGTCAACCAGTCTCCAATATTTGCCGAAACTGATTCAACAGGACGTAAAGGCAAAATAATAGTGAATGGATCATTGCAGATTAGTGATGACACCATAAGGAAAGTAAATACCAGTGAGAAAGGAAAGTTTTACAAATTCAAAATGTCAACGTCGGAAAATAATCAGTCTCGAATAACAGATTCATTTGATATGATTCACAGTTTTATGGCAAGTGATTCCTGTTTATATCCTCCATTCTTTAGAGATCCATTCATATAAATCCCATCACTATTTTGCCTTTTACCCTCAAAGGAATCTGTTTGGGCAGTTAATCGAGACTGGTTATTCTCTGGCGTTGATGCTTTGATTTTGTATGCCGGATAGGAAGGTTGCGCATGATATCAAACCACTGCTTTCGATTTCTGTTTTGTTTGTTATTTAACGCCGTACTCCACTGACTGTCACGTCATGGGCTTCGATCCACGCAATTGGTATATAAAGATATCCAATCAACCACGTCAGCGATTCTGACCACCCAATCCTATTATTTGTGTCTCACGACAAGCAAAGGATGCTGAAGACCTATATTTTTACCCGAGATTCCGCACTCGTACTCGATCATCAAAGGTTCATTTAAATAAATTGGCATCGGTGTTACAAAAACAACCAAACAAAAGCATGTTATCACATACCAGACAGCACCCACTGAGTAAAAGTTGAACCTCTGGTTTGTGTCTACTCGGTCTTCTGATTCCTTGATGAACCTCGACTGGGCTTGAAACGATCTGATAACACTGGCTCCAGATAATGTCTCCCCAAAATGGCTGTATATCGGGGATCGAGCTTTGGACTCTAATCGTTGCAGCTGCCGTGAGGTGGTTACGTAGAAGCGCTTTTTAAAACAAGATGTATTCTTTTATTTTATGTTAAGAATACCAGAATTTTAAAAGTATTTGTTTATATGATGAATTTTACCCATGCATGTATTATCAAATATTGAGATATCCGATTTATAATAGAGTTATCTCACTATCACGATATATCCCCTTGACATTTTTAGATTGAATTTTAAAATAGGCAAAGAAACATTCCAAAAACGTGTGTTCAAACGTCATGTTCTGTTATGGTCTTTGATATATCTCAAAATGGTAATGGATGAAACAGATGTAAAACACATGTCCTCGAAAAAGCAAAGCTACATCCTGCTACGCCATCACATATGCTAATCTATGCTATGTTACATTATGACATGCTATACTGTAGTCTAAAAGGCGGACCCTAATGTCAACCTGGAGATATTTTCATGTCATCAAATGGAAAGAAAAAACTCGTTTCAAGACGATTGATGTTTGATGACTGGCCAATATGCCAAACCCACGAGGTGAGGTGAAATGGGGTTTAACGTCGCGTCCAAGATTATTGCACTTATATAATTATATAGCGACGTGCATGTACGTGTGTGTGTTTGGCTGCTTGTACTAGTCCGGACTAATGGCGATTTATAGTGATAGCTCAGTGAGATACCATGCCGCAGTTTTTAACATGAATACCCCACTCAGACACAGTATACTGACTCCGAGCCGACCAGTCCTTGTTTTAGCCCTTTAATGCCGAGCGCCAGACAAGGTAACAACAAGTACAATCTTTTGACGTCTTTTGGTATGACGCGGCCGGGGATCGAACCCCGGACCTTCCGCTCGCCGGGCGGACGCTCTACCACTAGACCACGGAGTCGGTCTGACAAAACCACGAACAATAAATGAACAGGTGCTAACAATATCACTTTGATACTTAAAGGATCTATGTCTGTGAGGGGACAATCAATAATGGCTGTATTTACCTGAACAAAGAAGTACAGAATGACCAAGGGGACGACAACGACAAGAAATATGGGCGTGGTGTAGGAGATGACGATGATGCTGCTGAGGACTTGGAACAATGTGTTGATAGCAGACTCCACCAAATTCGCCATCCTTGTGTCGATGGTATCAATGTCCTGGGAGAACCGGTTGACAATCCTGCCCGTAGGTGTGGTGTCAAAGAAGGACATCGGTGCCTTCAAAACATTCCTCAGCATGTTTAAGTGGAGAATACCAGAAGCTTTGACCGTCTTTAGGTTCCACAAAAAGGAAAATGTCAAGATGGAAACGGCTGTAAATATAAGAATTTACCCGAAATTGACATTATTTGGAATGGTTCCTTTGATCTGAATAAAAATAACGTATGGCTAAATATTATATCAGCATGATCAAGAAAGAAATTCGGCAATATATATTACTCTCTCGTATGTTAATATGTCTCTAGGAACTCTAATAATTTTAAATTATTTCTTTTCAACCAGGAATATCAAATATTCAATTATTAATCACATTATATAACAACACATGTTTTATCCCTGATAAAATAGAAAGTAAACAATAACAGAAAACAAAAACAATATTTCCATCATACATGTAGTTTGCGGTCAGGTCTTACTTTGAGCTACACCCAAGATACCATAGACTTCTAGATAGTAACTGTTTTTCTCCATTCGTCCTGAACTGTTGGAAGGAAGAAGTGTCAGATTGTTGAGGGAGCTGTCGTCAGTCCATTTGCTGAGCCATGTAATTGATGTTACCGACGTTGCTTGAAATAACGAGTACATGATGAGAGCGATTACCACAGTCCAAGGGCCTATAGCTCTGCCGTATGCAAGAAATACATTCAGTGTAACCTGGAACAAGATAATTGATATTGAATCAACGGCAATCTCAGTAGCGTTGATCGATGCTCATGATGTCAGTCATTGGATTGTCTTGGCCTGACTCAATTATTTACAGATCGCCGTCATGCTGTTGTAATATTTCTGAGTGGGTCGTTAAAGGGCAAACAAACAAGTATATTTTGTAAAGTACCAAGAACTATAAATGCCAGAGCATTACTCTGCCAGCATAAAATTATATACCAAACACTTAATGTCTAGGCCTTGTGGTTCGCTCTTATATCATATTTTGGTTTGTCAGCAACCGAGTGGTACACATCTAAGACCTGCATCAATTTGGGTCTCCCTCCCACCTGTACCTGACACGCTGTGATATAGCCGAAGTACTATTCGAAGCAGCGATAGGGGCAAGTCACTCACTCACTCTAGCCAAGCGACGACAAATGATAGACCATACATGACATTTAAAAAAGTAATATTCAAGACAACTGGCAAGAGGGCACATGTATATCAGCTAAATTTTCCATTCTGCATTTATGTCCTACCCGTGAAGAGCCGCGGAGGAATAGGTCTCCAGCAACCCATTGTCGCCGTAAAAGGCGACTATGCTTGTCGTAAGAGGCTAGGCGAACAACGGGATCGGGTGGTCAGGCTCGCTGACTTGGTTGAAGCATGTCATCGATCCCAATTGCGTGGATCGATGCTCATGATATCAATCACTCGATTGTCTGGTCCAGACTCGATTATTTACAGACCGCCGTCATATAGCTGGAATATTGCTGAGTGCGGCGTAAAACAACAAACCAAACCAAACATTTATGTCCATGAGTTGATATTATATTGATGAGTCAATGCTTTTGCAAATACTTGTGAATATAATCATGCATATAATTTTCAAGAAATATGTAATAAAATATTACTGTGACACCATGCGAGGATGTTATGTAATCATAAATACTTTTCCAGTCTCTACTTTTTCTTCCTCAATCAGTTTACTCCTCTCGCTTAAAGGTTCTTCCTCCTTCAGTAGTTGGGATTGTTTCACGTCTGTGGTTTGGATCAAGGACTTCCTGTCAGACATGCATGTTAAAACTATAAAACAACATATGTTTAGGTGCACCTAATGGAAAATGTTTTTCCCGAGTTTGGATAGGTTCCTTCTTTGCGACAATATTGCACTTTAGTATTATTATATTTACACAAATATAATAATAAAATTATTTTAGTTATGTTTACACTTGGTAAATAACACGTACCAAAACGTCTTTGGTACTCAATAATAATGATTTGAAAACTTCTGCAGTGTCTCTCGAGATGATGGCATATTTGGTTTCATTTTTGCATTCTTCCGCGGTTATCCTGCCCAGTAGCAATGGACACTCTTTTAATGACTATGCAACTTCCAAAGTGACATAGACCAGGGCCCACTTGCACAAAGCGATCTTAGCGCTACAACTATTGTAAGCCTATGTTAAAGTATGGGAGTTACGATCATCTTAGCACTAAGATCGCATTGTTCAAGTGGGCCCAGGAGATGAATTATGCTATTTGACTGAAGATATCAGAAAGGCACTGGAAAACAAACACTCATTTCACGAAATGACTGAAAGAGTTAGTTATTTCAGGATATGACTGATTTCACAGTCTGACAAAGACATATATACGTTGATGAGTTCAGATAACGTGATACAAACTTACATTAGAGTTACCCTCTCATCATTCGTCTCCTCGCTAGATGTGACTGATTTCATCCGTTGACGAACACTCTTCTCTATTTCAGTCACTGTTTTAATAAAAGTGACTAAATCTGATTTACCTTCTCAATACTCAAAGGACACATTATTGTGACATACACAAATTCAAGGAAAATCGCTGTAAACCTTTACTGCCGATGATGGAAGTATATCTGTTGGAGGAATCATGTCTGGAGGTTTGATAACGAGCAACGGTTCATATGAAGAACGCTCTCCCGATATGCAAATAGGTCGTCACACCAGGGGGTTGGGAGGTAAGATCAGAAGCGGGTGTGCGCCAATTTGTGCTTGAGCAGGAATTCATGCAACGTTGATGGAGGATTGGAAGACATCGCAAACGTTTCACCCAGACATGGTCGATTGACAGATCAAGATGTCTTGAAAGCCAGGGTAACATACTAACATGCTGCGAGGTACCCGGATACATGCATTCCTCTGACTCGACAACTACCGTTTTCACTTAGGCACGGCATCAAAAACATGGAAACAATCTGTCCCAAATATTCATTAGTATATAACGTAGTAACGTTTCAAAGAGACCTTTAATATCAGCGACAGTTAGTGGGATGCGTATATCGAGCTTTTACATAAATGTACCTGGTTCAAATGAAAAAAATGAATATTAAGGACAACTTTTGCCTTGAAATTTATTTCTTATTGTAGGATGTAGATTTACTATGTTAGATCGTTGTGAAGTCCTAGTTCCATGCGCTGTGTATTTGATCATGAACATGATGAATACTTGTAAAACCTACATTCGAGTACGCTGACATCAGGATCATTGCCCTCAAAAAGATATTTCTGTATGAGTTGGGCAAAGGGTCCGTTATGCTGGAGAAGCTCCTCATACGTCCCCTTCTCTGATATCTGACCACCGGTCATCACTAAGATAGCGTCCACCTCTAGGAGCCAGTGGATGCCGTGAGTGACCAAAACCCGGGCCTTGGTAGGAAGAATGAAAGTTATTATAATCTAAAACATGTCGTAGATTCTAGTGAGCGGGCAAGTAAATGTGTACGCTGATTTTAGCATTATTCCAGAAATATCAAGGCAGGTGACACCAAGAATGAGTTTCACACAGTGCACCCAGTATATAGCTTCACATATTTATCCTAATTCAGAATCATTAACCATCAGTTTTACGTGTATAAAGTACATGGCGTTCTTACCTTGCCTGCAAGCAACCCTTTTCTACTTAGGACCTTGTCAAAGATGTGTTTCCCCACATGACTGTCGACAGCACTGAGTGGATCATCAAGCAGATAGATGTCAGCATCGTTGTAGACAGCTCTGGCTAGAGACACTCTCTGCTTCTGTCCTCCACTCAAGTTGATACCCTATAGCAGTAAATAAACGGTCAGTTTTTGCCTTTTCTTCTTTTTTTCTACTTTTCATACACCACCGCTGGAAGTAGCAGTCAACCTATATGTAAACTATATGGTTTACAAAGGGCGATGTATTGCTCGGGTTTTACAAAGCACAAATGTGGCCAGCTTAAGACCGAGTCTAATGATAAGCATATAATAGTGAAGGCATCTTCTACTCTAGAATACTTACGAATATCACGAGATACTCACTCTCTCCCCAATCTCTGTCATATCACCAGCTGGTAACATCTCCAGATCTGGAGTCAGAGCGCAGCACTCGACCACTCTGTCGTACCACTGTCTGTCCATGGGCTTCCCGAACAGAATATTGTTCTGCAGGTTGTCGTTCTGGATCCACGCTATCTGGGGCACATAAGCCATGTGACTCTGTCAGGAAATAAGCACGAGTTAGTATTTAATACAATAAGGTTAGGATAGAATTATTTGACTTTATTTCTTTTTGTCCAACACTATAAATGAAAGAAAATAGAAACCTTCAGACTGACATGACCGTTGACCTTGTTCATCTCGCCCAATATTGCAGATACAAGTGAAGATTTTCCCGATCCAACTTGACCTACGACAGCTACAAGCTGGCCTTCGTCAACAGTAAAGTTGATACTGAAAGAAAAGTGTTCCTTTCGCTAAGGGTTATGACAGCTAAAAATATCCATTCTGTTTTAATTAGTTCAATCAATTAGTTCTATTCAATCAAGAAAGGGAGGACTTTGATGATATCGTTTTCTCCCAGTAAATTCCGATGTCAAATAACGACGTTATTTGGACGGAAAAACGATTGTTTGAAAGCGTCCAAAAAACGTCGTTTTTTCCGTCCAATGACCATATACGGAAAAAACGACGTTTTCGTGATTGCAGTGTTAGTTACGACCAAAAGCAAGTTCTTACTGTAGAGCACATTATGACCGTATAGTCGAGTACAGGTAACTGAGTGTGTTAAGCATCAGGTTTATTTACTTTGTGAGAGCTGGTCCAAGTTCGGAAGTCCACCGAAAACAACCGTCTGTGATCTTCAGTGCAGGATCTGAGATGATAACGATGTAAGAAAGATTATTTGAAATGTTATTTATTTGAGTGACCACTCCCTTGGTATTGGAGACATATTAGCTTCCATTAGAACCGCAAGCTGCAATGACGTCTGAACTGAGCTGTATTTTATCAGCGGCATAAGCGGTGCACCAATCAATGCCTAACTTTATACAGATTCACTGAGGTAACAATATATGTGCAACTAAATAGGGAGAGTTACTTGATGGTTTTAAACAATGACATGATGATTTTACAAAATTTGGACAATCTTCTCAATGTTCCTCGTCGTGGATTATTGAAGAGTTAGTTCAGTTTATAAATATTGGGTCTAATGATGTAAAATCTGTGCAAGAATATTATTCTTTCGTTTTCTGAAGATTGACAAATGAACAAAAAGTGGAACTCATCACCTTCCGTCAGACACTTTGCAAAGTGGAAACTTTCCTTCAGTTGAAGCTATTTTCATCCATTTCCCAATTTATATATATTGTAGGTAAGTTATGGTTAAAAGTTCTAAACTTAAGTAAGACTAGCCATGTGTTTTCTTGCAGTACGCTCAAGTAATATTCAAAATTTATTTAATTAGGTTTTGTGACATAAAACATTGTGCCTTTTGAAGACTTATCTCTTGCACTTACCAACAATGTATGTTTATGTCAATATATTTTTCATGGACGACATGTTTTAGAACATTAGGTTTTTTTAAATTGTGTCATAACCAGATGTAACCAAGTCCAAGTTCGTGACTTGACCTTTCTTACAATATATTGGCATATATCAGTCTTTCAGCGTCATTCATATAATCAACTAATGTATGTCTTCATTGATAGGGCTAAAAGTTGTTGTAATAAAATCGGACAAAGTACACGTCCTTGCATTAAGGTCACCACTGATAAAAATACTATTGTCGGAATCTACAGACAACTTACACGATATTTCAGTGTGTAGTCTGGGGATTTTTTCATTAGAGTAATATGGTGAACCGAATATAAGCAATACCAATATATACATCTCCCTTACGAGACGACCGCCTTCGTGGTCTAGTGGCAGAGCGTGCGCTTGGAGAGCAGAGGGTTCGGGATTCGATGCCCGGCCGCGTCATACCAAAATACGTTAAAAGATGGTACTTGTTGTTACCATGCCTGGGGCTTAAACAAGAACTGGTCGGTTTGGTGTCATTACACTGTGTCTGAGTGGAGTATTCATGTTAAACTGCGGCATGGTGTCTCAGTGGGCTAGCGCTATAAAATTGACATTAGTCTGGACGAGTACAAGCAGTCACACACGTACACCCACGTGCATGCAGGCCGCTATATAAGTGCAATAATCTTGGATGCGATATTAAACCCCATTTCACCTCAAGATACATGTAGCAATTAACGGGAGGCGAGAAACCAGATTTCATATTCCGAAGATTCATCTATTCTATGAAAGTACTTTACGTGCTATAACAATTCACAATAGAAATTGACTTTATATATACAAGTGCTTCAACTTAAGTGGTAAACGTTGACGAACTTTGTCCCTTTGTCCTCAATTACACCGTCATACAACTAATACAATGTTCTAATTTTTCTCACTATTTACGTCAAAATATGTGTAAAATGATGCAATGCCAGTAAATATAAAACGCCAACGTCAGAGAATAACCAGTCTCGATTATCCAAAGAAACAGATTCCACTTGGCGTAAAAGGCAAAATAGCGGTGAAAATCAGTGATGACATCAGATGTTCGCGGAAAGGGCAATCTCCTTCTGGGTATCTTATGCAACTAACTTAAGGAAAGCTTATATCTATCAGTATTTTTATAGAATACCCCTTTCCATCTATCTTTGACTATCACATGGTTGCACGTATCGCTTGTCAGCTGTGAAACTGCAGTCATGTGTTATACAATGGCTGGAACTTCATGACCATTACATACCTTGTGTGGAGCTCCACAATATCTGATTATCATCTAAATCTTCCGCATTGAGGAACTTGTTAATTCTCTTCAGTGACACGATAGCCTGAAATTGCAAAACAATGTCTCATGTAGCGCTGACCAGATATGCATATTCATACTACTACTGTTACTCCTATATATCACCAGGAGCATTAGCGGGTAACAGTGGCGCACTCACCTGAGGCGCTACAATCATGATATGATATTGGGTTCGAATCCCTGTTCGCCCCGTTTATGTTTCTGGGTTTGTCAGTATGATATCCGTGCTCGTGGGTTTTACCAAAGAGGTACATATGTGAGGCCATCATCATCTCGGGGATTCCTCCCTCATCAAGCTGATATGCCGATATGCCTGGAATACTGCTTAAAGTGGTGTAAACCCAACACACTCACCAGGAACACTGGGAGTACATATTTCAAAAAGGAACAAACGGTCATATACATTGTACCTGAACTAAATCTGTGAAAAGAGTTGGTAAACTGACGACCGCTAGTCTGACGATGCTTAAGAGTGACATGGCAGTAAAGACGACATCAGGTCGGAGATAGTGATCTTCTGATGTGAAAATATATGTCGTGAACGTAGCTAGTGATACCTGCAAAATATACACATTAGATTAAAGGTTCTGTATAAGCCTTTTGACATACGAAGCAGGCGTGTAATAATGATCACACATGCCCTGTGACAACTGCGATTGGCAAAGAAACAATTCGATCTCCACGACCTGACCTGCATTGTCAGTACAGCTGTTTTGCACTGATGTCAGGAGCAGGATCGATGTTATCAGTTATGTGGTAGTAGGTTGCTGGATGCACTTTAAGTTGGGACACTGGGATACAACGGCTAACTAAGGTTGGGATCAACACATCAACACTATCGTACAACTTCGTGAACCTAATCGAAGTGTCACTTGTATTTGTGTAATAATATTGATTTTACTAAATGTGGATGGATACTCGCACTTGGATGATGTATTAACATTGTATAATGCCACGAGACTGTTATTCTTAAATACGAAACAATGCTAAAAAATAGTGATACAGGCAGTATCAGAAAAAAATGAAGAACAAACAAGGATAAATTCTGTAACTTTGTTCAGGACTATCCCAAATGACAAACTTCGTTCCTGTGACTCATGGGGCATTTGTGGCTACAAGTGGTGGACAAAGATATGCTTATATTGAAATTATTTGTTCCTTTATTTCTATATTCATATGCGTCACACACATCATCACACCTTAAACACAAAAGGATTGGGTTGCAATGGTAGCTGATAGACATACGAGGTAGGGAATAAGGGTCCAGGAGAAGGTGTTGAAACTCTGCGTGAGGGAGATCTTCCACAAAATGTGCAGCTCATGCTTCCGGACCTCAAGGATCCTCTCTTGGAATGACGGTTCCCAGGCGTATAATTTAAGAATCTGGAACAACAGGGAAACATACAAGTACATATCATGTAGAATATTACTTACAATAGTTGTCAGTACACGCACACGCAAACGCACGCACACACGTACTTAATAATATCATGAATCCTTATGAAACTAGTCATGTACACTACGTCTTCTTCTTATCAAACCCCCCGGCCGCGTCATACCAAAAGACGTTAAAAGATGGTACTTGTTACCCTGTCTGGCACTCGGCATTAAGAGGCTAAAACAAGGACTGGTCGGCTCGGAGTCAGTATACTGTGTCTAATCATGAGTGTGGTATTCATGTTAAACTGCGGCGTGGTATCTCAGTGAGCTAGCACTATAAATCGGCATAAGTTCGGACTAGTACAAGCAGACACACACACTCACACACACACACACACACACACACACACACACACACACACACACACACACACACACACACACACACACACACACACACACACACACACACACACACACATACAGGTCGCTATATAAGTGCAATAATCTTGGACGCGACGTTAAACCCAATTTCACCTCACCTCACCTCACCTCACCTCACCTCACCTCACCTCAAACTCCTGTATATTTAAGGTACGGTGACTCCACTGAACACTCTACCTTTATTCCATTGAGGACTTCATGCATCATCTTCATCCTCTTGTCCTTCTGTTGCATCAATTCAGTCTCATATTTCTTCCACTTGAAAGTGGCAATAGTGTTGACGGGCAACAACACAAATAACACCGCCATCCCAGCGAACATAGAGGCTCCCAGAGACTGGTATAGGAGGTAAAGGGCAATAGCAATTTTCAGAGGATGCGCCCACGCTTCCCAGGCCCACATTGTAAACGTTCGTAAATGTTCTACGTCCACAGACATCAGGTTCACAATTTCACCTGTTGTCCATTCTGTCTTGGCCTTGTTGCTCATCCTCAAAGACTGAGAGTTATGTAAATAGGAGATGTTACATGTGCTACATGTGTTACAGACTACAAGTATTAAAAGGAAGACACTACATGTACAAGTAAGAATGTAACCTGTATGGTTATAGTATGGAAAGTGGATAGAAATAGGGTTAAATGCTGCAACAATATGTATAAAAGTTAATTTTATGCTTTATTCAGTTGTGTATGAGGACAATAATGGATTGATGTTTTGCTATGGTGCCTCAGATGCATTTAAGAATGAGTATGTCTAATAAGCATCACTGATTTTGTAGACATTAATAACTCATGTCTATGATTTATGGGATAGATTAATGATCGATGTGTTCCTTTATTCTTCAGTTTTTTAGCAGTTCATACTCAATTTGATCTACGCAATATCATAAGCCGTCACATGGAATTGTATAAGTAAGTATACCTTTCTAAAGATAGCAGATATGGTGACAGCAGCCACCCTCAGCGCCACCTTTCTAGCTTGGTACCAGTTGGCTTGAGAAAAGACTGTCTGCGTTAATGTGGAGATAGAGAGGATGACACACAACACGTAGCCTTTCCACGTGGGTATTGTTCCGTCTGTTGTGAACGTAACGAGCAGGCTGCAATAAATACCTATCAATGTGAGTGTATTTCTCTATGGGCTGATCATGGTAGTGTATTTCTTTACTGCTTGAACATAATGATGCACAATATCTGTAGGCACGAAATGCACACATATAGTGAATGCTATGATAGTCAATGATGATTCATGATCAGGCTTCAGAAATGTATCACCAGGAATAAAAGTATATGATGGTGTTTAAACTATTCAGTTATTCCTTCAATAATGTATGGCGTTTTATGCCCAGGGCAGCAATAACTCATTTATATGGAGGAGGCATGAACAAAAATGAATCTGGATTTAAAATACCCGGCAAGGTCACTTTATTGAGCACGATGACACACCATCAGTCAGGATTGGATTGATGCTATCCAATCCAAATTGTGGTTGCCGGTAACGAGCACTCATTACTTCAAAATGTTCGTGTTTTCAAATTCCATGCTAGAACCAGTTTCTTGAATCAAATCTTATCATGTCGTTGTAACACTGAATACTGTTTTCAATCAGATTCATTGCTCCAAGAGAACAAGAACCCCATCTACTGACGTGGCCAAACAAGAACGAATAAGGAGATTGGGCATCTACTAAGGTTGCACAAAAATTAAAGGATAGTATATTTTGCCTGTGAATGAATTCCTCGTTTCACTTCCTTTGTTTCCCTAATACAAATCACCACAAAATCAAACAGTGGTTGATTGAAGAACAAATAATGACAGCAATACGTACCCGAGTATCAAAGGACTAGCAAACTTAAGCATCTCGCTTACAAGTCTCCACAGCTGACTCTGTATCATATCGAACCAGAAAGTCCTCCATAATGTCATAGCTAGGGACACGTTGTTGCCAGTGAAAGTCAAATCCGCTTCTGTCATCTTCGTCGTGTTGTCTTTTATCAACAAAGGAGACTTTTCATCAGCAGCATCCACACTGAGAGATTCGCTAAGTGTTTTAGAATATAACACTTCCCTGTCTCTGTCTGTCGCGTTTTCTCTATGAAAGAACGTCAAGGAATACACATTTTGCCACCCAGTTACAGTAATAGGTTGTGAAATTAATCCGTATGTGGAGCTGATTGTTTCATACAATAAGTTTCATGTAACTAATTCTCGGATTTTATTAGTTGCTGCGTGTTTCTTGGCAGAGAGAAAACAAGTGACATTACAGATATGAGGTGTGACGAAAACCAATGTTTTGTTACATACTGTACGTCAATCTAGAACAGTGCACAGAGCTCTAAAGTAGAATATATATAAGGGATGTATTGTCCCTGGTGTCTGTGAAGAAATGGAATAAAATGATTACCGTGTCTTGGTCTTGTCTATCTCTTTGACCCACTGTGGTAGAAACCGCATCACAGTAAGGGCGGACGCTTCATCGGGATGAATATCATAGACGTCTGTTTCTGTCAAAGCCTTCTGATAACCCCTCAGTAATAAGCTGTGAGCAAAACATCAGAAATGTCAGTTTGCATCTCATATTTAATGATAAAGCAGGAATTCAGTGTGAGCAAGTTAATGGCAAACTATTCGCTGAAAGTGTATATTCCATTGCACTAGATATGCAATATCATTGACTAAGCATAATAAGGAGACTCCCATCCCTGCAGTCACAACCCGCAACGCCCAACGATATCTCTAATATAGTGCAAATTGAGTTTTTGCAAACGTTACAATAATCCGATATTGGTTATTTGCAAACATTATGAACTATAAAATCTGTTACGGTTTTTAAAAAAAAGCTCTACAATGTACCTTTAAACTTTTCTGTTATAACTGCATTTTTAACATGGCATTTTGTTATAGTTTTTGATCATCCTACCACTTCGGCCAAAGGGGCCTTATATTTTGGAGGAAAAGCTTTAGTAGTGTTATGAAGTATTATGTGCATGTGTAAATGGCATATGTTTGTTTCATGTTCTTTAAAATAAACATAAAATTATATGTAAAATACGAAATTTAATTTTGCTCGACAACTTAATCGACAACCTTCCATATATGTTCTGACATATTTGATAATTTTCTGTTGGTGCCTAGGCTATATAAACATACTAGGGTGTGATCTGGATTATAAACCATCAAGAAGACCATCAATTATGACAGACAACATTATTTTTCTTGCATAGCAATTACTACAATTTTGTAGCGTGACCTGTTCATCCACCAGAAGGTAATCCTTGAGAGAAAGGAAGCACTCAGTTCAGGGCACGGTTCCTGAAAGAAATAATTTATTGAGTCACTTTGAAAATTTGCATTGAAAAGTTGTATAATTGTTGTTGTTACTAGCATCTGTTTGCGATTATGTCACACTTGTGGTTGGGGATGCATTGATTCACCAAAGTCTTGATGGATCATGGTTGTGCTGCAGTATTGTATGATGGAGATATTGTATCGACACATAAACAGTGGATGTATATAAGGACATGTATGAAAATGAATATGAATGTCAAAATATGTACGCTTATTTACACAGTGTCAATTATGTTAAGTGAGAAATGAATCGACAATAATAATCTTGCTGACGGTTTGTTTGGTCATCAACACCAAAACCTGCAGGCAATACGTAATCAGTGGCTTCTTACAGCGGAATAATGCAAAACAGACCACAAATGTAGATCCCCAGTGGGCGTGGTATAATTGTTTGATGGTAATGGGTGAACGCAAAAGAAATTGCTTGGTTAGCAAATTAAATGTTATGGAATCACATGGAAATTATTCATAATACACTACATGAATATGAGGGCATATTACTAGAATATATATTTTTCCATTTATCGTATCTTGACGTTGCTTTAGAAATACATATCTTAATGTAAGAGGTGTCTCGACACAGCCCTTCATATGCTTTACAAAACCTTCTACATTAGAACCACGTTATGAGATAAACTAAGTAAATTACTAATGTTTTTTCATCAAATATATTGAAAAATATGTGAATCGACTAATGTAAACACACGTACATGTAAAATATAATAATATGTGCCTGTAGATAGCACGAAACGTGTTGAGAACAATAACGGCTCTGTGGGAATAAGGATCTGGCGGCTGGTAATTATGTTTGTATTACAAGTCATACCGTGTTCTGGATAGTCCCTTCTGAAGACGTCTCTGCACAACAGCTCAGGAACAGCTCCAACAGTACTAGCCCATAGTATATGTAGAATGTTACAACTTTAAGGGTGGTCTGTCCATATTGCTGAAACATATTGAACGTTAATAATACAATTTTAATGTCAAAATATATCCATAACCGTAAGTATTGTCTACTTAGAGCGATTGTACGATTCCGACCACGTCATAAGCTTGTGCTTATGAACAAGGTGTTCGCGAAAATGGGCGTACCATGCCCTATCGGTGGTATATGTCACAAAACACAAACAAGGACAAGTCAACTGTTCACCTGAAGGAACAGGGGAACATAATGGCTCAAGTCAAATCAGGGAATTGCATCAGACATACTTTTTGTCACTGATGCGGTGAGTTAGGAGGTTTCCTGCATCAAATTTGGAAGAGTCTTCCACATGTCTGTAAGCAATCTGTGAGAAGGTTTTAATGTCAGTGACATGATCAGACACTACTGATAGCTAGGGTGTTTTTGAAGTGACACCCGTTATTCAATTGGATCCAACAGAAAATATGGGTAACCTTGATGTGTTGAGATGGTCACCACTGGAGATACATCTTCGGTGACATGGATTTTCGAAGAGATAGTGCTAAAATAGCAAAGGGAAACCTCTTTGGGGAGTCAGAAAACCATCTGTTCAGAGCAATCTACTGATGATCAGCATGAACAGCATTTTAATAAGCGTCGTGTGAAGCTTAATCACCTGATTTACAGAAGATGGACTGAGCGTCTGTGCTCTTTTTTTTTGGAGGATGTAAGATTCCTCTGGGAAAGAGGTTGCAGATCCTTATAACGTTTGACTTACTACACAGTCTAACCATGTATGTTTTCTATCTGCACCTTCTTCATCCCTTACCTTCTTCTTCCCTTACCTATTTCATCCTAAACGGTTAGTATTCATTTCATGTAGGTGTGCATAAAGTATCATTATTGATATTAACATGGCGAATGGGTCCATACACTTATAATGACGCAAATAAGCCGAATGACCATATTCACAAGTCAGACGAATTTCGTTACGCTGGAATGCAGACACCCAGTCGTCGACAGATATAAGTAAATAATCTGCTCCACAATTTAACAAATGGTTTGTTTTTTAATCAGTCACACATTTTACACAACCACCTTGGTTCATGACAATTTCATCTTCCATTCACATAGTCGCATACAATTCTCTATAAATAAGGGGAAGTGGGGTAGCCTAGCAGTTAAAGTGCTGTCTTGAGATCGTCGCTCTGGGGACCAGTGTTTGATTCTCAACATGAACACATTATATATATTGTTCAACCTTTTGCAGCAGCCCGACGTGAGGTTGGATTAATATTGGTATGTTACTCATTCAATCTCTATAAAAGACGTATTAAGCCATTACATTAGTTTATTTGTTTCTTCTAGCTACCTTCTCGAAGATGATGGAGTAGAAGGGGATGATGCCAGCCACTGTGAGCAACAGCCAGAAGGTGAACATCACCCCGGAAGTGATGAGGCCTTTCTTCCTCTCCAGGAGCAGTAGCAACATAGCAAACAGCTGAAAAAAAGACACCATTAAGATGTGCATTTGGTTTGGAAATTGTCTTAAAAGCAGACCAAATAACTCAAACCAGACATGGTAATTGGACAAAGGGTTGCTATGTCGCACGTATGTCTTTGCAGGGACGTTTTTGTTCCACAGATCAAATAGGTTTAGATGGCCGAGTTGGGTTTTACGTTGTTTTGGTGTCAGATTGATTTTGAAAGCACCATGGGATGCAGGTCTTGGACGTTTACCACTTTGGTGAAACCCATGAGTACACGATGATGCTGACAAACCTAGAAACATAATCAGGGTGAACCGGAATTAGAACTCACAATCATGGGTTTTGGGAACGTCAAAGGGACCCCCCACTGCACTTAGACGTTTAAGCCACCCGTGCCTATAGGATGTGCTGATTAGAAATACAGTATATTAATATCACAATACTTCTACTTGTTATGATAAAGGTATTTGCAGGGTACGAATTATTCTTGTCTTACAAAGGTAACTGCCTGGACTGCAGGTGAGATGAACAAGGCAGAGAAGTTGGTGGTGTTGTAACTATCTGCAGCGTCGATGAGTCGTATGACAGAGAGTATGACGAGGCATGAGCACACTATCTGAAAGTCAACACAAAAACGAAATAATGTATCTGCTCAAAGTCCCTCCTCATAAGGCCAGCAAAAAATGTGTTGTACTCTTGTCATATCACTGGCAGCAGGAACACCTTTAGTTCTGATTGGCAAGATGATGCAGAAGAACGCACTGACATACACACTGGTAGACACAGGGGTGTTTAACCTGTTTCGCAATTGTCGAGTTCATTGAGTTGGTAGGGAGGTGGGGGTAACCTAGTGGTTAAAGCGTTAGCTCGCCACGTCGAAGACCCATGTTCGATTCCCCACATGGGTACAGTGTGTGAAGCCCATTTATGCTGGATATTACTCGAATACTTCTAAGAGAGGCCTCAAACCGTACTCACTCACTCGCGAAGCTAGTTGGAATATGCTCACACGAGCACGAGCTGATTGTAGCCATGTGATAGTGTCGATCTGCTTCTTGACATGAGTGTGTCAGTCACTCATACACGAGAATCACAAAAAAATAACAATGTTCAGCTGAATATCGAACCGTATTCAATTCCTTACGTCTTGGCTTGTGATACGACTTAACAGCGGCATGTTACGCTTAACGCTGTATCCAATGTGCTAGTGTATGCTATCATCCCCAGAACGTTATGGACTATGCCACTCATTCATAATTATTGGGGTCAGGTCACGGTGTAGGCGCGTGGAACTGCATAAATAGGCAGCATGATAGAGGCCATGACAAGAATACAGAATCGGTCTTAATACGGATATAAAACAACAGCGAACATCACCTGGCCTATTAGGATTGTGAATACCCATCTTACGCTTCGGTCGGTCTTAATACTGCTATCTTATACTACCCTATATATTCTATTGCTATGTGTCGTCAGTGGTGTCATGCTTCTTGTATAATATTTCACGTTCTCTTTCTATATATAATGTTGCTGTTTGTAAATTAGCAATCTCATTAAAATCAGATCTTAGTTTTCGCTACCGCTTAACAAAGATCTTAGGACATCTCATTACGGGTCATGTCAGAACGACCTTTCGCGAATTTTGACCGACCAATGAAATGACTGACAAGAAATCAACATTAGCCAATCAGAAGGCAGCTTCCTCGAGCTTTACGACACTAGTTTCAAACTGGCGACTACGCTTCGAAACATATTTTGTCGTATTCTCGATTAAAAAAATTAAAACTGATAAGAAGAATGTTCTGGAATGGCTTATAGATGGCCTAGATTGTATGGATATAATCGTAAAACTCGTTACTGTCGTTCGGAATACCCCGTGTTAAATATTTCGTGGTTGCATCATTAGAAAACACATTCCGACTGTCATTCCGATCTGGTAGGCGACGCTCTGATTGGTTAGGTGAAAGGTCGTTCTGACGTGACCCTAAATGGGATGTCCTCAGATCTTTGTTTAGCGATAGCGATAACTAAGATCAGATTTTAATGAGATTGGTAAACTAGTGACCTCCGTTTTTTTAAAATTACGAACGTGGTTTCTTTAGAATTTAATGTCTTTGCACATCACGATTTATCATATTAAAACACAAAATAACGAATTTCTGTACCAGAATTTTCATGTGAAAAATGTGAGGTGGGTGTTGGAAAATCCAAAATGGCTGTTACTGACGGTACACAGTCTCATTTTAGGTAAGTAACAACCATTTTGGACTTATACGGGTATACGGGTTCATACGGGGTCAGTAGTTCCGGTCTCTGATTCTCACTTTGAGAATAATGCTTAATTTCTGGCTTTTGAAATCAGTGATGTTAAACCACACTGAACATTAATACTGTGAATGTTCAGCTTACATATATGATGATATATTTACCGTCTTTGCTAGATATTTATATCGTGACGACAACGACGTCGGTGTGACGTTCAGGAGGTAGTAGAGATAGAACGGCGACGTCAGCCACAGCAACCCACATGGCACCCACACCAACACCGTGGACTTGAAGCAGTCTGTGAACTGTGGCCAAGTGTTGTACCAGGTCAGGTTTGTGTCCTGGAGGAGACAGAAACATCCTGATTACATATAATTAAGCAGGATGCCACGAAACTGGGGGGTTCGTGGTATTAAAGTTGTATTGTTTCTACTAATCATAGTTACTGTTGTACATATGTGTATGTAATTAGTAGTAGTTGTAGTAGTAGTAGTAGTAGTGGTAGTGGTAGTAGTAGTTGTTGTAGTAGTAGTTGTAGCAGTAGTAGTAGTTGTAGCAGCAGTAGTAGGAGTAGTAGTAGTAGTTGTAGCAGCAATAGTAGTAGTAGCAGTAGCGGGAATCACTCACGCACGAATACGGCGTTAGCATTGGGCGTCTCAACATGCGTGATTCCCGTGCACCCTTTTGAGTTGAGTTGATTGGTTTAACTGTGTCATATGGCCCTGTGACGCAGGGGTAGCATTATGCAGATGGCTGTTTCAATGAAAACTCGTTCCACCCGTGACGAACAGGTCTGGTTGTTGATGAAATATAGTGATAGCTAAATAGACAGGTTTTTTATTCATGTACCGATTGTCTTTAAATGTAATATCCAGTTATGTATGACTGTTTAATAATCTCATACCAACTTTGACTGGAGTAGGTTCAATAGTTTTTTCAGATATTGTAGTAAACGTCGGTACCTTAAATTACCTTCCAGACTATATAGTAGACCACAGGGCAAGTCCTGTAAGTAGGGCGTCGATCTGTGGCGCTGCCTTCTTTCTACTATAGATCATTAACCAAAAGTATTCGCAGTGCGGTATCCTTGGATGCTTAAACCGCTTAATTATTGTTGTTTTAACGCATTAAATCTGGGAGCCATCTAGTGAGCGATGTTAGTGGTTATGTTACTCATAGTAATTAGTGTCAAATTGACATATCGACCGTCTAGATTACTAATGCGCCTAAATCACAACTGGTTCTACTACAATAATTAAACTACCACTAGTACTGTTACTACTACATCGACTACGACAACATGCTTCTACTACTTCAACGATAACATCTACTACACAAGTAACTAATCATATACAACCTTGACAACCACAATTACTACTACCACCACTACTGCAACAAAATATGCTACTAGTTAATATCTAGAACTACGAGTACTGTTGCTACAACCAGTATATAAAAAAACAAAGTATCAAAATTCCAAAAACATTGTGTTCAGAAAACAGGGTTTCCGGAGTAACAGGGGTTCACCGTAAAAATACAATTACATCACCATTTTTCTAACCTTGCATTAAAATATTCGTTTCTGATTGATTATTTCTGTTTCTAGTGACAGATAAGGTACACATTTCATACACCCCCTGGGAATACCGAACTACCTTACCAATGCGAATACAGTGATATGATTACATAATCTCGAAGCAAAACACCTTTCAAGGGCAGTGTGGCGAACTAAACCGGGTTTTCCCGAGTAAAAGCAAGGGCGATAACTCTAGATGTGTTTGTGTCTGCTCGCGGTCAAAATGTCCGTATAACTAGTCAAACTGTTGAAGACATTTACCGACAACAGTGCCGGTCTGATAAATTCGTTGTCAGCCGGTCCCTCGGGGTGTGACTGAACCTGTGTGCGGGCCTACGGCCCAGAGCCGGTGGGCTCGCACATAGGGTGCATCTCTTCATATACCGCTGGAGACCGGTCGACAACTGATAGTGTACACCATTGTATTTTAAGGTCCAAAAATTAAATTTTCTAAGGGAAATTCCATATCAGTGTACATTCGTCATACCAGAGACCATATGATATGGTCTCTGGTCATACTCAGTGCATACCACACGTGGACCTTTTTTGGTAGCGAACGATACATGTAAACTGAAGTAGGTGGACAACTAATAGCATATATCGGCTACTCACCCATATCTGGGTCCCGTCACAGAGCGAGGACATTGTGTGTGAGTATCCAATGGTCGGGGCTAAAGTTGTTTAGCGTGCTTATCTGCGTGTGACCTGACGTGACCCGATTTCTCTCTGTGGTGAAACGACATTAACATATCAAGATCTTTACAGCGTTAGCTAGACTAACATTTAGTCTCTGAAATCTTATATTACACAATATCCTTCTTGACTCTAAAACTAAAAAGAAATTCCCTATGCTGATTAGAGCTAGCTTGAGCTGGCTAGACTTGCTTTTGTATGCATTTCTAGATAATGTTTTTTATAAAATAAATATATTCCATGGTCATGGTGCAGGACTAAGCGTTAGCCCGCTTGTGGAATTTTCTATCACTATCACTAGTACCACGTGCGAAGCAGAGAGGGCGAGAGTGAGTTCGGTTTTGTGAGTTGGGTTTAACGCCGCTTTCAGCAATATTCCAACAATATAACGGCGGGTAAACTGGAATTGTCGCCCATGTGGAGAACTAAACTCGGCTCTTCGGATTGACGAGAGAACGATTTTACAAGTAGGCGATCACCACCGTTTCTGTCATACACGAACTTCAAGAAACACTCGCAGAGATAGTGTCAACCTTGTCGTCACTGCAATAAAATGGCAACTTTTTCCATATGGAAGTATAATGTTTCAGTTGTTGTACGGTAATGTTTTCAGTAAACAATGAACAGTACAACCTCTGCGTGAGTGAAGACATTTTAATAAGAAACACTTGATCAGTTTACAGCAAAATTATCTTCACCCTTTCTTTCCTTTTTCTTAACGTTATTTACGAAGCGTTGGTACTTAGATGTCAATAAGTAAAAGCGACAAATCCTTTTCCATTGTACGATTGCAACCATATCATAAGCATGTTTGTGAATTACCATCAGATACTGATCATACCAGGTGTTTGCGAAAAGGTAAGCGAATCCTGTCCCACCGTCTCAACACTTTCAAGTATACAGCAATATTTCAATAGGACAGGTTATGATGTTTGTGTGTGAGTGTGTGTGTGATATTTTGGTGGCGGTGGGGAATCTCTGTGTGCGTGCGTGCGTGCGTGCGTGCGTGCGTGTGTCAGCCGGTGATTGAGCAATTGGTGAAAGAGTGTCGAGTGCTGCCTTCTCAAGAATGCTTTGGTTCTGGAATTAAAGTTATCTACCCTTGAGGGTCAATGTCCATGACAGGCTTGAACGTTCAGGAAGTGCCTGTATGGGACGGATGGTTGTATCCATATAAGAGCGACAATATATAGGCGATTCGAGGCCCTTTAAAGTATTCGACCTGACTTGACTTCTGATCTACTTGCCAAGTGCTGAGTTCCCACCAGCTTCCAAGAATATTCTGGATTCACAAGCGGAGACAGGCCTCTTTCCAGACATTCAACAGTGATAATATTCTGAACATTCATGAGAGCACTTACCATTAATTTTTTAGCCTTTTAATTATTGCTGCTGCCACTCATTTGCCGTTTTCATTGTGGACCTAAACTTGTGTGTTTAAATATAACGCATTGAGTGTTCTTTAAACTTGTGTGGTTATTTTCTGATTTCACAATTAAACTGTTTTTTAGATAAACCCGTTTAACTTTGAAATCTCCTCGTAACAACATCATCTAGTTATGGTGCGTTAGATTTGAAAGTCCTCTGCCTCTATTATAAAAGTTTTACTCAGGCCTTGAATGGTGTAACTCTGATCAAACAGCTTTTTAGCAAGAGTCCAAAGTCGCTCTTTGACATTTTCGTAGAAAGAGCATGCTCATTTGTATCTAAAACGCTGGAGCTGCTGGAATATTGCTCATCATAAACGGAAATTCAACTTATGGAAAGCGGAAGTCTCCCTCTTGTCATATAGTCTTGTGGCCTGGAAAGCTTTGTCCCTCTAAATCTTTATGCATAAATCTAAATATGAAAAAGAGGAGGAGGTTTCACTGGTCTCTTTTATTATCTAGTTCTGTGAACTAGTTTAAATAACCAATATACAGTATATAAAGCCCAATGGTGTTGTACTATGAGGTCAACCCTGCAGCTTTGGCCATGCTGTAGAAGATGCTGTCAGGCTGTTGCAACAGGGAGGAGGGTGTGTCAAACTCACACACACAGCCCTTGTCCAAGACTAGGATTCTGCAAGCATAAACAATTCAGTTCAATTATTATTTACCTGAATACGTCACTTTAATATTGATTTATACACATAAATACTTCAATTATTACAAAGAAATGGAAAGCATATACCTGTCACAGTCCATGACCGTGTTGAGTCTGTGGGCGATGGTCAGCACCGTGCATTCCTTGAACTCTGACCTGATGGTCTCCTGGATCAGGCAATCTGTTTCCATGTCAACGGCTGCTGTAGCCTCGTCCAGTACCAGGATCCTGGTCTTCTTCAGAAGAGCTCTTGCCAGACACAAGAGCTGTCGCTGACCGACACTGAAATATGCCAGAAGGGTAACCCACTTGTTGGCAAGTTATAGGGTTGTGGTTGTGCAGATATATATTTAGTACTGACAAATTAAAATGTACAGTAGTAGTACTTGGAAAGGAACAATATTAAGTGATACAATGCTAAGTCTGGTACCTCATGTTTTCCCCTCCTTCGCTACACTCGTGTTCCAGTCCGTCAGGTAGCGTCTCCACAAACGTCTTGAGATGAGCCTGTTCCAGTGCCCGCCAGATCTGATTGTCGGAATACTTGTTGAAGGGGTCAACATTACCTCGCAGACATCCGACAAACAATACAGGATCCTGCAAGAGTGTTTCAAAGCATTTCTTCATATTAATCATTCAATAGTTCAAAATGGTTCTCCGACATTGGTACAATTTGTGAAGCCCATTTCTGGTGTCCTCCGTCAGATTATCTCTGGAATATTGCTAAAATATTGCTAAAAGCGGCGTAAACCATACTCGCTCACTCACTCACTCAAACTGGTTATTAATATGAACAATATCATATGAAATGACAAAACGTAAGACGCCAATATTGATGACAAGGAAACACGTACCTGAGGTAGTATGGTGAGTTTGCTCCTGAGATCATGCAGCCCGAGTGTACTGACGTCAACGCCATCTATGTTGATCTCTCCTCCTGCAGCCTCTATCAGCCGGAACAGGGACAGAGTCAGAGAGGACTTCCCCGCTCCCGTCCTGCCAACGATGCCCACCTGGTATGTACAGAATATGTGTACTGGGAGCTCTCAGCAATAATTAAGTGTTCATAGTTGGCACACGTTTGAAAGTGTCCTTTGTGGAGTGAGAGACTTGGGTAACATTCATCATTATTGATTCAAAGACCACATAACGAGCAGTAAAACAGTGACATGTTAAGACTTAGATGCTTGTGCTACAGGCCCGACATTTCTAAAACATGTTTCAGAGAGCGTCATGCGACTCTTGCTCAGGAACTGTTTGATCAAGGGTACAACAATAAAGGCCTCAGGGAAGCTTTCAAAAAGTAACTGGTGGACATGTGGAAGACATTTCCGGACGTGACGCCTTGGTGAAGAGGGCGATTCCTTGTCTTGCCTTGTGCTGTGTCTTCCTGTGTGTTTTTCAGGGTGAGCAATATTGACTTGCCTGTACGTGTATTTGTGGCGGTTGCTCCCGGTGGAGCGAGGTGTGCTCGGCTTTTTGCAAGCGCCTGGCCTGGTGTCCTCGCTTTTTGAGGGGGATTCATAGGCGCATGCTCATGATGTGGTCGGAATTGTGCAGTCGACGGCGGGGGTTTCTTGTGGGTAAGAGTCTTTTATCGCTTTTATTTTTATAAAAATCAATGCATAAGCAAAAATTAACAATAATTTACCTTTTCCCTAGAATGCACAGTGCACGTGATTCCCTTGAGTACAAGGTCAAGGCCGTCTCTGTACCGAGTTGAGTAGTCGAGGAACTTCACCACCCCTGAGTCTGGCCAGTCGTGATTTGGACGTTTCTCGGGTACATTCCATGCTGCCTAGTGTAATTCATACAAAAAAACCATACAGTGTCAATCGTGATTAGAAAGATCACGCCAGAATCCTTGAAGATAATACTGAAGACATATTGATATACTGGCATATTAATATGTGATGTGTATTTGACTTTTACCTCTGAATCTATTTCTGTATACTCTTTGACTCTCTCCACGGAAACGATCTGAGTCTCTACTCCTGAAACCAGCTGCACCATCAGGTTCAGGTTAACGGTTATCTGAAGTCAAAGTACCAACCAGCATAAATCCATAAACACACAGAGCAGACACATGTACACGGTAGAGCAACAAGCACAAAAGGCACCATTATCATAATCAAAGTGATAACCCCTTTGTTTAGCCACAAGAAATCTCTTCCCAAAGAGAATATTTTGTAAAGAACAACTCATTGCAACAAAGTAATTTTGGGGGACGGCAATTTGTTTTAAACAGTCTTAAGCATAATTATTTTTTGTCAAGAATTTTCGGGAACAAATTATTTTTTCCGATGGATTCCGACTACATCAGTCGCATGTGTACGTGAATGACTATCAAATAGTGATGATACCAGGTGTTCGAAATAAGGTGAGCCTATCTTGCCCATCGTCACAAACACATGCAAAGGCATGTCAATTGTTCACCTTAAAAAACACAGGAACATATGGTACAAGTAAAATTGGGAATTGCATCGGGCATCATTTTTGTCATTGTCACTGAATTTGGAATTTGGAAATGTCCTCCACATATCTACCATAAAAGTGTTGTTTGCATACCATACCTCAATAGCATAGGAGATCGACAAGCCTACAAGACCTCCTGACAGGGTATCACGTGACATGACGGCAAACAGAGAGGCGGCAAAAACGATGATATTTCCGATAATCTCCAGACGTACACCAAGCCATCTGTGAAATACAGACATTGATATAGTGAAACACTTTTCTTTAGAATGAGTTGGTCAAACACCACTCTGTAAAGGAGTTCAGTTACACAGCATATCAGGGCATGTCAGCTTAATATGAGCGGAAAGCCCGATACGGTTCTTTATCACTTTGGTAACACCCACCAGCAAAGGTATGGTGCTGGCAATACATTGATCATAATCAGTGGGAATCTAGGATTCAAACCTGAGATAATATGATCCTAGCACGCAAACATAACAAACACAATTTGTGCACATATTTTAAAATCTTTTGTGGAAATGAGTTTGGGCATACAAGACATGATTTCGAAACGAGTCCGAGTCGACTTCCTGTACAAATCTAATTGTCCGCACAACCACTTACCTAACTAGTGATGCCGTGTTAAATGGTCAGGGTAACCTATCTGATTATAAGCAGTAGTAACACAGTTTGCAGTTGGGAATGGCTTCAGTGGCCTTCATGTGAGAGTATGCCTTGAATGGAAGCTGGCTTCAGACAACGTGATTTCAATAAAAATGTTCTCACATACCTGAGAGCACAAGATGCGTAAAAGGTGAACCTCTGGTTTGTGTCTACCCGGTCTTCGGATTCCTTGATGAACCTCGACTGAGCTTGAAACGATCTGATAACACTGGCTCCTGATAATGTCTCTCCAAAATGGCTGTATATCGGGGAGCGAGCTTTGGACTCTAATCGTTTCAGCTGTCGTGAGGTGGTTACGTAGAAGCGCTTTTCAAACAAGATATATTCTTTTATTATGTTAAGAATAATGTATTGATTCGAAATCCGATTTCTTGCAAGTTTACCCATTTCTAGTTCACCAAGTTATGATAGTGAAATCTATGATATCGCCATGACACTTCCTGTTATGGTATGCGATTCACTGAAGAGGCGAAGGAAAATGTCACTTCAAACCGTTCAAAGAAGATTCATGTCGATCCCGAAAAAAAACCCAACTCCGATTGCATTACAAATGTTTAAACCGAGACGGATATATTTTGGTAAGGGCAACAATCAAGGGTAGTTGTGTAGCATCACTATTTGATGGTGATTAATAAACACACGTTTATAATATAGTCGGAATTGTAAAATCGATTGAGCCTTTGTCACAGATTTCTTATGAATATGTACAGGGTTTTATATACTTTTATTTACCTGAATAAAGTAGTATAGAATAACCAAGGGAACGACAACGACGAGAAATATGGGCGTGGTGAAGGAGATGACAATGATGCTGCTGAGGACTTGTAACAATGTGTTGATGGCGTACTCCACCGTACTCGGCATGCTGGTGTCGATGGTGTCAATATCCTGGGAGAACCTGTTCACAATCCTGCCTGTAGGTGTGGTGTCAAAGAAGGACAGTGGTGCTTTCAGAACATTCCTCAGCATGTTCATGTGGAGAATACCGGAAGCTTTGACCGTCCTTAGGTTCCACAGAAAAGCAAATATCATGATGAAAACAGCTGTAAATAAAATATAGAAACTCAAATTGAAAATACCTCAACAGTAACTTCGATCTAAATATATATTACGTTTGACATTGGCATAAAACAATTATTAGATTTGACAAGATAGGTTAATATGTCTCCAAAAACTATTTTGAATAATTTGTCAACATAATACAATATATCCATATTTTATAACAATATATAACACATGATTTAAGCCTGATAAAAGTATCCAAACAGTAAAAGAACATAAATACAATAGTTTTATCAGACATGTAGCTTGCAGTCAAGTCTTACTTTGAGCTACACCCAAGACACCATAGACTCCAAGATAGTAATTGTTCTTCTCCAATCGTCCTGAGCTATTGGAAGGGAGAAGGGTAAGGTTGTTGAGGGATGTGTCGTCAGTCCATTTGCTAAGCCATGAAGCTGACATTACCGACATTACTTGAAATAACGCGTACATGATGAGAGAGAATACCACAGTCCAAAGGCCTATAGCTCTGCCGTATGCAAGAAACACATTCAGTGTCACCTGGAACAAGATGATCGTTACTCAATTCAATGGTAATACAATCGTAGTCTACTGAATCAATAGAGCCCCTGAAAAATAATAAATATTTCTATATTTTCATATGATAAAAACAACTGACAGGATAAAACAGTTGGAAGGATATATTGTAAAGTGAAAGAAATATGTATATACACAGTATTTTAAAACATTATTGTGAGACCATCAGAGGATATACGTGTACAGACCTTGCCAGTCTCCACTTGTTCTTCCTCAATCAGTTTACTGCTCTCGCTCACAGGTTCTTTCGCCTTCAGTAGTTCGACTTGTTTCACCTCTGTGCTCTTCATCAGGGACTTCCTGTGGCACATGCATGTCCAAAAAACAAACACAACATACGTTTTGGTGGAAATACTGGTAAATACAGATGCCTGAGTTCGGATAGGTTTTTTATAATGCTGCATTTAATGTCAGTGTGATAAATATAGCATGTTTCTTTAACAAATAATTTTCAATTTAACTTCTTTAAGTTGTCTTGAGAAGTTGGTATGATGAACAAGGGAGATAGTTCTATGGACATAAACAAATAATCAAGTGACAACGGTGTTAAGTGTCTACACTGAAACGTCGCAGTCATTGTCGAAAAGAAGTTGTATGTCCATAGAACTATCTCCCTTATTCAACATACGTTTAGGTGGAAATACTGGTAAATACATTCGCCTCAGATAAGGTAGATTTGATAATGCTGCACTTTAATGTCAGTATGATAAATAGAACATGATAATTTGACTAATCATCTTCAATTTTTGCAACCTTTAGAATTTGTTTTTCCAAAATTGTGATTTTTCACTGAAATCATTATTCCTTGATCCTTGGTGCCAAAAATGCTCTCATCAACCTGTCCTTTTGAAATAGTGTTGTATACTTGTAAGCGTTGAGCCGGGCCGGTGGGACAGGATACGCTCACCTTTATGCGAACACCTAGTATTGGTAGTATTTGATAGTGATTCATAAACATGTTTTTGACATTGTCAGAATCGTATAATAGAGCTTTCTTATTATTATGGAAAGGGGCTCATTGCTTTTAGGTTCTATGTTTCATTAATACACAGGATGATTAGGTCTGATGAAGTGTCACTGACTTACATTAATGTAACACTCGCTTCGTCAGTCTCCTCGTCAGATTCCACCGATTCCAGTCGTTGGAAAACCTTTTTCTCTATTTCAGTAACTGTTCAAATAATGTCAATGTTAGGTTCTTGAAATCTTATATGAAGTTAAATTTTGTATCATCAGATTATCAGAGTAACTCTGTAAAACTGGGTGGTCGGGTAGCCTAGTGGTTAAAGCGTTCGCTCGTCACGCCAAAGACCCGGGTTCGATTCCCGACATGGGTACAATGTGTGAAGCCCATTTCTGTTGTCCCCCGCCGTGATATTGCTGGAATATTGCTAAAAGCGGCGTAAAACCATACTCACTCACTCACTACTCTGTAAAACAATTCAATTTTCAATATATATCCCATACACTGATTACTAGTATTTGATAACAAACACACAGATTACTTGTGAAATGCTCAACCTACATTCGGGATCACTGACATCGGAATCATGACTCTCAAAAAGATTTTTCTGTAGGAACTGCGCAAAGGGTCCGTTTTGGTGAAGAAGCTGGTCATATGTCCCTGTCTCTGATATCTGACCATTGGTCATCACATGGATGGAGTCGACCTCTGGGAGCCAGTGGATGCCGTGAGTCACCAAGACACGTGTCTGGATGGTTTAGGTGAAAGTCATTATTGCATTTGTAGCAGATCGTAATGGATAGGCAAGTAAATGAGTATCGTTTTATGCTGCTTTTAGTATCATTCTTGAAATAGCAAGGCAGATGACACCAGAGTAAATCCCGTTTATAGCTGCACATACCAATGGTAATCAAGAAAAATATGACATTAGTTTTACATGTACGTATGTATGTATGACTGATTTTACACATTTACTTTAACATATATAGAACGGGCGTTCCTACCTTGCCTGCAAGCAACCCGTTTCGACTTAGGACCTTGTCAAAGATGTGTTTCCCCACATGACTGTCAACAGCACTGAGTGGATCATCCAACAAATAGATGTCATCATTGTTGTACACAGCTCTGGCTAGAGACACTCTCTGCTTCTGTCCTCCACTCAAGTTGATACCCTATAGCAATAATACACTGTCAGATTATTCTAGTTCCTCTCTTCATTTTGCCCTTTTTTATATACCAGCGACAAAGGTCGAGGTGATTGAATTACTGGAGCTGGTTTTATTCTGTAGTCTGCTTTCCCTCCTAAATGAAGACGCTTTGGTAGCAGGTTGTGATGAATTGCTCGGGTTCTACAACTCGCGGTTAGATAAGAATTGAGAGTGGTTATAAACATATAATACTGACGGCCTATTCTATTCTAGAATACACACAAGTACCACGAGATACTCACTCTCTCTCCAATCTCTGTCATATCACCAGCTGGTAACATCTCCAGATCTGGAGTCAGAGCACAGCACTCTACCACTTTGTCGTACCACTGTCTGTCCAGGGGCTTCCCGAAGAGGATATTGTTCTGCAGGGTGTCGTTCTGGATCCATGCAATCTGGGGCACGTAAGCCACGTGACTCTGCCAGGAAATAACCACAACTTAGCATGAGTGTATGAGGGCTAGGATAAACAAAATTCCTTTAGTCCAACACTACAGCAGTATAAAAGAAAATAGAAACCTTGAGACTGACGTGGCCGTTGACCTTGCTCATCTCGCCCAATACTGCAGATACAAGTGAAGATTTTCCCGATCCAACTTGACCTACAACAGCTGCAAGCTGACCTTCGTTAACAGTCAAGTTAATGCTGAAAGAATAATTTTCGTTTAGCTTTAGATTATGACAGCTGAAAATATCCATATGTCTGTTTTAGTTCTGAGTAGGAGTATGTAATTATATTTGAGAAAATCATGGGCGAACAATCGAGTATGGTAGCGTCAATTGATTGTTATACATGTACGTATATGGTGTATTTACTTTGTTAGAGCTGGTCCTTGTTCAGAAGTCCACTGAAAACATCCGTCTGTAATCTTCAGTGCAGGATCTGTTGTGTTATAATGTTTATTGGCATGAACATATACTTCTAACTAAATATACATGCATTGTCCTTATGGTTCAAGATGGGCAGTGAACAAAGATGAATAAAACATTGAAAACTTCATGCATCATTTTTCTGGTCATTTTAGCTGAACACACAAGTACATTCACATCTATAAGGGAGGGGCGTGCAAAGGGGTTTGGACTTAAGTTCGAGACACATTTGGTGTGCAACGTACCGTTTCAATGCATATATTATAGGGGTTCTAAAGGATCCATTTTGTCAGCAAATCCGGTTGTAAAGCCAGTTGAGCCCAAGTTATTTCTTATCAGTAAATTTGTTATTATTATTCAATGGCATAACCACTGCACACTGATGGGTTTGGTGCAATGAGAAATGTAAATAATTCTATTGAACGTTACTTGATGGTCACGATACAGTCGGAATCGCTCAATTAACAATATTTCTTCTGAATATGGAAAGGGGTTTGTCTGTTTAATTGTGATGGGAACACACTTGGATGACAAGAAACGTGTTCAGGGGAATAACAGACATGTGCGAACATGATTTGTAAAGGTGACTGTTAATACAAGTCATACCTTGTCCTGGATAGTCCCTTCTGAAGACGTCTCTGCACAACAGCTCAGGATCAGCTCTAACAATACTAGCCAACAGTATATGTAGAAAGTTACCACTTTAAGGATGTTTTGCTCGAATTGCTGAAACAGGGACACTTTGGATCTTAAACCCTGATCAAACAACACTTGATTCATGTGGCGCTCTTTGAAGTCTTCTTAGAAACAGCCTGTTCGATTGTACCTTAAAAAATGTGTTTGTTCGTTTGTTGTTTAACGCCGCACTCCGCCATATTCCAGCTATATGACGGCGGTCTGTAAATAATCGAGTTTGGACCAGACAATCCAGTGATTAATATCATGAGCATCGATCCACGCAATTGGGATCGATGACATGCATCAACCAAGTCAGCGAGTCTGACCACCCAATCCCGTTAGTCGCCTCTTACGACAAGCATAGTCACCAAACATGGGTTGCTGAACACCTAATCTTTTTTAATCTTTTTCGTTTTGAATTGTAGACACCAAAGGTGTTGACTCTTGGAACGTTGACGTCATCCCTCTTGACATACAGACTTACAGATAGTTTTACTTTGTCACTCTTAAACGTTATGCATATATTTAAATATGTTAGAGATGAGGTGGTCTCACCAGTCTCGTCTTTTCTAGTTCAGGTGGGTAAGTCAGTGGAATGGAATTGGCTATTTCACCATAATTGAACGATATCAGATCATCAATACACAAGAAGCTTAAGTAAACCCTCTTGATTCCCTTAGTTGACTTTACAAATCCGAGCAGATATTCCGATTCATATTAATGGATTAAAGTAGGAGAATAATCAGGTTGAATAAGCTACCGAATAATATACCATTGGGCGTTATAAGCAAAACAGCGGTGAAACTTATATGAAAGAAAATCGGTCATGACACCGGGTGTTCGCAAAAAGGGTAAGCATATCCTGCCCTATCAATAGTACTCGCCACTCCCAAAATTTGAAAAGAAAGAAAAAAGAAGAAAGTGTTTGTTTGTTGCCTGACGGTCCACAGCAGTAGTCCAATAATACGACTGGCCTGTTAACAATTGAGTCCTGACCAGACAATCCAGGGACAGGATAGCCCATTAACTGATGTTAAAACAATATGTACATTTTGAATTACGTCTGCTGTGTAAAAGTGCCGATATTCTAGTGCTCAAGTAAAGAGCAACGTTTACAAGTATGTTCGTTTTGTTACACAGTTGGTGACAGTTTTAATGTATCGGCCAAAATGGTAATGATTCCACTTGTCTTAATTAAATACATTCTGTGAATGTAAAGATAGTCATGTCTTGATTGTTTTAAGGATTACGATTAATTTTTAAAACACGGATTTGGTGGTTCCTTTGCTGGAACAACCAATGTGTCGCTTTTTCTACGGATGTTTAGAAGAAACACTGTCTTGTCTCTGTCGCACGTGTTTGCTCTATAAACGAAACTTAAAGACAAACACATTTATACAATTATAGGTTGTAGACTCAATCAGTAGGTGTTTGTTTATTTGTTGTTTAACGCCGCACATCATGAGCATCGATCTATGCATATGGGATACGGTGGCATGCATCAACGAAGTCAGCGAGCCTGACACCCGATCCTGTTAGTTGCCTCTTACGACAAGCTTAGTGGGCTTTTATGGCAAGCATGGGTTGCTGAAGACTTATTCTACCCCGGATCTTCAGCTATTCAGCTTTGTAATCCAGTACAAAGGGGGAGGAATGGTCATGTCTTCAGGTCATGTGTTGATAGCACTAATGCGTCGTTTTGGCAGAGTTCTTCCTCAGAAAACATACTGGACTGTAGTTATGCCTACATATTATACATGTTTACTAATATGTCTAATCAGGCATTAATTTAGTATGATGGTTTCTTTGAGCTACCTTCTTGAAGATGATGGAGTAGAAGGGGACGATGCCAGCCACTGTGAGCAGCAGCCAGAAGGTGAACATCACCCCGGAAGTGATGAGGCCTTTCTTCCTCTCCAGGAGCAGCAGCAACATAGCACACAGCTGAAATAAGACACCAATAAAATGTTTAATTGCTTTGGTTATTGTTTTAACTTAGCAAATAGCTGAAACGATGCATTGCCATTGCACCAAGGATGTTACATATTATGGTCACTATGTGATCGCAGGCATGAGGGTGCGATAGTATTACATCGAATTATTACTGGGACGAGTAATCAAGCCATTTGGAACCGACGGAGTCAAAACTTCCGGGCATGGAATATTCAAAAATACTGGCGAATCTGAAAACACAGATAGTTTATTGACAAAATACAAAAGCTATCAGTCCTTTTTGGCAACATTATCTCCATAAGTGAGACAGATATGAGGTAATTGGAAATATTATACGTCAAGCTGGAATGTCATTACGTCATTATACAGTAGATGGCGTCATATGCTTCCGTGATAACTGACCCCCACCTTTTTTGCATAATGTGTGAACAGTTATATCACTGTGTGTCAGCCTAATATAGGAGCTCGAGGTAAGACTCAAGTGAGGCACCTTTACCACCCTGGCACACTGCCCATGAACCAAGAAACGTAAGCAGGGTGAATAAAGATTCGAACACAGAAACTTAGGTGTCTGGTACGCCTGAGCGACGCAAATCTGCTCCTAAAAAATTAAGCCAACCTCGGACCCAAGATCAGTGAAGCTAAATAAAGTATAATATTTTTATCAAAATACTTCTACTCCTACTGTCTCGACAAAGATCTGGATTAATTTTTTTATCTTACAAAGGTAACTGCCTGGACTGCAGGTGCGATGAAGAAAGCAGAGAAGTTGGTTGTGTTGTAGCTGTCGGCAGCGTCGATGAGTTGTACGACAGATAGTATGACGAGGCACGAGCATATGATCTGAAATTCAACACAAAAAAGAACGTTTCTAAAGAATGCCTACAAAAGAATGTCATTTCACTTACAGCAGTCACACATTTTTGTTTTGTGTTGCAGCCAAAGCGTTATCAGATTAATCTCAGATGTAGATGCGGAAGGAGAGTGAATTTCACAGAGTAGAACAATCTTCCAGATTCACTGCTATATATACTACTCAAAAGAAGTTAAGGATCACCTGATTCTTTCATGTTACAATAGTTAATCTCTCATGCCATGACAGATTAACATTACCAATATGAAAGAATCGGGTGATCCTTAACTTCTTTTGAGTAGTATATTTACTCCATTTGGAAAAGTGGACATACACCTATCATACAGCAACCTGTATACGGTAGTCCAGTTGAACAAGTATTTGTTATGATGAAAACAATATAAGATAATACATCTTCATTTCCATCTTGGTGAAGGGAGTAGCTGACTACAAGAGTGGCCCATGTGTGGTCATGTTTGTTTTCTTCATTTTTAGGGGGTGATATTGTTTTCTTCTTAAAAGAGAGCTGAAACTTTTTCAACCAATGAAGAGAATGTTAGTTTTTCTCACTATTCGCAAACACATAATAACTGTACAGATGTAGGTAATTTTGAGACAGAACGTTGAAAATAGCAGTATAATAAAGCATTTGTATACTACGAAAGACTATATTTTACAACATGTGCAGTAAAACACAGTGGAAAGTTTCCTTCAAATTGACAGAAAACTGGTCAACTTAACACGTTTGTACTCAGAGCTACTGGAAGAATGTACCTTTCAATTACTAAGATTGTGGACTATGATGGACATGAATGACATAAATTTTGATGTAAACTGATGACCAAAACAAACATTACCAAACTGAAAGTTGGACACGTTCGGTCCAAAGCCCAAATAGTGTTACAAAATGGCTGAAAAGCATTCGCCCGAACACAACCAAAACAGTTTTACTGGGTAATGCACGTGCTACAGTACCCAAATCAGTGGATGAGTTTGGAATGAAACTTTTGCTGCACTTGCAGCATGCCAACCTACATAGATATGGGTACAAAATGGACGATGTACAAACAACCAAACCGTTGGGCAGTGACAAATAACATAAACGGTACAACTGAAAAAAAAATCCATTGGAATGATACACTAAGGAACAACGCATGATCACGTCGCAAGGAGTTTTGGCTCTTGCAGAATGACATTCACCAGGCTGTTGGTCTGTTAGAGGCACACTGGATGGATGGGAGACCTCCTGTCACAACCCTCCGGGAAAACTTTACATACGCATCCTCCATCTGAGGAATCGTATTATCACGGTGACGTCATCAGCTGAGATAGACATCCTGTCAGTCCTGCGTTGGGACTGTCCAAAGGCGTGTTTTGCCCGTGGTTGGTAGTTCAGGTGATTCTTCATCGTCGACGTCATCGTTGGTGAGGTGGCGGCCTTGGCTCATGCCACGACTAGCCTTACCATCCATCCTCTACTGTCAATGATCTGGGCACGTCTGATTGACCATGTCAATCAGGCTTTGTGAGTGAGCGAGTGAGTATGGTTTTACGCCGCTTTTAGCAATATTCCAGCAATATCACGGCGGGGGACACAAACAATCTTTGCCATAGATTATAGACGCCTCAATGCTTTTTCCTCTACCAAGTTTTGAAGATGTTGTTGATGCCATAGGCGACAGCCATGCCAAAATGTTTAATGTCATTGCATGTGCTAGTGGCTTTTGGCAAATACCACTCAATTCAGAAACAAAACACGGCCTTCATATCGGCGAATCAGCTTCCTTTCAGCCTCTAAAATGCTCCTATGGCATTTCAGCAAACCATTTCAGAGTCACTCAAAGAAATGAATTGGCGTTACACACTAATATATTTAGATGACAACATAATAGTTTCAAAAACGTTTTGGAACATTTGAATCACTCACTTACCCCAAACAAAAGGAAAATTCGTGACAAGACAAGTCGCCTACTTAGGGCATATCTTCCGAAAAGATGGTATTCATGTTAATCCTTCCAAATTCAGTCACACAGATCCCACCCCCGTAAAATGTCCATGACATGCGTCATTTCTCAGGTTTGGCCTCGTATTATCACAAATGTGTAGCAAACGTTTCTCCTCTATGCAACCTTCTTAGAAAATATGCGTCTTTCGAATTGTACAACAATTTCCAACATGCAGATGAAGCAAGCCCCATCCTGGCATATCCTGAAACAAACCCTTCATCCTCACAACTGATGCATCTCAAACTGCAATAGGGAACAGTTCAGTCCAACTTGATCCTCATGGCATAACCTGGCACAATGATGTTGTTAATTCGTGTCCTTTGACAATACAAGGATCTTCATTGACCTTGGTCATGTTCTGTTTATAGGAACAACGTTTTAATACAGAAAGGCTACAAGCATATTGTCTGGTAATGGCTTTGCTCACGAAATACTCTGTATCATTGAAAAAGGCCATATTGCAGTCGCGACTTTTCATGGGCGATACCCAGCTGCGTCATACCAAAAGAAATTAAGCGATGGTACTCGTTGTTACCCTGTTACGCTTGGAATTGAGGGGCTAAATCAAGGACTAGTCGGGTCGGAGTCAGTATACTGTATCCGAGGGGGGTATTCGTGTTAATATGCGGCATGGTATCTCAGCGGCCTAGCACTATAAAAAAGGGCATTTGCCTGGACTAGTACACACACACACACACACACACACACACACACACACACACACACACACACATGCACGTCGCCATATAAGTGCAATAATCTTACGCTACGTTAAACCCCATTCACTTCCCCTCAATTGTCAACCCAGAATGGACACAGGATCCGTAGGGATTCATCTTTGAAGTAGAATCCATGCAGACTTAATGGATAGGGTGGTCACCCTCGGTGATCGTGCTCCGACGACATGGATTATTTGTCATAATATCTGTCATTGGCTTGTTTTTTCCGCACTGCATAAATTTCAAGCTAGAATATTGCTGAGGAACATACAAATTAATATTAATACGGCTATATTATAAAGTATCGACCAGGCCTTTGAAAACAATTATGTAAACTATAACAACAGGGGACATTACTTGGTCTATTCATATATTAAATATTCATCTTACAACTTGATGTTCATTTATATCGTCATAACTTCATAATTTATTAAAGGGGAGTACACTTTACCATCTTTGCGACATATTTATGCCTTGATGACAGTGACGTCGGTGTGACGATCAGGAGGTAGTAGAGATAGAACGGTGACGTCAGCCACAGCCACCCACATGGCACCCACACCAACACCGTGGACTGGAAGCAGTCTGTGAACTGAGGCCAAGTGTTGTACCAGGTCAGGTTTGTGTCCTGGAGAAGACAGAAGCATCCTGATAACACATTTACCAAGAAGTGGGGGTATTTGTGGTTTTGACGTTGTATTGTAACCACTAATTCTGGTTGCAGTTGTTAACACATGTATGTAAATAGTAGTAGAAGAAGAAGAGTGAGTGAGTTGGGTTTAACGCCGCTTTTAACAGTATTCCAGTTATATCACGGCGTGTCAGCTTAATGTTGGAGGAAAGCCCGAAGTGATGCAGGTCTCAGACGTTTACCACTTCGGTGAAACCCACGAGCACGGGTATGGTGCTGACAAACCTAGAAACATAATTGGGGCGAACCGGGATTCGAACCCACAATCAGAGGTTTCTGGCGTGCCCAAGGGACGCAACCCTGCACAGCGAATCGCGGCGCCCCAGACAACTGGGCCACCCGTGCCCCCAGAAGAAGAAGAAGTAGTAGTAGTAGGTGGTGGTGAGGTGAAATGGGGTTTAACGTCGCCTGCAAGATTATTGCACGTATATAGCGACGTGCATGCACGTGTGTGTGTGTGTGTGTGTGTGTGCGTGCGTGCGTGCGTGCGTGCGTGCGTGCGTGCGTGCGTGCGTGTGTGTGTGTGTGTGTGTGTGTGTGTGTGTGTGTGTGCGAGCGTGCGTGTGTGCTTGTACTAGTCCGGACTGATGCCGATTTATAGTGCTAGCCCACGGAGATACCATGCCGCAGTTTAACATGAATACCCCACTCAGACACAGTATACTGACTCCGAGCCGACCAGTCCTTGTTTTAGCCCGTTAATACCGAGACAGGGTAACAACAAGTACCATCTTATAACGTCTTTTGGTATGACGCGGCCGGGATTCGAACCCCGGACCTTCCGCTCTCCGCCACCACGGAGGCGGTCTAGTAGTAGTATTAGGTGTAATACTAGTGGTAGTAGTAGTAGTAGTTGTTGTAGTAGTAGTTGATGTACAAGTGGTGGTGGATGTAGTAGTGGTAGTAGTAGTAGTAGTAGTAGTAGTAGTAGTAGTAGTAGTTATTCGGTTAGTAGTTCACAGTAGTTGTTCACAGTTATTATTGCCTCTGAGTATATGTCCAAAGCTGTTGTCATATGACAAGTGATATGTGATTGGTTATCTCTCCCTTTCGTCAGTCAGATGTGACTCATCAAGGTAGATACTACGAGCGGTAAATCACTGACTCATCTTTGGCAAACATGTTACAATATAAAGACACATCTATAACTAGTTGGATATATTGGTCATACAAATCATGGGTATATCGTTCGTAATAATGACTACAATTATGTATCCAAACAGATACAGTCAAGAAAGTGGGGTTACCGGATAAACAGGGTTTGACAGAATACATACAAAACTATGAAACATGTACATCATTTCACTTAAGACTCGACAATGGGAAATTAAATTGTACTGTGAACGTATTCATTCTTCATCCCCAAGACATGATACACTAACGTATTATAAGATAGTGAAACATGAACATAAACTGAAACAGATGCACACACAATAGCTTAAATTGGCTACCTACCCATACCGGTGTCCCATTACACAGCGAAGCCATTGTGTGTGAGTGTTGAACGGTTGTTACCTGACTGAAGCTATATATCCATTACTTGTTCTTATCTGCGTGTGACCTGGCATGGCCTCATTTCTCCCTGTGAGTGAATGAGTGAGTGAGTATGGTTTTACGCCGCTTTTAGCAATATTCCAGCAATATCACGGCGGGTAACACCAGAAATAGTCTTCACACATTGTACCCATGTCGGGAATCGAACCCGGGTCTTCGGCGTGACGAGCGAACGCTTTAACAACTAGGCTACCCGAACGCCCCTGTGGTCGAAGCGGGTCATTGTTTGCTCTTATAAACCTACTGCCAATTGTGCCTGTTGTATTGTAGATGTATTCCTCTCTCGTAATAACCTCTTTGGAGATTTTGCTTTTTCCTAGTAAGACCTCATCCAGGGTATGAGTTAATGATAAAAAACTCCTCCTCGGTTTTGGTTGAAAATGTAAAACCTCGAGATCGGGAAAAGCCCTCGGGCCTATGACCAGGTTTCACAATTGTCTCGTTATAATTATAAGGCGCCAAATGTAGATTGAATTTTGGTTAAAATTAAACTCTTTTGAAATTTATAAGCCATAGCAGTCACTACCCCCTCGGAGGCGTGTATTCTCCTATATACATCAAGCTCCCCATAGCTATAGCCCCTTTCCCGAAGTCCTCTTGCGGTAGGGTTTGGTTTGGTTTGTTGTTTAACGCCGCACTCAGCAATATTCCAGCTATATGACGGCGGTCTGTAAATAATCGAGTCTGGACCAGACAATCCAGTGATTGACAACATGAGCATCGATCCAAGCAATTGAGACCGATGACATGCATCAACCAAGTCACCGAGCCTGACCACCCGATCCCGTTAGTCGCCTTTTTCGACAAGCATAGTCGCCTTTTACGGCACGCATGGGTTGCTGAAGACTCTGTCTCGGATAATTTTACCGCCTACAACATACTACATTGGGGGGATTGGGGATTGGGGGGTAGAAGGGCGCGGGGGGGGGGGGGTATAGTTCTGATTGATAAAGCCGGGGTGGTATCATGCTAAAATAGCCCCTCAACGGTAGGCGTGTGTTTGGTATGTCAACGGTCACATGTTCACAATGTTCTTGGTTAAATGAAGCGAAAGGTAACCTGACCCTCGATTTCATTTATGTTCAATAAGCAACGTACGTGGACTTCGTTGTTTTATACTGTGATCAGATACAAATTGAAACTAGGGCACACGTGACCGCGATGTGTGAGGTCATCGCCTTGGAATGCGGGCGGTTAACGATAAACATATGCTCCCTGTCTCGGCTGAGCAGGACGTTGGTTGAGTGAGGTTTAACGCTTTGTTTAAGGTTTAGAAAGGCTTTTAGCAATATCACGGCGTGGGACACCAGAAATTGGCTTCAAATATTGTACCCATGTAGGGAATCGAACCCGGGTCTTCGGTGTGACGAGCGAACGCTTAAACCACTAGGCTGCCCCACCACCCCTAAGCAGGATGTGTTGGCAACTTATGAATTGAGCGGCTACATTGAGTGTGAAGTGAGCACGTGTTATAAATACCTGCAGTAAAGAATATTTTTATTCACAGTTTCATCTTGCCCACAGAAGGATGGAAGGAGTATTCGTGTTGTATTTATATTAATTCCATTTGAAATTGAAAAAGGTTCAACCAAGATAACCAACAAAATGAATTCTTGAACACCAAACAGGTTATGAGAGATTATTACCAGGTCCTGACGCAACACCAGATATCAGGGCGTACGTATAGTTCAGTACCCAGGTTGCTGGTAGTGAAGGGTTGGTTGGTTGGTTTGTTGTTTAACGCCGCACTCAGCGATATTCCAGCTATATGACGGCGGTCTGTAAATAATCGAGTCTGGACCAGACAATCCAGTGATTGATATAATGAGCATCGATTCACGCAATTTTGATCGATGACATGCATCAACCAAGTCAGCGAGCCTGACCACCCGATCCCGTTAGTCGCCTTTTGCGACAAGCATAGTCACCTTTTACGGCAAGCATGGGTTGATGAAGACCTATTCTACCCCGGATCTTCACGGGACTGAAGGGGGCGGGAACACAGGCGTATCATCGATCTCACTGTCTTTGTTTAAGTCATATCTCGAACAATAGATTCACCAATTGTATTCGAAGATCCGGGTAGAGAATAGGTCTTCAGCAACCCATGCTTTCCGTAAGAGGCGACTAACAGGATCAGGCGGTCTGTCTCGCTGACTTGGTTGATGTCATCGTATCCCAGTTGCATAGGTCGATGCTCAGTATGGCATCACTGGATTGTCTGGTCCAGACTAGATTATTTACAGACCGCAGTCATATACATGTAGTTGGAACATGGATGACTCCGGCGTTAAAACAACAAACTATCTGTGATCACTAATAACTATTTTTATTCAGTTTCACTCATTTCTCATCGGCATTCACGTGAGAACACTTAAGTAACTTGCTGCCGAAATGTATACAGTAAATCCGCTTAGACCGATCAGGTAAAGTGGTCTGGTTAGTTAGGCTTGATTAGATATTGGCAAGTTGTAAGAAGGTATCCTGCGTTTGATACAAATGCATCAATCGTACGTGGTGAGGTCAGTAAACAGTGCGTGAAGTGGGTTGAAAGTTTGGCGATTGTAGGTGTGGGGACGTTCTTTTGTCTAATTTTGAACTGTTAAGCCATCAGGGGAATTTTATGCTTAATTTGGACTTCCAAATCAGTTCGAGACAACAGAAAGATTCAGTTCGACAGATCCGAATATAAATAATGATAAATATTGAAAGAATTCGATGAGACCAGAGTTCGAGACAACCGGGATTTCGACACATCCATGTTCGACACAAAGAGAATAATATGACATTACATCATATTAAGAAGTTTCTGTTCACTTCAGACGCCTTTGAGAGACATAAAAGCGACAAAACCTTCTCCATATTCATAAGAAATCTCTGCTAAAAGCAGACTCGATTGTACGATTCTGACTACATCATGAATATGTGTTTATGAATCACTATGAAATAGTGATGATACCTCGTGTTGAAGTCATCCCTCTTCTTATACAGTATTGTAGACTTGTAGAGAGTTGTTTGTCACCCTCAGTCTTTATGCACAGATCTAAATATGATCAAACAGACGAGGCGGTCTCACTGGTCGTCTTTATTTCGAGTTCAGGTTGTAAAATTAGTGGAAGACAATTGGCCACTTGACCGGTTTTTACGATAATAAATCATCGATATACCTGAAGCTTAGGTTAAAGTGTTCAGCCAGATTACATTGTTTGACTTGCCGACCCGAGCAGATATTCCAATTCAGATACATAAAGAAGAGAACACCAAGAAGGGGAACACAATGGGTGGCCATGAGGATGCCCACGTCTTGGCTGAAGGTTTTACCTCCAGATTTCACATAGATGGTAGCAATGAGAAAGTCTTGCATTTCACCAACTAATTTTTTTTCATTTTTGTAACTATACCATTGGTCAACACGGTTAGTAAGAAATGCGCCATGGATCAAGGTTTTCCTTGGGTTTCAAATGTGGGATAGTGGTGCACAAAAGTTAAAACATCAAATGATTTGACAGAATTTAACTTGGTTCATTTCTGAAGCTGAAAACATTCAAGGAATTCAACATGATTTTCATTTTACAGGTCGTACTGGTTTCTGTGAGCATAAAGAAAGTGCTTCATTCATTGTATTGAGTATTATGCTTAATCTTTGAGACACGGATTTGGTGGTACGTGTGCTGCAATATATCACCCCTTGTACAAATCGGTATAACGCTTTGGATTCCAGTACAAAAGAGACATGGACATTCTTCAGGTCGTGTGTCTTGCGAATCTACCGCAATATTATAAATATTCCCATCTATAGTAAGGTGATCTGACTAATCATTGGTCACATGATGTTTGTTGCTATTTTGTTGGTACATAACAATGGACATTTGTTCATGTCTTCGCGGAATATTGTCTTTGGCTATTTCAACAGATGCACACCATTTTTGCGTCTAACCTCTTAAAGTGGCGATCCTTAGCAAATGTTGTATTGTATGCATTGACAATATCGTTCTTATGTTTATTTAGTTATAGGTTTTTCCTAACAGTCATGACAACTTAACTGGTAAAAACCTGACGGCACCATGTTGATATTTTAAGATACATTTTGTTAAATATAACTTTATAGGAAATCATCAGAAATTAAGCCTTCATATTTTAATTTGTCAAGACATTTCAGCCCCAATTGAATGTGATAAGGAATAATAACACGGACTGTTTGTTTGTTTGTTTAAGGGAACTTATTTCTTACAGCATATTGTAAACAGCAAGTGAATGAAATGTAGCCAGTGATTTGTCAGCCTACGATGGAAATAACATTGTCGAACATGTTTTCCCCGCCAAATGGTATCAACATCTCTCAAACGTAACTGCAAACTGTGGTTATGACATGAGAAAAACTATCTATGGTATCTATCAATGTACATGTCATCATTTACGTAGCACTGATAGTTATATGTATATGACACAATTTCGAAAGGACAAGGTACGATAAGGGCCCTTTTTGGACCTCGGTATATACTACAGTAAACTATAAGGAACACGCTTATAACGAACTGACTGATAAAACGAACTTATTTCTTAGTCCAGGCCATTTGCTGTATATATGCTCATAAGGAACAACGGTCATTACGAACTAAAATTAGTGGTCCCTTTGCATTCGTTATAACCGTAGTTTACATAATTTAACTTTCCGGTCCATAGATCACTTGATTGTCTGGTTCATCAGAAATTAAGCCTTTTAGCAGAAGTACTGCTGCTGGGTGTCAGGCAATACATACTTACTTTTTATGCAAATTGTGTGGACGGCGGATGCTACCGGTAGGGAAAGATATGCTTGCAGTTTTCGCGAACACCCGGTGACACTGATATTCAGCGGTCCATTCATATAATTTTCACAACTATTTTGCCCTTTACGCCGAATGGCACGTTTCGGCGGATAATCAAGACTGGTTCTTCTCTTGCACTGACGTTGTATAGTTAAGAAATGAGGAAATATTTTACAAATCATAAACATTAGACTTCGTTCACTACAACAACTGCATGTTAGGGACAACAATGCATAGGCAAGGTTTAAACTGTCAGAACTGCTTCTTAGAGCCTTTAGTAAACCTTTTTTTCTAATATTTGCTTTATCAAGCTACAAATTGACTTGTCTTTGCGTATATTTGTGACGGGTGTCTCCGTGACTCCGTTCTGTTGACTATTAAAAGGGTTTTGTCGCTTTTATTTGACCCATGTTGATCTTAGGAAGTGTTGAAAAAAACTACCAAAAAAATTCTTGTGTCAAGGATACTTCGATTTTCTCTTCTCTGATTTTAGCCATACGTATCATATACCATCATGTCAGCAGTCGAAAACATTAAAACTGACATCCTAGTGGGCCATATACTGAGTGTATGATATCGTCGCTTTAAACAGTATTTCAGGTACATTACGGTATGTCAGCTTTGCGTGGAAGGCAATTGGTTCACGGGTATGGTACTGGCAAAACAAGAAACATAATCAGGGTAAACCGGGATTCGAACTCACGATCTTGGCTTCTGGCACGCCTATGGGACTCAACTCTGCATAGCAAAAGGGGTGATAATTAAATTGTCCCAGTTAATTCTTTTGAAAAACATGATTATGCTTCAAACTGATGGAAAAAAGATTGCTGGCCAAAAATGACATTGTTGCAAGGCTCATAGTTTTCATTAAAAGAGTATCTGGTTTTGTGGCTGTAGCTGACAGCATACATAATCTCGATACATATAATATCAAATATATCGGTCCCTTAGCAGTGACACCCTTAAAATGGGCGATAATGAAACGTCCAAGTGGATGTCAGTGATCAATATGCCATCTATGGTAGAGCGGACAGAAATGACCGAGTCTGGGCTCGACACACTTGTGGTTGAAAGCATGGACAACTAGCCATATAGATGGGGATGGTGGCACACAATTCATCCTGTCACACACAATATCCTGCTGTTTATTTTGTAGTTGAATCAATATAAAAATGTACAACCCAAATGATATGTATTATGTCAACCCTGCAGCTTTGGCCATGTTGTAGAAGATGCTGTCAGGCTGTTGCAGCAGGGAGGAGGGTGTGTCAAACTCACATACACAGCCGTTGTCAAGGACCAGGATCCTGAAAGATGCATATTAAGTTCAATCACTGATGGTATAAACAAAGCAATTCAAATATTATTTAATTCATGCTTGCCGTAAAAGGCGATTATGCTTGTCGTAGGAGGCTACAAAGGGATCGGGTGGTCAGGCCCGCTGACTTGGTTGATACATGTCATCGTATCTCAATTGCTGTTAATTGATGCTCATGATGTCAGTCACTTGATTGTCTGGTCCAGACTCGATTATTCACAGACGGCCGTCATAAAGCTGGAATATTGTTGAGTGTGGCGTGAAACAACAAACAAACAAACAATTATTATTTACCTTTGTTTTTTTTGTATATGTTTCGCAGCTATTTGACTGCGGCCTGTAAAGAACCCAATCGGAACCAGAAAATCCAATGATTAATATTCGGAGCATCGATTTACACCAACGGGTAATATGACACGCAATCAAATTAGTCACCGAGCCCGACCACCAGATCCATTCAGTTAGCTCTTACGTATTATTTACCCTAATATGTCATTCTAACATGCGTTTACAAAAGGCCCAAGGCGTGGAATTATCTACTGCAAAAATAATAATGAGAATAATCATAATACGAAAAACAAGAAAAGTGACCTGTCGTAGTCCATTACGGTGTTCAGTCTGTGGGCGATGGTCAGCACCGTGCAGTCCTTGAACTCTGACCTAATGGTCTGTTGGATCAGGTCATCTGTTTCCATGTCAACGGCAGCTGTAGCCTCGTCCAGTACCAGGATCCTGGTCTTCTTCAGAAGAGCTCTGGCCAGACACAAGAGCTGCCGCTGGCCGACACTGAAATATGCCAAAAACATTTTAGCGTTTTGGTTGTGCAGATATATATTCAGCAATAACACACTAAAATATACAGTTATAATACTTCAGAAGGAACATTGTTAAGTAACAAGAAACAGCGTTAAGTTCGGTACCTCATATTTTCCCCTCCTTCGCTACACTCGTGTTCCAGTCCGTCAGGTAGCGTCTCCACAAACGTCTTGAGATGAGCCTGTGCTAGTGCCCGCCAGATCTGATTGTCGGAATACTGGTTGAAGGGGTCAACATTATCTCGCAGACTTCCAGCAAACAATACAGGATCCTGCAAGAGTGATTCAAAGCATTTCTTCATATTAATCATTCAAGAGTTCAAACCGGCTATTATTATAAACTCTATCATATGATATGTCCACACGTATGACGCCAATATTGATGACAAGGAAACGCTTACCTGAGGCAGGATGGTGAGTTTGCTCCTAAGATCATGCAGCCCGAGTGTACTGACGTCAACGCCATCTATGTTGATCTCCCCTCCTGCAGCTTCTATCAGCCGGAACAGGGACAGAGTCAGAGAGGACTTCCCCGCTCCCGTCCTGCCTACGATGCCCACCTGAAGAATAATTTATAAAAGTGCCTCAAAGATTTTGTTAACTTATGTGTACATAACGATCTCTCGGTCTGTAACACACATACGACGAACACCATTTGAGGAGCTGGTGTTGAAAGCGTAGACTATATAATAAATGTATATTTTGTGATCAAATTAACAATAATTTACCTTTTCCTTGGAATGCACAGTACACGTGATTCCCTTGAGTACAAGGTCAAGGCCGTCTCTATACCGAGTTGAGTAGTCGAGGAACTTCACTACCCCTGTCTGTGGCCAGTCCTTATTTGGACGTCTCTCGGGTACATTCCATGCCGGCTGGTGTTATTCATACAAAAGAATATTCAATGTTTAAGTCCATCTCGATGAGAAAAATCATTAAACTTTTGTTTTAAAAAACACGTCGGGTTATACCGATGACATAATGACATGCTGACATACTAATAATTTCTTTGAAGTGTATTTTACTTTTACCTCTGAATCTATTTCCGTGTACTCTTTGACTCTCTCCACGGCAACGATCTGTGTCTCTACTTCTGAAACCAGCTGCACCATCCAGTTCAGGTTAGCGGTAATCTGAAGTCGATGTACAACCCTGAATAAATCCATACAGACACACCGCAGGACCTACATGTATGTACATGAGTGGACCACCAAGAAAATGGGTACCATTATTCCAGTTATATCAGCGTTCGAAATACCCGATTTCAACTCGGGCTGCCAGATTTTCAAATCCCCATGCCCGACGGTCGGGTTATATTTCATATGTGAAAATATTCTAAATATTTCCCAATGATAAGCATTAATTCACATGTAAAGATGAATGATAAAATGTAACCAAAAAGAAACCCCTTTAGCTTTTAGACAACCTAAAGTTTAGGCCCTATTTAGGAATAAGGATATTTACATGATATATTCTAGGATATTAAATATAAATCTGACCTAAAAAGTGTTTGCTATTTCTTTTCTTGCATTACTTCATGTTCAATGAATTCGATTTAAAGTTTTAATTAAATCATCCTGAGAAACATATGATTATAGTGGGCAGGCAGGTTTTGGTCAGGGCTGGCAAGTATTTCAGCAAGCCAGTCCGAACCGTGATTCAACCCCACAATCATAGGTTTCTGGCGTGCCCAAGGGACGCACTGCACAGCGAATCGCGACGCCTAAGACGACTAGGCCTCCCGTGCCCCCAGGCCACCAAGACAATGGCCACCATCTTTATAATAAAAGACATCTCGATTGTACGAATCCGACTGAATCATGAGCACGTGTTCATGAATCACGGTCTGATAGTGATGATGCCAGTACTGTTTTGTTCTAGAACTGATCCCTGTACTTTGTGTTTTCAAACTTCGAGTACAAAGTCACAAACGCCAACAGTTTATCATATCATTGATCACTGGGGAATACAGGGTATACGCTAATTACATGTGCAGACAATACATACACAACTCAACACCTTACCGTGTACCAGTATTGTCATGTGAGTATGGGGACAATCCACAAATGCAGGGAATTGGTTCATATAGAATCTTCAGCCGCACAGCAATCCACGACCACATGCTATATGTATTGTTAAATGATTGTGGAAAAAGCGAAAACTTAAATTGAGGATACAATTGAACATCCATGACCTAAACGGCAGATTTTACCTCCAGTATTAAAAACCAATTCAGAAGAAGAAAATCATTTGGCTGAAACAGAACACTTTCTGTAATCAGAAGAAATCCCTGTCAGTCCGACTGATTATGAGTCATGTGCATACCTCAATAGCATAGGTGATCGACAAGCCTACAAGACCTCCTGACAGGGTGTCACGTGACATGACTGCAAACAGGGAGGCGGCCAGAACGATGATATTTCCGATAATCTCCAGACGTACACCTTGCCATCTGTCAAATACAGACTATGATATAATGAAAGTTAACTCTTTTCTTTAGAATGAGTTGGTCGAACACCACTTTGTACAGGAGTTCAGTTACACTAGCATATCTGGGCGTGTCAGGTTAATGTGGGCGGAAAGCCCGATGCGGTTCTTAGACTTTTACCACTTTTGTGAAACCCTTGCTTGCTTGTTTGTTGTTTAACGCCGCACTTCAGCTATATTCCAGCTATATGACGGCGATCTGTAAATAATCGAGTCTGAACAAGACATTCCAGTGATTGACATCATGAGCATTGAGCATTGGGATACGATGACATGCATCAACCAAGGCAGCGAGCCTGACCACCCGATCCCGTTACGACCAGCGTAGTCGCCTTTTCGGCAAGCATAGGTTGCTGAAGACCTATTCTACCCCGGATCTTCACGGGTCTGTGAAACCCTAAGCAAAGGGTTGGTGCTGGCAAACCATGGATCATAATCATGGTGCAACTGGGATTTAAACCCATAGGATCCTGGGATGATAGGAAAACATTGTTAAAGTCTTTTGTGGAAACTAGTCTTGGCTTACACAGATATATATCAAAACGAATGCAGATTGGAGACGACTTCCTGTACAAAGTGTCCGCAAAAAAGGTTTACCTTACTATTGATGCATTGTTAAATGGTCAGGGTATCTTAATTAAATATAAGCAGTAGTAACACAGTTTGTGTCCTCGTGATACGAATTCAATGTAAAACTATGTCTCAAAAATTTACACCTCGTCAATAATGTCAGGCCGGTTCCGTCCTGTTGTGTGAGGAACCCCTGCTCTAAACGTATTCATCTCTGCTGCTTTGGCAATGGTTTCAATGGCCTGCATATGAGAGTATGCCTTGAATGGTAGCTTGTCAAACTGGCTTCAGACAACGTGATTTCAATAAAACTGTTCCCACATACCTGAGAGCACCAAATGCGTAAAAGGAGAACCTCTGGTTTGTGTCTACCCGGTCTTCGGATTCCTTGATGAACCTTGACTGAGCTTGAAAGGATCTGATGACACTGGCCCCTGATAATGTCTCCCCAAAATGGCTGTATATCGGGGAGCGAGCTTTGGACTCTAATCGTTTCAGCTGCCGTGAGGTGGTTACGTAGAAGCGCTAAACAAACAAGATGTTTTAGTGGTATGCTACGAGTAAAGGTAAGATGACTCCTCAAACATGTTTTTTGTTATATGACGGTTTGTGGTGAGGTGAAATGGAGTTTAATGTCGCGTCCAAGATTATTGCACTTATATAGGGACGTGTGTGTACGTGCGTGCGTGCGTCTGTTTGTACTAGTCCGAGCGCCTGGCAGGGTAACAACAAAAAACATCTTTTAACGTCTTTTGGTATGACGCTGATCGATCCCCAACCTTCTGTTCTGTGGGCGGATGCAGCCAAGTCTCCAAACACGAATCTTTTTCTGTCAGCTCTTGCGAGCAGTATGAATTGTGTTACCACAAGAACATGGAGGAGATCATATGACGGTTTAAAAGGCAATGATTCGAAACATATTTTCATGTAATTTTACCCATTTCAAGATTGACACTTTTGGATTGAATTCTGATTGGTATCATTTGATAACAGCTAAAATAGGTAAGAAAATCATCTCATGATAAATACGAAAAGCCACGAATATGTTTTGTTGTTGCCCTTGATTTCTGTAAATATAATATGGATGTAAATATATGTGAATATATTCATGAAACACCAAAACTCATTCCTGATCGATATGGTATGCTATTCATTGAATGTCAAACAGAAAAATCATTTCAAATCGTTCAAAGAAAATTGACATGTTTGATGATCGACCCCAAACACAAAACAAAATTCCCATAAACGTTTAAACCTAGTTTCGTTCTGTTTTTGTAAAGACAACACAGAAGTATAGCTGTGCTTACCTGAATAAAGTAGTATAGAACGACCAATGGGACAACAACGACGAGAAATATAGGCGTGGTGAAGGAGATGACGATGATGCTGCTGAGGACTTGGAACAATGTGTTGGTGGCGTACTCCACCAAACTCGGCATTCTGGTGTCGATGGTATCCATGTCCTGGGAGAATCTGTTGACAATCCTGCCCGTAGGCGTGGTGTCAAAGAAGGACATTGGTGCTTTCAGAACATTCCTCAGCATGTTTAAGTGGAGAATACCAGAAGCTTTGACCGTCTTTAGGTTCCACAGAAAGGAAAAAGTCATGATGAAAACAGCTGTAATAAAAAAAACAAAATAGCAACTGATATTGAAAATATTTTGAATGGTCGATCCTCATAAAAATTACGTTTTACATTAGCATTAAAACGTAATTATATTTGAGATGATAGGCAAATATATGTTCCCAGGAACTACTTTAAATAATTAGTCAACATAATACAATATATTCAGATACATGTTTTAAACCTCATAAAATGTATCATAACAAAAACAGAACACAAATACAATATTTCCATCAGACATATAAATTGTTGTCAAGTCTTACTCTGAGCTACACCCAAGACACCATAGACTCCAAGATAGTAATTATTTTTCTCGATTCGTCCTGAGCTATTTGAAGGAAGAAGGGTCATGTTGTTGAGGGAGGTGTCATCAGTCCATTTGCTAAGCCATGTATTTGCGGTTATCGACGTTGCTTGAAATAACGCGTACATGATGAGAGAGAATAACACAATCCAAAGGCCTATAGCTCTGCCGTATGCCAGAAACACACTCAATGTCACCTGGAACAAGATGATGGTTACTTAATTCAACGTTAATGCACTCGTAGTCTACTGAATCTATGACGCCCCTGAATTATAATAAATATTTCTATATTTTCCTATTATAGAAACAATTGACAAGATTAAAACATTCATCAGAAGGATATGTAGTAAAGTGTTATGTATTAAGTGGTTGAAATATGTGTTAAATCACATTTTTGTGAGACCATCAGAGGATATATGTAACAGAAAAAACTGACAGGATAAAACATTTATAAGGACATACTGAAAAGTGAAATAAAGAAATATGTATATATACAGTATTTAAAAACATTATTGTTAGACCATCAGAGGTACATATACTTGTACAGACCTTGCCAGTCTCCACTTGTTCTTCCTCAATCAGTTTACTGCTCTCGCTCACAGGTTCTTTCTCCTTCGGTAGTTCGACTTGTTTCAGCTCTGTGCTCTTCATCAGGGACTTCCTGTGGCCCATGCATGTCCAAAAAACCAACACAACATACGTTTTGGTGGAAATACTGGTGAATACAGATGCCTGAGTTCGGATAGGTTTGAGATAATGCTGCACTTTAATGTCAGTATGATAAATATAGCATGATTCTTTGACAAACATCTTCAATTTTTCAGAAAAAAATTAAGACATTTGATTTTTGAGGGAGAAATACATTCCTTTATCCACGGAGCATTTGTCACAAAACGTGCTGATATATATATATAGTTACATTTCTATCTTGAAAGGTTTACTGAGAAATCAATAGTTGGCATCCCCAAGGGCAAATCTTTCAAAATGTTATATATACACATGCTCAAAAGTTAAGCGCCACCAACCATTTTTGTGAGCTGTTACTTTTGGCACTTAATGATGACTATTATAACGATATGTACGATTGTTATAAGCCGTATATGTAAACCTCATGTGATGCAAAAGTTGTCCCAAAGCAACTTATCTTGTGTTCCAAAAGAATATGAGCAGAAAGGAATTTTACCGAAGACCAGAAATTGAAGGATTAGAAAACATTGAAAAACTTTTTTTGTCATGTAACTGTCATGATATCAGCTGACCATATCAGGTGTCACATAGGCACCCTAGGGAGTGTAGAGTCTATTGCAAGACAGAAACGTCAGTAACGTGTGTATGATCAACGGACATTGACCACAGCTTCAACCCTACGCCTCATACTCATTACAAGTCGTTGAATGCTTCTCAGGGACAAATGGAGCCATTCTTCATGAAGTGCGGCTTCAAGTCCAGCGAGATTTTGAACTGGGGGATCACGATCGCGATGTCTGATTTTCCGGCCAAGAATGTCCCAGAGATGCTCAATCGGATTAAGATCCGGACTACAGGCCGGCCAAGGAAGAGTGGCAATAGCTTCTTGACGCAAATAAGCCAAAACTGCCCCAGATCTGTGTGGTCTAGCATTGTCGTCTTGTAAACAGGTCTTGTCTGAAGAGGATGGTTGTCAAAATGAGGGACTGCCACTGGACGAAGAACGGCATCTTGGTATTGTTGGCCATTCAGGTTTCCACGAATTGTCACCAGCGTAAGTTTGCAGCCGAAGGAAAAACAACCCCATATCATGACAGACCCCTCGCCACATGCTTAGGTCTTCTGGATGTTCCTTGATGCAAAACGAGTGTTACGTTGCCTCCAAACACGTATACGACCATCAAGAGTTCGTAGCAGCATTCGACACTCGTCAGACCAATGGATCCTTCTCCAGTTGGCCAAGTTCCATCGACTACGGGCACGACACCATATCAGACGATTCCGAATGTGCCTCTCAGTCAGTTGAGGACGTTTTACTGGACTTCTGGCGTTATAACCAGCCGCTCTGATGGGTAATCCACTGCAGTCTTAAATCTGTTGAGGTGGCAAATGGATTTCGTCTGACTATTCTGAAAAGACGTCTATCCTCTCTGTTAAAGGTCTTTCTTGGCCTACCAGACCTTTGCCTGTCATTGACATCATTGGTTTGACCATGTTTTACAATCAAACGAGTGATAACACTGTGATTACGCCCAAATTGTCTTGCAATGGCCCTTCATGACATGCCAGCATTTTTCATGCCTATCACTTGCCATCTTTCAGCGTTCGTTAACTTTTTCCTCACCATGGCTGATTTTCAACCTCTATTGGAAGGGGAATCTCACACAGGAGCAAAATGCGACCACGGGTCTGAAACTTGAATTTCACTATTTATAGGGTAGGGGAACTGCAGCAACACGTAAAGCACGCTTTCCTTGTGGTATCTGGACAAATTTGGGTTCATGAAACTATGGAATCCTAATTCAGTCATACATCATCATATTTCGTATTTCTGATTCCCACACGTGAAATCAAGAGACTATGAATATTGTGGCGCTTAACTTTTGTGCATGTGTATAGCAGACACGTGGAGGAGATTTACACATTTGACACATCAGTGACCAAAATGTCAGATGCAATTCCTTATTTCGAATTGAAACAAATGTTCATGTGTTTGTTCAGGGGAACATTTGCCTTTGCATGTGTTTGTGACGGGTGCCACTGATGGTCAGGATACGTTCACCATTTCGCGAACACCTGGTATCATCACTATGTGATAGTGATTCATAAACACATGATGATATTGTCGGAATCGTACAACAGGGTCTGTTGTGGCAGATATTTCTTCCAATTATGGAAATACACATATATACACAAATATCCACAGTGATAAGTTCTGATAGAGTGACACTAACTTACATTAGTGTGACACTCTCTTCGTCAGTCTCCTCGCCAGATTTCACCGATTCCAGTCGTTGTAGAACTTTCTTCTTTATTTCAGTAACTGTTTAAAACCCAACGTCAAAGTGAGGTAATTGGAATCTAATATGACCTTTCATTTCGCATTATTAGATGCAGTGTTACGTTACTCTGTAAAATCGTCGTAAATTCCAAATATCATACACCAATTTGTTATGAGAAACACATAATACTTGTAAAATGGCCAACCTACATTCGGGATCCTTGACATCGGAATCATTGCTCTCAAGATATTTCTGTAGGAACTGGGCAAAGGGTCCATTGTGGTGAAGAAGCTGGTCATATGTCCCTGTTTCTGATATCTGGCAACTGGTCATCACAAGGATAGAGTCCACCTCTGGGAGCCAGTGAATGCCGTGAGTGACCAAGATACGAGTCTGGGTGGTAGAGGTGAAAGCCAGTATTGCACAAAACATGTTGCAGATTATAGTGGGTGGACAAGTAAATGAGTATTGTTTTATGTTGTTTTCAGCAGCATTCTTAAAAATCCAAGGCAGATGTTCAGCCTGTATACAGTTTCACATACAAATGCCAATCAAGAATAATATAACATTAGTTTTACATGTCTGAAGCGAAAGTCACTATATATATTTGAAATAGTTTTTGGCTTCTAATCTTAGTATAATCAGTCTCCTGTGATGTTTTTAGCCAAATTGGACTTCTTAATATTGTTTGTCACATACATGGACAAATTTTTTCAGTCAATTTGTAAAATAACCTGGGCATGTTGTAGTTTGCCTAAGTGAATCCCATTTTACACATTGACCGTACCATATATAGTTCAGAATGTTCCTACCTTGCCTGCAAGCAACCCTTTTCTACTTAAGACCTTGTCAAATATGTGTTTCCCCACATGACTGTCGACAGCACTGAGTGGATCATCCAGCAGATATATGTCAGCATTGTTGTAGACTGCTCTGGCTAGAGACACCCTCTGCTTCTGTCCTCCGCTCATGTTGATGCCCTGATGAAAAGATAGGAAACAAAAACAATACAGAAGACAATGTTGTGCACAGCTCTGGCTGGAGATACTCTCTGCTTTGTTCTCCACTCAAATTGATACCCTATAGCAATGATACACTGTCAAATTCTGCTCGTTCCTCTCTTTATTTTTTCCTCACAAAAGTCGAGGTGATGGACTAACTGGGGTTCATTCCATTCTGAAGTCAACACTCCTCCCTAAATGAATGAGATGTGGTAGCAAGTGGCGATGAAATGATGGGGTTCTACAACGCACGATTACTGAGACTAGTGAAAAGTGACGGCCTATTCTACTCTAGAATACACTCAAGTGCAATGATATACTCACTCTCTCCCCAATCTCTGTCATATCACCAGCTGGTAACATCTCCAGATCTGGATTCAGAGCGCAGCACTCTACCACTTTGTCGTACCACTGTCTGTCCATGGGCTTCCCGAACAGAATATTGTTCTGCAGGGTGTCGTTCTGGATCCATGCAATCTGGGGCACGTAAGCCACGTGACTCTGCCAGGAAATAAGCATGAGTTAGCATGCATTCAATAAGAGTAGGGTATTTTACTTGATTTCTTTTTGTCCAGCACCATAACAGTATGAAAGAAAATAGAAACCTTAAGACTAACATGGCCGTTGACCTTGTTCATCTCGCCCAATACTGCAGATACAAGTGAAGATTTTCCCGATCCAACTTGACCTACGATTGCTACAAGCTGACCTTCGTCAACAGTCAAGTTGATACTGAAAGAATAATGTTCATTTTTCTTTAGATTATGACAGCTGAAAATATCGATATGTCTATTTTAGTTCCGACCAGGGATATGTGATCATATTTGAGAAAACTATGAGTGAAAAGTCGACTGTGATAGGTATATGGTTTAGTTACTTTGTGAGAGTTGGTCCTTGTTCAGAAGTCCACTGAAAACATCCGTCTGTAATCGTCAGTGCAGCATCTGTTTTATGAATATGATAACCGATGTTGACATATGGAGAAGGTGTTACATTATTTCTTCCTAAACATACACGATATATCCGCATGGTTCAAGTTGGGCAAGAACAAGAGAACACTGACGACGTTATGCATTTTCTGGTGATTTTAGCTGAACTCACAAGTACATGCACTCTCTTTGAGGGAGGGGAGTGCGAGGGGGGTTGGATTATGTTCGAGACATTTTCATTTGTTATGCCATTGATCCAATGCATATATTGATGGTGTTCAAGGATCCATTTTGTCAGCACATCCGGTTGCAAGACCACCTGAGGCCTAGTTATTTTACTCCCGTATAGTTTTATCCCATTTCATCCCAACCCACCACCAAATTTCACATGCTCGCCCTTGAAGCTTTCAAGGCATGCTTTCGTGTTACATAATTAGTGAAATATCATAACCATTACATACTCTGTGTGGAGTTCCACAGGATCTGTGTATCGTCCAAATCTTCTGTATTGAGGAACTTGTTTATTCTCCTAAGTGACACCATAGCCTGGAAGCATGAATTGATCATGAAACGATGATTGAATCAGCCACACTAGTGTCTCTTTTATTACTGTTTGTACAATATATAGAAACACTTTCAATAGCCCAATAGTACCATATTTCAAAAGGCCCAGAAGGTCAAATACCTGAACTAAATCTGAGAAGAAAGAAGGCAAACTGACGACCGCCAGTCTGACGATGCTTAAGAGTGACATCGCAGTAAAGACGACATCGGGTCGGAGATAGTGATCTTCAGATATGAAGATATATGTCGCGAACGTGGCTAGCGATACCTGTAAAAGATACACATTATTCAAAAGGATCCATATGAGCACTATAATGAATAAGAACATTATACAAATGTATAATAATGATCACACATGCCCTACAGCAAATGCGATTGGCAAAGAAATACTTTGTTGTAATGATAGTTAATTGAAACACTACAGAAGTTTGTTGTAACGATAGTTGATTGAAACACTACAGGAGACTGTTGTAATGATAGTTGATTGACATACGAGGTAGGTCCTTCTTTACATAGTATAACACAAGAAACACTACAGGATCTATGTTGCAATGATAGTTGATTGACATACGAGGTAGGGACTCAGGGTCCAGGAGAAGGTGGTGAAAACCTCCATGAGGGAGATCTTCCACAGAATGTGAAGTTCTTGCTTCCGGATTTCAAGGATCCTCTCTTGGAATGACGGTTCCCAGGCATATAGTTTTAGAATCTGGAACAACAGGGAAACATGCAAGTTCATTGCTTTTAGACTCTCAAAAACGGCAGAGCAGCATGTAAAATAATGACACATATACATATATTATTCACATACTGGAAACAAAGCAGAAAATAGTATCTTTGTATCATTGGAATAAAGTCGATTGTAGCAGTCACTCCTGCCTGATTTGTGACACACTACTACTTATCCTACCTTTATTCCACTGAGTACTTCATTCATGATCTTCATCCTCTTGTCCTTCTGTTCCATCATTTGAGCCTGATACTTTTTCCACTTTAATGTGGAAATAGTGGTGACGGGCAACAATAGAAATAACACCGCCATCCCAGCAATAACGGAGGTTCCCAGAGACTGGTACAGGAGATACAGGGCAATAACAATTCTAAGAGGATGCGCCCACGCTTCCCAGGCCCAGAAAATGAACGTGCGCAAATGTTCTACGTCCACAGACATCAGATTCACAATTTCCCCAGTTGTCGAATTTTTCTTGGCCTTGTTGCTCATCCTCAAAGACTGATGAAAATGGAAGATTTTACATGTTGGTAGGTCATGTTGGAGTGAGTCAGTCAGTTTGGTTTAACGCCCTTTGAAGATTATTACAGGTCTTAGTTGTTTAGTACTGAAACCCACATGGGTGTTGTGCTGACAAAACTATAAACAATCAGGTCTAACCAGGATTCGAACATCCTGTCAGAGGTTCCTGGCACGCCAAAGTGATGCAACTTGTGTCATCAGTGTCCCCTACATGTGAATTGATAGTTTACTATGATAAATGTAAGAAACGTATGTGTTGAAGACTTGGACCACTAAAATTATGAAAAGGGAGATACTGTCAGCACTATACCCGTGCTCGTGGATTTCACCGAAGTGGTAAACGTCTAAAACCTGCGTCACTTCGGGCTTTCCTCCCACATTAAGCTCACACACTGTGATATAACTTACATACTTTTAAAAGCGGTGTTAAACCCAACTCACTCACTCACCTTAAGGAAAACTTGAGTTAGTGGAAAGATTATGAATCTTTTTCTTTCTTTACATTGATAACCCGTACACTTTGATTTATAAGGTAGAATTACGATTCATGTCATCTTAAATAGTTCAGTTTTGTAGCAGTTCATAATAAAAATGGGCTACACGGGATAAAAGATGACACACGGAATGGTATTCAATTATACCTTTCTGTATATTGCAGATATGGTGACAGCAGCGATCCGCAGTGCTACCTTTCTCCCTTGGTGCCAGTTGGCTTGAGAAAATGCTGTCCCAGTTAAAGTTGCGACAGAGAGGATGGCACACAATACATAACCTTTCCACGTGGGTATTGTCCCATCTGTTGTGAAGTTAACGAGCAGGCTGTAATAAATATTTATCAATGTGAGTGTATTTCTCTATAGGGGCCGGGCATTTGGTATCCGAGGGATGGTCTGGCATTTTTTTAAAAAAAATATCTGTATTTGAAAATAGTTTACGGAAGAAATGGTTGACTGAAATTGCCGGATGTTCTAAATTAAAAGTGTTGGGTCTTTCTTACTGAGATGAAAATGTATATTATGAAACTGTCCAGGACAGTTATTGCGTATATGTAAAATATTTGTAGTAAACTGTAGGCACGAAATACCCTAAATTAATGAATGCAAAGCTGATTCAACGATGATGAATGGTTTGGCTTCAACGTCTCCAGGAACAGCGACACATCAGAAATTTGAGTTGAAGTTTTTCATTTACACAGCAAAACATATCAATGGTTATTGGACAGCAATTACAATAGCAGTACTTACCCGAGTATCAAAGGACTAGCAAACTTAACCATATCGCTCACAAATCTCCATAGCTGACTCTGAATAATGTCGAACCAGAACGTCTTCCACAACGTCACTATGAGAGACAATTTGGTAGTTGTGGGAGTCAAATCCGCTTCTGTCATCTTCATCGTTTTGTCTTTTATCAACAAGGGGGCCTTTTCATCATCAGCATCCAGACTCAGAGATTCATTAAGTGTTTTAGAATATAACACTTTCTTGTCTCTGTCTCTCCTGTTTGCTCTACAAACGAAACTTAAGGACATACACATGGATTCAGTTAGAGGTTGTGGAATTAATCATTATGTGTTTGTTTGTTTATTTGTTGTTTAACGCTGCACTCAGCAATATTCCAGCTATATGACGGAGGTCTGTAAATAATCGAGTCTGGACCAGAGAATCCACTAATTGACATCAAGGGCAGCAATAGGGATACGATGACCTGCATCAACCAAGTCAGCGAGCGTGACCACCCGATCCCGTTAATCCCCTCTTGCGACAAGCACAGTCATCTTTTACGGCAAGCATGAGTTGCTGAAGACCTATTCTACCCCGGATCTTCACGGGTCAAATCAGTAAGTGAAGTCGAATATAACATATATTCTAAAAAAGAAAGTTTTACTGTCAAAAGTAAATTTCATCTATGGAAAGGATTCCATGTTGCATTGCTATACGTAAGGAAAACGACATAAACATTTCCAGACCATAATCATCAGAAATCTCTGCTGAAAGAATGTAAGTAAAGTCCATTTTAGAGTGTCATAAAACGGTTTTAATGTCTTTCATTGAGTTAACATCGATGATCCTTGACATTTGGAGCACATGTCGATCTCACAAAGTATTCAGTTAACAAGTGAAGTTTGAAAATCGTCATGCCAAGACAGCGAGAAATAACGCAAATGGTAAAATTGAAGATGGTGAATCACAAACATCAGTGGCAGGGCCTTTTGATGTGACACCACAAGAGATCGTTCAAACAAAGGCTGACCCACATCACCATAGCAGCCCAGGAACACTAAGTGCATACATTCATTGCTTGACACCGTGCTAAACACCATGAATGACGCCGTGCTTGATACTGTGCTGTCTCAAAGAAATTATTCCTTGAGGGACAACGTCGGCATAAAACAATTCAGTATTAAATAGCTCGTCCCGTCGCAGTCTGTAAAGATTCATGAAAGGCAGAGCATACACGTACAGGATCTCAACCAAATTGAGCATATATGGGGTCAGCTTGACAGGCGTTTACATCAAGGTCAATCAGGGCCACATAATCCGCAGCAATTACGCCAAGCTCTTTATAATCCAGAAGGATGGTATGCAGCTCCGCAAGTGTCTTGGTTCCAGGTGCAGTGCAGGCATTCAGTCCAATGGTTGACACACCCGGTACTGGGCTTTACGATTGCCATGATTGAGATTGTGACGTAAGCGACGCATGCTAAGATATTTCCATTAACGCTTGATGAACTCTGTGTATTATCATAATTTTCCAAACTACACGAACCACGTATTGCTTTTTAAAGCCTTGGTGAACTCACAGAATCAGTCTTTTATAACACATTCTTTTGGGGGAATAATAAAAAAAAAACTCATAAGGGCATGAAGATAGGTGAAATTATTTTCAGTTCTTCTCACTGAGTATTGTAACAGTTGGCCTTTGTTTTCACTGTTTGCAAAAAGACCCATAGCAACCCGACGTCTTATGGACGCATTGTTGCAAAAAAAATAGGTTGACGTCCTCCATTGTTCATGACGTCATGCTTATGTGAGGTTCGACTTATGAACTGTTGTCTCCATTTTAGATCAGGAAACCAAAATGTTTCCACAATTTATCAGAACAAATACAATGTGCAATATAAATAACAACCTACTCGCAAGTGTGAATGACGGATTATTTCTCTTGATGACCTCGCAATAACTTATAAAATTAATTCACACGAAACAGATAATCCTCAATTCCTCGTTGTTGTAAGTTAGTCTCTAAATAGTTAATTGTAGGTTGTCACTGTCCACAGAGAGTAGACCTTCAGTGGAATAAAATAGAAGGAAATGATTACCTTCTCTTGGACTTGTTTATCTCTTTGACCCATCGTGGCAGAAACCGTGTTACGGTGTGGACGGACGATTCATCCGGATGAATGTCATAGACGTCTGTTTCTGTCAAAGGCTTCCGATATCCCCTCAGTAATAAGCTATTGGAAAATTTCACAAATGTAAATTTTCAGAGTCATATTTGGTGGAAAACAGCAATTTAAACCCAGATGAAACTATAGATTAACAGTTTAGTTACTTGAAAGAGGCCCTTATCAAAGGGTGTAAGGAAAACGCATCTGTTTTTCCTCGATATTTGACACATTTCTCAAAGTATTCTGACAAAAAAAGATTGTTATGTGTCGGTTTCTAAACTAGATAATCATTCCCCAATAAAATGGAGCCACAAGCGTTTTATTTTCCTTCCTCACTCTTCTCTTCCTTAACAAACCCAAGCATAACCAAAGTCATAATTTAACCCTCACATGATGCAAACAATAATCACAAAATATATTCTTGTCCAATGATATCAATTACTGCATATATCATGTTATGTAGTGTGACCTGTTCATCCACCAAAAGGTAATCCTTGAGACAAAGGAAGCAAATACTTCAGGACACAGTTTCTGAAAGAAAGCAAGAATTATAGATATTTATTCAGACAGTTTGAAAACAGTCGAAGGAATTTTTGGTTGGTTGGTTTATTGTTTATCGCCGCAATATTCAGTATTTCAATTATACTCCGGCTACCGGTACTTCCAGAGCAGATAAGCCAGTGATTGACATCATGAGCATCGATATACACAATTGGGATACGATGATATGCATCAACCAGGTCAGCGAGTCTGACCACCCGATCCCGTTTGTCGCCTCTTACATGAATTCTAAGCAGGATCTTCGCGAAGCTCCAATGTATCTGACATTGGAAGTAATATGTTCACTGTGTCATATCAGACTTTCACCATTAGACACATTGATGAGTTCGCTACAATGAGTAATTAAATAGATTATATGTCGTGCAATCGACTCGAGATTATGGTGGTTTGGGCTCTTTTATTGTGATGTGAACAGACTTAGATGACAAGAACGTGTGGAGAGGAAGCCAAGTTATAAACGCTCTGTTGAAACATGGATTTGTATATATTGACTTGTGTTACATGTCATACCTTGTCCTGCAAAGTCCAACCTGAAGACGTCTCTGCAAAACAGCTCAGGATCAGCTCTAACAATACTAGACCATAGTATATGTAGAAAGTTACAACTTTGAGGATGTTTCGTTCGTATTGCTGAAACAGAGGGATAAGCTTTAGGTATAAAACCCTGATCAAACCATATTTGATGTGTGTGACGCTCTTTGAAATCTTCTTTGAAAGAGCCTGCTCGATTGTAACTCAAACGTTGTGTAGACATCAAAGGCAAGCGATACTGGACATGAAGGGGAAGTTAACAATTAGTCCTCCTCTTGTCATACAGACATTTTGCAACACAGTGGATGGCAGTTGTAATCGTAATAATCCCGCTTGTCGTATATACATTCTGTGAACATAAAGAAATAAATGTCTTGATTGCCTGTAGCATTATGGTTAATTTTTAAGACACTGATTGGTGGTACATTTGCTTGAACCAGAAATATGTCACTTTTGGTACGGATGTTAATAGAGCTTTGGAATCCAGTATGGATGGTCATGTCAGGTTTCAGAGTCAAGTCGAAGGTTAATTCCTCAGTTAACATACTGGACTATGGAGATGCTGACATATAATTCACGTTAACTAATGTGTCTAATCAGCCATTGCATAAGTATGATTGTTTACCTTCTTGAAGATGATGGAGTAGAAGGGGACGATGCCAGCCACTGTGAGCAGCAGCCAGAAGGTGAACATCACCCCGGAAGTGATGAGGCCTTTCTTCCTCTCCAGGAGCAGCAGCAATACAGCAAACAGCTGAAATAAGACACCATAAAAATGTTCAAATACCTGGGACATTGTTTATATTCCGTTTATAAACTTGATTTATGGATATATCAACTTAATGTTTCACAAATGTTGATTGAAATGTTTTTTTCTTTGAAAGGTCCGTATACTATTGAAATACATCCAAGATGGTCGAAGGGGACACAGGAAAGTAAACCTTGATCTTATTCCCCTCCCTACCCAAACAGTACTTTTAAGAGGTAAATTGTCTTTTAATTTTGACCAACGACCATGTGTTTTTTTGGACAATCTCTACATCAAGCTACCAATGTGCAAATAATAATAATTATAATGCAAATGGAAGTTGCTTGCCAATTCTGGAGAATTTATTGTTTTGGCGAAAATATTTCTTGAAGGCAACACTTTCAGGATGTTCAAATGCTTGGGATAACGTTTATTGTAACAACTAACACATAACTGAAAGGATGCATTGTTATTTTACAAAAAATCCTATGTATGGTAACTATTTGGTTGCAGCGTTAAGGGTGCGATGGTTTTACGCCGAATTATTAATGAGACCAGTGGCACAGACGCCTGGTAGCCAACACAGTAATCAAGCCAGTGATAGGTATTTCATTTGGGACCGAGGGCGTTAGGCTGAATTTTCAAATGTCATTATTTCCGGGCATCGAATACTCAATTACACCAGCAAATCTGAAAATACAGAATGTTTATCGACATTTGAAAAAAACAAAAGCTGTGAGTATTTTAGTAACCCTCTCTCCCTAAATGAGACAGATTCTAGAATGACAAGACGTCAAGCTGAAATGTCATCTCGTCAGTGGATACAGTTGATGGCGCCATATGCTTCTGCGATAACTGACCCCGACTGTTTTGCCGAATGTAATTAGTTATATCATGTTGTGTCAGCTTGAAGTGGGAGCGCGAGGAAAGCCTCAAGTGATGCTCCTTTACCACTGTGGTGAAAATTATGTGCACCGATATGGTGCTAACAAACCAAGAAAAGTAATCCCTGTGAACCTTGATTCGCACATACGAACATCGGTGTATGGAACGCCTAAGGGAAACAACTATGCACGTAGACAATTAAGCCAACCGTGCCATCAAGACAAAAGGAAAATACAATATGATATTGATATAAAAATACTTCTACTTGTGTGAACAAAGATCTGGATTTATGTTTTTTGCCTTACAAAGGTAACTGCCTGGACTGCAGGAGCAATGAACAAGGCAGAGAAGATGGTGGTGTTGTAACTGTCTGCGGAGTCGATGAGTCGAATGACAGATAGTATGACAAGGCATGAGCACAGGATCTGTAAGTCAACATAAAAGAACGTTTCTTTAGAATGGCGTACAAAAGAATGTCACCTCACTGACGGCAGTCATACATTTTAGTTCTGCTTTGTAGGATGACGCAGCAACACAATGGCAAGGCGTTATCAGATTAATCTGAGATGCAGATGTGACAGGAGAGTGAAATAGCACACTGAAATATTATACCATTTTGTTGACATTCTCGTGTACACAGATCGGGTCTGTCACGTGACAAGCGTATCACATTATTACCATGCATGTTCCAATTCACCAATTCCTACCAAATGTACATGTGGGTTAGTCTCAGACGTTTTGGGGTGCCCCCTTCAATATCGACAAACACTTTTGTTTATACCTGCGAGGGTTTTAATAAAACGTCAACGCAAGGGAATACTGCTGAACTGATTCCATTTGGACAATTATAAAAGTGAGTTGAGTTTAACGTCGCTTTAACAGTATTCCAGTTATATCGCGGTGTGTCAGCTTAATGTGGGAGGAAAGCCCGAAGTGATGCAGGTATCAGACGTTTACCACTTCGATGAAACCAACGAGCACGGGTATGGTATGGTGCTGACAAACCTAGAAACATAATCGGGGTGAACCGGGATTCGAACCCACAACCATAGGTTTCTGGCGTGCCTTAGGGACGCAACTCTGCACAGCGAATCGCGGCGCCTCAGACGACTGCGAAACCTTAGACGCCTTAGACGACGACGGTGAAACCCACGAGCACGGGTATGGTGCTGACAAATCTAGAAACATAATCGGGGTGAACCGGGATTCGAACCCACAATCGTAGGTTTCTGGCGTGCCCAAGGGACGCAACTCTGCAGAGCGAATCGCGGCGCCTCAGACGACTGCGAAACCTTACACGCCTTAGACGACGACGGTGAAACCAACGAGCACGGGTATGGTGCTGACAACCCTAGAAACATAATCGGGTCGAACCGGGATTCGAACCCACAATCATAGGTTTCTGGCGTGCCCAAGGGACGCAACTCTGCAAAGCGAATCGCGGCGCCTTAGACGACTGGGTCACCCGTGCCCCCCACAATTACATGAACAAATCACGGAACATCACTGGTACCTAAATGGGCAGCATGATACAGGCTATAAACAGATTTTGTCTCGGATTGTGTCTGGAGATATGTAGTTATTATTTTAATTAAAACAAAGAGCATAAATATTCTCTTATGAATAATACGTTTCTAGAAAAACACGTTGCAACAATGCATTTATGTGTCTGACAAGTTGACAGTCTGAAGCATCATTGCTTGTTTTTATCAAGAATATTCTGGGACAATATATCTTTTTCGAGGGTAGTACACTTTACCAGTTTTGCTATATATTTATGCCTTGATGAAAGTGACGTCGGTGTTACGTTCAGGAGGTAGTAGAGATAGAACGGCGACGTCAGCCACAGCCATCCACATGGCACCCACACCAACACCGTGGACTGGAAGCAGTCTGTGAACTGTGGCCATGTGTTGTACCAGGTCAGGTTTGTGTCCTGGCGGAGACAGAAGAATCCTGATTACACATTACCCGGGAACCAAGAAGCTGAGGTATTCGTTGTATTAAAGTATTACTTCTACTAAGTATAGTCACAGTTGAACATACGTGTATGTAAGTAGTAGTAGTAGTAGTAGTAGTAGTAGTAGTAGTGGTAGTAGTAGCTGTAGTGGTGATGGTAGTGACGGGTTGTTTGTTGGTTTGTTTTGTTGGTTTGTTTGTTTGTTTTACGCCGCACTCAGCATTATTCCAGCTATAAGACGGATGTCTGTAAATGATCGCGTCTGGACCAGACAATCTAGTGATTGACATCATGAACATCGATCCACGCAATTCGGATACGATGACATGCTTCAACCAAGACAGCGAGCCTGACCACCCGATCCCGTTAGTCGCCTCAAACAAAAAAAACATTGTCACCTTTTACGGCAAGCATGGGTTTTTGAAGGCCTGTTCTTTACCGGATCAGTAGTAGTAGTAGCAGTACTAGTAGTAGTAGTAGTACAACATCACGGGTCAGTAGTAGTAGTAGTAGTAGTAGTAGTAGTAGTAGTAGTAGTAGATCATCACGGGTCAGTAGTTGTAGTAGTAGTAGTTGTAGTAGTAGTAGATCATCACGGGTCAATAGTAGTAGTAGTAGGAGTAGATCATCACGGGTCAGTAGTAGTAGTAGTAGTAGTAGTAGTAGTAGTAGTAGTAGTAGTAATGCAACCAATTATGTCTGATTAACGGGACTTGACTGTTTATCAGTTGTGTGATTGGTTATCTCCCTTTAATTTGTTCAGACACATGTTACTCTGTGAGCTAGATATTACGGGTGGTTATTATAACAATGTGCCCATAGAGTTGCATCAATAGTAGAACTTGATGAACTAAAACTTGATGAAAAATCATGCCGTGTATTTGAAACATAATCTATATTACTATATTGACGTAAACTGCAGGGTTAAAGGAAAATACACGTAAAAAATTGAATTTGACAAGAAAATTACCAAACGTTTCTGGGCTAAAGTAGTCGCCGAAAACACTGCAAACTTAAAGTCCGCAACGCAGCTGTGATACCCGCATCAAAAACAATACCATGAAATAACCATTTCTTGCATTGTTTGTATAATATTTAGTTACCATCAAACATTGGTGTATAGATCTGCAATTAGTTTATTAACATAGAATTCATTGTAATGATACCCGCTAATCCAGCATGCACCGTTCATATAAACGAAGCATGGGTAAATCGTATGTAGGAATGACTATAGTTCTGTAGCCATAATGATACTGTCCAGAAAGTGGGGTTACCGGATTAACGGGGTTTGGCTGTATAAAAAAACGTGTACATGACGTCACCAAAAGACTCTACGAAATAGCAGTAACTCGTCAACGTGAAATCAGATGTTGCTGTGAACATGTACATTCCTCACCCCCTATACATGATACACTTACGTATTATAAGATAGTGAAAGATGAACATAAACTGAAACAGATGCACACACAATAGCTAACATCGACTACTTACCCATACCGATGTCCCATTACACAGCGAGGCCATTGTGTGTGAGTGTTAAAATAGCAGCTCCCTGGCTGAAGCTATAAGTCCAATGAGTACATATGCTTATCTGCGTGTGACCTGACAAGGCCTCATTTCTCCCTGTTGTGAAAGCGGATCGTGGTTTTTGCATATCAAGCTCCCCACAGCGATGCCCTCTTTCGCGGAGTTTTCTTGATGCAAGGTAATGGCCATTCGCCACCAGTCGCATGTTTCCGTGATTATAAATATAAAAAATAGGGTAGTGGTAATATATATTAAACGGATTTAATTGATATAAATATATATTTGGGTGATTAGCTGGTTTCCAAGATAACCCTACACAAAAACTGTGTTATCAGATCGTGTCACACACCTTTATTACATTAACAAGTGATAATTGAAAAAAGAATACAGGTTGCTGGAAGAAAAATTGATTCCTCAATAAACATTCACAGCCATATGATGGTTTATATACCACAAATCATAATCGCAAAGATATATTAGACTCGAACGAATTATTTGGGAATCTGTAAAAGAAAAGAAAGCCATCGTAAAAGGATCAGCATTAAATACAGACAGGAATTGGAAATGAAAAGTTCATGTAATAATATTATGGGTTTTAAATTACCTAAATTGGTGGCGTATCTAACCTGTAAAAGACGAGAATGTTACTCCCACACAATTAAATCAGTTAAAGATATTTACATGTATGTTATATCTAGCACATAGTTTTTACTCAGCTACATGTCTTTACATTAGTTGATAAGATTGTAATTCTTCCTTTTTTTAAACACCTCAAATTTGAACGAGCTTCGAAATCTTGTTTGTTGTCTAACGCCACACTAAGCAATATTCCACCTATATGACGGCTGGCCGTACATAATCTAGACATCACCAGGGAAACCAGAAATTGATATTGTAAGCAACGATCCACGCGGTCGTGGAACGATGGCACCAGTCAACCGAGTTTAAGAGTCTTCGCATCCCATTCATTAAGACGCCTCTTAACCGCCTCATAACGATTCTTTGGAATCCCCTCGGTGTTTGAATATTAACATAGTCTCACTATGTTGCTGGTGTGTGTTTAGAAAAACTTCTACTCATCTTTTAGACATGGTGGATATGGCATTCCATCATAATTGCATTGTAACTAGTGAGAGAGTAAATATGGTTTTATGGTTTTAGCAATATACCTACAATATCACGGCGGGGTACACCAGAAATGGGCTTCATACACTGTACCCTTGTTGGGAATCGAACCCGTCTTCGGCGTGACGAGCGAACGCTTGAACCACGAGGCCGTCCTTTTATTGTAATTAATTCATATAAAATTGGTACACCATTTGTTAACGGTGTTCATGAAAGTACAGATTCAGCCATCAAATAGATGAGTTTTAAAAATGTCCTTTAAGCACTGAAAAGACAATGTCAAATCTGCCACGCTTAACTGAACATGTCTGAGAAATTCATTGGTTAAATGAGTTAAATCCGAAAACCACCTTGGTTTTGTCAGTTTTCTTCATCTAATTTTAATATCTTATTCAATAAGTATTTATTTGTAAATAAAATACGAACAGTTGATAATGAATGAGTTGAATGTCTGGCCAAATATATTTTTGTACAAAAGAATATGCTAGTATTTATCACAGGGAGGTTCAATACTTTTACAACAGGAATAAGCGAGAGCTGCTGTAATGCCTACAAATCGCGGGTATAATTAGAGTTATGGTTCTTCTTTGAAGTAGTTCTCGTGTTCATACGCCAATGTGGAAGCCTTTGAGAGGGTCACAAGTCTACATTCGGCATGTTTCGGAATGGGAGGAGTTGGTCACGAATGAGGTAAATGCCAGTTATGCCCCAGGTGCCAATGGGATCCGCGCGTTTTGATTGGTTAAGGAAAGTCCCGCCGGGGTGACCTCATGCTAAAAATAGCTCCTCGCCAGAAGGCCAGAACGGTGTCTTACGAGGCGTTGTGTAATAATTGGGAATCCCCGTTGCATGACATGAACACAATGCTCTTGGTTAAATGAAGCAAAATGTAACCTGACCCTCGAATTCATTAATATGTTCAATAAGCAACGTGGACTTCATTGTTTCATACTGTGATCATATTTGCAGTAAATGACATACCTTCAGCCTTTTTTTAATTATAGACAGTAAAATCATATCCCATAAGCCTTTCTTAGATACAGTTTGAAACCATGGCAGAAATTACCGCGATGTCAGAGGTCATCACCTTGGAATGCCGGAGGTATACGATAAACATATGCCATCTGTCTCGGCTAAGCAGGACCTGTTGGAACTTATGAATTGAGTGGCCTAAGTTGTGCCTGTAGTAAAAAGGTATCAGTGTACGAACCTAGCCTCAATTGTGTTATTGATATCTTATCCTGTAAAAAACAAACCTGTCTCAGTGACTCCGTTCTTGTGACAATTGAAAGAGAGTTGTCGCTTTTATTTGACCCATGTTGATCTTAGGAAATGTTGTGAAAAACTACACACAAATATCTTGTGTCAAGGATACTTTTTAACCATACGTATCATATACCATCATGTCAGCAGTCGAAAACATTAAGACTGACATTTTCAGTGGACCATAAACTGAGTGTGTGATATCGTCGCTTTGAACAGTGTTTCAGGTACATTACGGTATGTCAGCTTGGCGTGGAAGGCAATTGGTTCACGGGTATGGTACTGGCAAAACAAGAAACATAATCAGGATAAACCGGGATTCGAACTCACGATCTTGGCTTCTGACACGCCTATGGGCCTCAAAAAAAGATTGCCGGCCAGAAAAAAAACGACATTGTTGCAAGGCTCATAGTAAATGACATTGTTTCAAGGCTCATAGTTTGCAGTAAAAGAGTATCTGGTTTTGTAGCTGTAGCTGGCAGCATACATAATCTCGATACATATAGTATCAAATATATCGGTCCCTTAGCAGTGACATCCTTAAAATAGGTGATAATGAAACGTCCAAGTGGATGTCAGTGATCAATATGCCATCTATGGTAGAGCGGCCAGAAATGACCGAGTCTGGGCTTGACACACTTGTGGTTGAAAGCATGAACAACTAGCCATATAGATGGGGATGGTGGCACACAATTAATCTTGTCACACTCAATGTCCTGCTGTTTATTTTGTAGTTGAATCAATATAAAAATGTACAACCGAAATGATATGTATTATGTCAACCCTGCAGCTTTGGCCATGTTGTAGAAGATGCTGTCAGGCTGTTGCAGCAGGGAGGAGGGTGTGTCAAACTCACACACACAGCCGTTGTCCAGGACAAGGATCCTGAAAGATGCATGTTAAGTTCAATCACTGATGGTATAAACAAAGCAATTCAAATATTATTTGATTCATGCTTGCCGTAAAAGGCGATTATGCTTGTCGTAAGAGGCGACAAAGGGATCGGGTGGTCAGGCCCGCTGACTTGGTTGATACATGTCATCGTGTCTCAATTCCTGTTGATCGATGCTCATATTGTCAATCACTGGATTGTCTGGTCCAGACTCGATTATTTATAGACCGCCGTCATATAGCTGGAATTTTGCTGAGTGTGGCGTTAAAAAACAAACAAACAAACAATTATTATTCACCTTTGTTTGTTTGTTTATCTTTCGCAGCTATTTGACTGCGGCCTGTAAAGAACCTAATCGGAACCAGACAATCCAGTGATTAATATTCGGAGCATCGATTCACATCAACGGGTACTATGACCCCACCAAGTCCATTCAGTTAACATGAGTTTACAAAATAATAATAATACGAAGAACAAGAAAAGTGACCTGTCGTAGTCCATTACGGTGTTGAGTCTGTGGGCGATGGTCAGCACCGTGCAGTCCTTGAACTCTGACCTAATGGTCTGTTGGATCAGGTCATCTGTTTCCATGTCAACGGCAGCTGTAGCCTCGTCCAGTACCAGGATCCTGGTCTTCTTCAGAAGAGCTCTGGCCAGACACAAGAGCTGCCGCTGGCCGACACTGAAATATGCCAAAAACGTTATAGCGTTTTGGTTGTGCAGATATATATATTCAGTAATAACACACTAAATATACAGTTATAATACTTGAGAAGGAACAATGTTAAGTAACAAGAAACAGCGTTAAGTCCGGTACCTCATATTTTCCCCTCCTTCGCTACACTCGTGTTCCAGTCCGTCAGGTAGCGTCTCCACAAACGTCTTTAGATGAGCCTGTTCCAGTGCCCGCCAGATCTGATTGTCGGAATACTTGTTGAAGGGGTCAACATTATCTCGCAGACTTCCAGCAAACAATACAGGATCCTGCAAGAGTGATTCAAAGCATTTCTTCATATTAATTATTCAAGAGTTCAAACCGGTTATTATTATAAACTCTATCATATGAAATGTCAACGCGTATGGCGCCAATATTGATGACAAGGAAACGCTTACCTGAGGAAGTATGGTGAGTTTGCTCCTAAGATCATGCAGCCCGAGTGTACTGACGTCAACGCCATCTATGTTGATCTCCCCTCCTGCAGCTTCTATCAGCCGGAACAGGGACAGCGTCAGTGAGGACTTCCCCGCTCCCGTCCTGCCTACGATGCCCACCTGAAAAATAATTTGTAAAAGTGCCTCAAAGATTTTGTTAATTTATGTGTACATAACGATCTCCCTGTCTGTAACACACATACGACAAACACCATTTGAGGAGCTGGTGTTGAAAGCGTAGACTATATAATAAATGTATATTTTGTAAAATTAACAATAATTTACCTTTTCCTTGGAATGCACAGTACAAGTGATTCCCTTGAGTACAAGGTCAAGGCCGTCTCTATACCGAGTTGAGTAGTCGAGGAACTTCACTACCCCCGTCTGTGGCCAGTCCTTATTTGGACGTCTCTCGGGTACATTCCATGCTGGCTGGTGTGATTCATACAAAAGAACATTCAATGTTTAAGTCCATCTCGATGAGAAAAATCATTAAACTTTTATTTTAAAAAACACGTCAGAATCCCTGAAGGTTATACCGATAACAAAATGACATGCTGACATGCTAATCATTTCTATGAAGAGTATTTTACTTTTACCTCTGAATCTATTTCCGTATACTCTTTGACTCTCTCCACGGCAACGATCTGTGTCTCTACTTCTGAAACCAGCTGCACCATCCAGTTCAGGTTAGCGGTAATCTGAAGTCGAT